CCAATGAAGCAAAGATTGAAAGAGCTGACATCGACGTCCTATTAGTGTGTTTCTGAAATGGAGGAGTTTTGCGTCCCAGACAATCCGCGGCTTTGCTCGCGGATCTGTAAAGCATATATATAGTGAATAAAAAATATGGGTGTCACTCTTTTTCTCTTTATTTTTTTTCCTTAAACAACATTGCAACATTTGCTGGGTGCATTGGCATCCTTCCTTTCAATCAATACGAGCACATTGTTTTTGCTCGTCACTCGAGATTGAGCGATGTACAGTTGGCCATGGGCGAACGCCGGCTTCCTGAGATAGATACCAACAGTCTTTAAAGTCTGACCTTGGATCTCATGTCTGTTCACTCTCTTCATTCTCTATTAGTAGTCCTTCTACATATGAAGTGCTCCAAATTCGATCAGTCGATTCTTGACTCCAACCTTTTTTTTTGCGAGGCTCATTCGCCAATGTTCCGATCGACCCAGATTCCTGTCAGACCTTAATTTCGTGCCACCACATCCTTATTGACACCTGTACGAAAAAACGTAATGTTAAAATAGTGACGTTTAGTGATCAATTAAATGAAAAAGAGGATTAACGACATCTGTTCTTTCATCTATGTTTCGCCCATCTTTTCCATCTTCCTTCATTCCCTCTAGGTTCTCATCACTGCCATACACGATGCCGCAAGCAGACAGCAATAGTAAAAAGCAGACGAATACCCTTTGCAAAAAGGGCCGCCGCCACTCAACAGCTGATTTAATGAAAATCCATTAGGGAGATGGCCAACTTACTCGGGATCTCAATCGGCTCGCTCAGCAATCATCATCCACAACAAACACAAGGAAATCATCCCTCCACCAAAGTGAGGTCGTCCTATCAAGGTCCTCCCGAGGATAAAGGAGATACTTATCCGTTAGTCCAATACAGGCCAACTTAAAACGCTCAGCAACGGCCAACGATTCATTCAGGAAACGGATGGAGTGCAGGTGCATGTTGAGACGGTTCGGCAGAATCTGGGGGATGAAGGAATCTGGACATACATTGAGCAGAGGAGGTCTGATCTCAAACCAATCATGTGCGGGATCGGCTTGCATTCGCGCTGGCGCACATTGGCTGGACGGTGGACGATTGGAAGCGGGAAGTGGGTCATGTTTCTAATGAAAGCATAATGAGTCGCATTGGGTCCCTTGGAAGCTACAGCGACCGCGAGCACAAACGTCTACTATCTCATCAGGTCCGTCTGACATCACAGGATGGAGGTGGAAAAATCATGATCTGGGGATGCATCATAGTTTTCGGACCAGGAGACCTTTGTTGATTCCTCCAAATACTAGATTCACAACTGTACCTTAATAACATCGACGACTATATACCCGCTACCTTTGCTTGGTATGGGATGGATCCGGCAGCATGCTATTTTCAGCGGTACAGCATATATATGCCATGCTTTATATAGGATTGACTTGCTGAGCGAGTTTCTGGAGCCAATAGCCTAGCATAGGAGGCCTTTCACGTCCAAATTATCATATGGTGTTTGTTACATCTCTGTAGATCTCGACGATATCCATAGCGACTATGAGATGAGAATGTATATATGATACCAAGCATGTAAGACAACCATTGTGACATTTTTTGTTTGACTATCCTACTAAACACCATGATATTCTTCAAACAACAAATTCTTCTTATTTTTTGCACACCAATCTCTTGAATGTCTCCATCTACTATTAAACTGTACCCATCACTGCGAGATTAAGGGGAGTAGTTATTGTATGTGATCACCTAAAGCACCTTTACTCTCAACTGTATCTTTGTTGTGAAATACAAGGGAGAGATTACATTTTAAAAAAACTTGTGCTGTCTATTGCTATTTTATTCCGTGTTCTGTTGCCCACTATAAAGAGATATGTCAGCTATGGAAGTCAACACTCCGTTCCTTGGGCTTTGGATATTTTTATATGCCTTTTTATATCCTCTGCACATGAAGGGGCCGCTATTTCAATTGCACCAGTCGACATAGCAATAACATACACGTTTACGGCGATCTAGAAAGTTCTGGGCACTAATGCCATTCTTGGGTAAAAGATAATAGAAGTCAGCTCTTCGTAACATGCTTCTGCAACAGGCGAAGACTGGGACAGAGAAGTATAGAACAGGGACGAGAGTTGAAGCAGTGATGATTGATGTTAAGACTATGAAACAACTAAATATATATATAAAGTCGCCAACTAGGTTTCTAGGTGTAGTATCATACAGAGTCAGAGATGATAGAGAGTGACAAGGAATGACTAACTAGAGAGCAATGATAAACCTAATATGTTACAGCTTCAATCAATTGATCAACCAAAACGCGATTTCGACTTTTTTTTGAAATGTTCATCCATCAATGTTTCCAACGGCCCGCAGATTCCTGTCAGTCATTCTCTTGATTCATAACCTCGTTCATCACAACTTTTCTTTTTTTGCATGCACCTACATTGGATCATTTGCCGGCATTGAAATGCACGATGTTGCTTGAGCAATTAATTGGATTACACGCATCACAAATTTCTTTGTTAGCTTACGGGGTATTTTCGGTTTCTCTCTACCTTCAAACTCCAATGAGTTACTTCGGCAATCCTGTACGACCTTCTATTAAAGTTTGGAGCTCCTACCAAAAGTCTTTGTAATTAACCTAAGGAGGCCATCCATGTTCGGCTCCACCAACCATAGACTACAGTATAAAAATATCTGTCAACACCTATTAAAACAGTGTGTTCCTTGAGAGTACAACAAATCTCATCAGCTTTTTCCTTCCACCAGTCTCCATTTTCTACATTCACCACCACTACTTTGTAACATCATCTACTTTAGCTGAGAAAGCCTTGGACATGATCATCTCATATTGGAAAGGAAATTACTATCTGTAATATCCAGGATCCAATATGAGATGATCATGTCCAAGGCTTTCTCAGCTAAAGTAGATGATGTTACAAAGTAGTGGTGGTGAATGTAGAAAATGGAGACTGGTGGAAGGAAAAAGCTGATGAGATTTGTTGTACTCTCAAGGAACACACTGTTTTAATAGGTGTTGACAGATATTTTTATACTGTAGTCTATGGTTGGTGGAGCCGAACATGGATGGCCTCCTAATGCGACCATTCAAGCGCAAGACAAATGCAATGGAGCTCCTCGGTTAAGCGCATGCCAAGGATTGTTAGTGGCCGAAAGCATAGTAATTGTAGCAAGTACCTCATTGCGTTTGGCGTAGCATACCCTCCCCATTCCAACGAAAACTCTCTCCGTATGCATTGCTACATCTCATCACCAAGAGGTATTGTCTTCGCGGCGACAAGCGTCTTGGATGTCATGACATAGTCGCACTTTCCTTTTGCACAACGTTGCTATATGAAGTTCAACGTCAAAGGAGGCATTCAAAAGGTTATCATTGCAAATTTCACGGTACGTTCGCCTCAAGCAATGGGGCATCTTCCGAGCATCTTTACCTATGCGAAATGGAGGGTAAAGTACCATAAGACATCAACCCATAGAGTGGAGAGCTCCAATTGGCCCAATGGGTACTTGTCAAATGCCAATTACCCGCGAAAATGTCAAAGGGTACTATGGGCATAAAGATCCTCCTATATGGATGACTTACATGGGTTTAGCACGCACTGACCTGTTTTTATTATACCGCAAGCTCAGTACACTTTCTAAAGATAAATTGAAGCGCGTTTACACAAAGAGCATCAGGTGGGACCCAAAAGTCTTTGATGCGCGAAATTAGCCATTCTTAATAGAGTGTAATATCATGACAATATATAAAACCGTGCTAGAACCTTGTAACAAAACCTACTTTAAGGATATCTTCTATGCGGCCCCTTCATGTGCAGAGGATATAAAAAGGCATATAAAAAATATCCAAAGCCCAAGGAACGGAGTGTTGACTTTCATAGCTGACATATCTCTTTATAGTGGGCAACAGAACACGGAATAAAATAGCAATAGACAGCACAAGTTTTTTTAAAATGTAAACTCTCCCCTGTATTTCGCCCCAAAGATACAGTTGAGAGTACAAGTGCTTTAGATGATCACATACAAGAACTACTCTGGCGACTCTTGCAGTGAGGGTTACAGGTTAATAGTAGATGGACACATTCAAGAGTGTGGTGTGCGAAAAATAAGAAGACTTTGTTGTTTGGAGAATAGGTTGGTGTTTAGTAGGATAGTTAAACAAAAAATGTTACAATGGTTGTCTTATATGCTTGGTATCATATATACATTCTCATCCCATAGTCGCTATGGATATTGTCGAGATCTACAGAGATGTAACAAACACCATATGATAACTTGGACCTGAAAGGCCTCCTATAATTGGGAAAAAGTCCCGCAAATTTCCTATATCTAGATCCTACCTGATGTCTTCAGCGTAAAACTGCTTTCAATTATCTTTAGGAAGTGTATTGAGCTTGCGGTATAAAAAAAAACAGGTGAGTGCGTGCTAAACCCATGTAAAGTCATCCATATAGGTCAAACACAAAGACTTTGGATAGGAACTCCAAACTTTGATAGAAGGTCGTACAGGATTGCCGAAGTAATTCATTGGAGTTTGAAGGTAGAGAGAAACCGAAAATACCCCGTAAGCTAACAAAGAAATTTGTGATGCGTGTAATCCAATTAATTGCTCAAGCAACATCGTGCATTTCAATGCCGGCAAATGATCCAATGTAGGTGCATGTAAAAAAAGAAAAGTTGTGATGAACGAGGTTATGAATCAAGAGAATGACTGACAGGAATCTGCGGGCCGTTGGAAACATTGATGGATGAACGTTTCAAAGTCACATTTTGGTTGATCAAGTGATTGACGCACTTTAATTAAGGGAATATAATTTATTGAGACAAGTATGTTTTATGTGTGAAAGTGAGTAATGTGTTTAAGCAATGTTGCTGCAAAGGCATGAACTTGTGCGTGCTTGATTGCTGGTGAGCCGTATGGCATATGCGCAGGTGCAGAGCTTGACAAGCATGCATTATAGATATTGTACTTGAGGCCTGTTGTAGGTGTCTCCATCCGTAAACCGAAGTGTAGTCGAGTATTCCTTGCCTTGGATAAACGCCACGGCCTTGATCTCGTTCAACCCAAAGTACATCTGCATCTTAACAGAAATCTGTATTTCAATACAATACAATGGAAGGGTCAGAAAAGGAAAATGTATCCAAAAGTCAACAGCATTAAAATACACACAAAGGAAAGTATAGAATGACGTTGAAAATACCTCGTGGGCAAGTGGGTGCGATGAATCGAAAGGACCTGGAAGCGAAATCTCTGCCAACTCGATTAATCCAGTAGTATATCGCGGCGGTTGTCCATTGACGGAATAGATGCGAAGTGTACATGCCCCAGTGTCGTAACTGTCCTGCTTTGTGACAACATAGAAGCGGGTGACACACTCGTTCACTTGCACCTTTTGGTCCTTCTTAACAAAGACACTGAATCGGTGAGTACAATACTCTCCTTCGATCCGGTGGACTTTGAATCCAATGGGGTCGACACCCTCCTGGAAGACATCCATGAAACAAATACCATAACAACGGCGACTAACACGTGCAGTCACCATCTTTGGATTCATTCCCACATACACTGCTCCACAAACAACAGCAATCTCAGGCTTATAGGGTGAGGCGATTGTCTTGACCACGCCACTGAATTCTTGCTTAGCGCGTTCTAGGAGATAATTGGAAGCGCCAAATCCTCCAACCATAAAGATTGCCGAACATTCCTTGGCTGCATCAATCTGTTCCTGAATCAGCCTCAGCACCTTCACCACAACCGGCTCAAATACAGTATCCTTCAGCTCGCATGCCTTAAGGCGCATATAACCGCCGTCGATCCCAATGGCGCCTGGATCCTCAATGTCGTCAAAGCAGTCACTTCTAGGCAGCGGCAAATACTGGTCTTCAACACCATCAAAGTGAGGCTTGATTTGATATGTAAACGTCTCAATCAACTGAAGGATGATACCTTTAGGAAACTTGGCAGCGTTTTTCCCAAACTTCCTGATCAGTAAGTCGCGAAATTTCATATCAATGAATATCGAACCACACGAGGCACCATGACCTTTGGTAACCTCAGATAGACGTCGTCCTTGAGAAGAGCTGATATCATACACAATAAGGTCCACAGTACCGCCACCTGCGTCGCAGATCATGAACCGGTCATCGTCCTGAAGATCATACTGCTTGCATGCTCGTTCACAGTACAAGGCTGCTGCCTCAGGCTCCGAAACCAACATCAGGCGTTCGGGATGGTCGGATTCAGAGATAATGTTAGCTCTGATGGCGGCTCTTCTCATTACATCTTTAGCCTTGTCGGACCACATTGCTGGTACTGTAAGACAATATCGGAAACACTTGCGACTGTAACTTGGTCCAAATTCTTGTAAGATCTTCTCTGCAGCATACTCGTGCAATCCACGGAGGTAATCCGAAATAGCATCTGGGATAGATACTACATTCTTCCATGGTGTCAAGGTGATGTTTTCGTCCAAGTAGGGTTTGTACTGGGAGATTTGAGTATGGTCTGATCCTGAAGGTGATTCCATTACTAGTTTTGATTTCCAGCCCCATTCCATCATCTTATACTCTCCATTGACTTCCTTGTAAAGGTTGAGGGTTGGTGTCTTTGCATACTGGATATTTTGTTTTGGCCTATGAAAAATATTAATTGTATAAATGGAACTTCTTTCATGACTGTGCTAACATATTATAACAAGATGAAAACAACTCGTACCAAGCTGTGATAGTTCGGGCTTCATTGTCATCTGGAGCGTAAGCATATGCACATCCTCTATAAGAGTTGTTATATCATTCACATGCTGAGTTGGTTAATAGGAAAGTACAGAGATGTAAGGAACCACAATAATATCAATACCAAAACGTGCAAGCTTTTACTTACGAGAACGTCGTTCCAAAGTCGATGGCAACAACGATTGGGAAATCATCGGGCTCAAAATTATCAGGGTGAAGGTCGATTTGAGACATAGTGAATGGTGCAAGAGGCTGTTGAAGAAAGGTTATCTAAATCAGGAAGCTATTAGGAAATGCACATTGCTTTTATAAGCAAATTTTCAGATGCATGCTGCGTGTTTTCAAGGCCAGAGAAGATGTTATTCCTGCGCCAAAACGATAGCTGTTTTCAACTTCACTGGTTCTATTATTGGTGTTTGATTTAGCCTACAAACAAGTTAATATTGGAACAGCATCTCGCTCTTTGCTTTGCAATGTAATTCTGACGCACTAGATCAATCCGTAATCTTGGTCTGGGCCTTACAGTGTAATTTTGACGCACTAGGTTGATCCACGATCTTGGTTTTGGCTTTGAAATGTAATTCTGACGCATTAAGGTGAACCACAATCTTGGTCTTGGCTTTGAAGTGTAATTCTGACGTACTACTTTGATTTACAATCTTGGCATTGGTTTGAAAAGTAATTCTGACATATTAGATTGATCCACAATCTTGGTCTGGGCCTTACAGTGTAATTCTGACGCACTAGGTTGCTCCATAATCTTGGTCTTGGCTGTGAAGTGTAATTCTGACGCACTTGGTTGATCCACAATCCTGGTCTGGGCCTTACAGTGTAATTCTGACGTACTAGGTTGATCTGTCTTGATCTTGGCTTTGAGTGTAAGTCTGATACTCTAGGTTACTCGATAGCGTCGCTCTTTACTTTAATGCGTAATTCTAATGGATAAACTTGGTCTTTTGGCTCTCCTTTCGTCTGCTCTGCAGTTTGTACTTCTTTAAAGATGGAAGAGGCGCACTCATATAATTTTGCATAAATAGAGCATTTCAGCGAGCATTTTTAATGTATTTTCTTTTCTTCTGCAATAACCTACAAAACCAATAACATGGTCTTCGGTTTAACCCCGTCTTTTTTTCGAGTCAATTCCCCCACATCGTCTGTCGAGAGCATGCAGCGTCAAGCTTGCCAGACAGTGAATGGTGAGAAAGAAGCCATGTGGTTTTGATGTCTGTTTGAAAATATATCATCATCTGGAGCTAGCGTAGGCATGATATTATAAGTATTGTAAGATACTCACATGCATCTCATTTCTCTCTCAAAATGCATAAAATGGTATAACTCAAGAGCAAGAAGCAACAACCGATCCAAAACTCTCGATTGACAATTCATTGTCGCCTACCGACGTCAACCGTTTGCAAATATCTAACGCCACCTCAAATACATTTGGCACTGACACTGTGAAAGTTGTAAAAGGTATTTCAAAACACATTACCACATTACAATAAGTCGACAGAGGTTCTATCATTTGTATAACAATTTAATAACAGTTACCATCAAACCTTCAATACTCATATAAAGTAAAACAAGTTGAACGTGCCATGGGAGGCGAACAGGAACGATCAGCATCTAATTCTCCACGGACCTGTATCAATGTCACATTACAGGAAAGGCAAGGCAGAACCTATTCGGAAGTCCTTCGTACAGAACCACAGATGCCCCTTCAGAACTTTTACAAAAAAATGGGTGTGGGCATATTCAAACCTTACAACGCGGAGAGGCGATGCCGAACCCTATTTGACCAGAACCAGAGCCTCCAAAATCGTCTGAACTCAGTACAGACACGTGAGCAGCAGATATCGAGTCAATGTCGTAATTTATATCAAGACAACTGCCGACTCCAAGGTCGGTTAACTGCAGAATTGGCATGGAAGCAGGGTATGTCAGCTAATCTCAAGCAACTCGAAGAGACCAACGTCGACCTCGAACGACAGTATGATGGTTTGAAGCGCAGATACGACAAGAAGGTCCAGAGTTACAAGGAGCTGGACAAGAATTATATGGATCTAGTGCGACCCCTCCGTGTATCCGATGATGATCATTCAACAATCTACCGACGCCTAATGCATATCAGGGTATCGATCGAGTCTTTGGTCCAAAAAGCGAGGGGCGAAGGTTCTGTAAACCTGAACAAACAAGAAGCTATCGACTACTTCAGGGAATTTCAGCTGCTTGAAGATTTTCCAGTCGAGGAGGCTATTTTGGACCCTTATCATCTGAACCTTTGTGCGGAATCCGCAATCATGACTACATTAATTGTTCGGTTCTTCAACAGGCCATTGGCGTGCATCTTTCGCCACAGCAAGGAATATAAGAAAATCAGCAGATGGGTGGAAAAACGAGATAGCAAGATAGCAGTACGCTGGAGGCAACAGCTTTGCATCTTGATAGCTCATGATCCCAAAGGAATGGAACGGAAGAGAGAAAGAGAAGTGAACGAGGCTGCGACAGCACTTTCGAGCCTAGTTTCCAGGGTTTATCCGAATCTGGACATGTCGATCAAGATCAAGGAACTTTGCTATAACTCTTTCAACCTGTCATTCGACATGTTTGGCATGGAGTCAGTAATTTATCCTGTCTGGACTCCACCTGGCACACCATTTGATGATACAACCATGACAACGCCCCAGAAGTCGAACCCGACAGGAACAGTTTCACTGGTCATCTTTCCAGCCTTTCGCGACAAAAATAACTCTTTCAATATTGATCCAAAAGTTTGGTGCTGTTAATAGATCGCCCTATTTGAGATCTCTTTTTTTAAATACGATTTGCAAAGCACTTGCTTCTTTACGCCCATAGCGTGGAGAGGATTATTTTATAGTTTTATTCGAGAGAATAACATCTTTCTTATTTTTTTCCTTCTTTATTTCTTTTTTGGTTATCTTTTTTTCTTTCGGATCATTTATGAGTGGTACTGTAATTTGATCGCACATCACAATTCAGTACCATTCGGTGCATGACTTCTATGCCTTGTAACATTCAGTACAATTTGGTATATGGTTTCTACTCCGTGTAACCTATTGGGCACCAAATACCAAGTCTTACCCTGTCAACTCTCCACTCCCTGCCACTTTACCATCTCTTCTGCTTTGCATACTCTTTTCTTCATTATGTGGTGCACGTTTTCCTTCTTCTCCTTCTTTTCACACCCCCACCTCTTTCTTTTTTCATGATAAAATCGTAGACTGTTTTCTTACTTTCCCTCCACTTTTCCTAACAACTACGCCACCTAGACGCTAGCACCCCTTCTTCTTGTATAAGCAACATCCTTTCGTGGTGTTCCAAGTACTCCACTGCCCTCGTACTCGTCCTGATCTCTTACTTATTCTCTTGTCCGCATCCTCTTGCTCTGCTGCTATTTTACGTGTACATTGCCTACATAGGCAAAGCATCGACGACGCAACCTCGAATTCTAATGAACCAGGGATTGAACAAGCGATATCGAAGGATCAAAAAGCAATGTCATTATGGACGCTTGGCTGACAAAAGACAGTTATCTTTGTTCATTCCTTGATCTCTTATTTGCATCCCTCTTCTTCTCGGCGTGTCCTCGATTTTTTTTGCATGATTTTTCTTGCATACTGCTACTGCTCAGCGTGCCCTTGAAAAGTACAGTGTATGGTCGAATGTGTCAATGGGAAGAAAGAGAGGGATCATTTATTTCACAATGCGTAACGCAACCCACTCTGATAGTGACGTTCTCGTTTTGGTGGCAATGTCATCACTTTGGCGCACTTCATTGAAAAATAGAGGTAAACTAAAAATAAACGGCAGCACCCTTGATTTTTTTGGTATGATTTCGTCTTGTAACCTGCCACACCCTTCTGATCTTTTCAGAGTCCCTATTAGTGAGTGAATAATTCAAGGTTTAGTGAATTCTGCTTCAGTTCGATAGGAAAAGTGGGCATTGAAAGATCAAAAAGCAATGTCGTCATGAACGCTTGGCTGCCAAAAGCCAGTTGTCCAGACACACGTTCCTCCTTCCGCTGAGGTGTACCCTCTATTTTTCATACTTCCATCTGATACTTTCAAGTGCAAAAATGCTCGATGGATGATGTTCATGATAACATTTAAAACAACAGTGCGACTGTCCCTCTCTCTCTCATTTTCGCTTCCTTTATCCCCCCACCCCCCAGCCTCATTCTCAATTTCTCGCACATACACACAACAAGAGGACCAATATCTCCAACACTAGAAAGCGCGACTGCCGCCACTAATACCGCAAACATGCAGGATCTTGACTGATCCAAGCTGTTATATAGCTCGACATGTTACGACACCCAGCATCAGGACTCGTTCATTTCCAAGCTCACGGGAACGAATCGCCAGTATCTGCCCGAAGTCGCTAACCAGAACATGAAGAACTGGAGGATTAATCCCAGCCCCGGTCAGGAGGCCGATAAAGACGTGGTCCAGAACGGTACCGACATCACGAACCTATACTTCGAGCTTTCCACGGATCTCTATGAGGTACGTTTGGGAAATGTGCGGCTTTTCCTTTCAGCCCGGGAATATTAGGGGTCGTCAAACCACGGCCAGATCCAAAATAAATCCGCCGCATTTGACATTTTTCTGTCAACTGCGCAGGCCTTCTAATACGAAAATGCGAACGCACAAACCTATGACCCTTGACGTATTTCGCAAACACAAGGCGCGCGTTTGGCAGTGGCAGCGGCAGAAATCGTCAAACGAGATGAAAAAATAAAACCCTTTTTTTCGTTCAGGAGAATCAAATACCACTCTATCTACGTCTCTCACAACCAATTGGACACACCTCTTACCCTCACTACACCTACACCATGGCTCCTATCAAGAACAACAAGAACGTCCAACCCAAACCCAGGGTTCTCACTCGTCGTGCAAAAGGCCGTCGTGTCTCTCTTGACCCCCGAGACTACCAATAAGTACAACAATTACGACCACACAAAAATAAGAGCAACCCCGTCCGTTTCTGTCAACCTTGTGTGTAATTTTTTTTCTTTTTTGTTCTCGTTTAGTTGACACCCTTGTCGTCCTCCTCCTCTGAGTTTGACACCGCATCCCATCAGCCCTCGGCCTCTTCGCATAAGACTCCTCGTTCTCCGTCTCCATCGTTGCCTGCTGAGGACCAGGATGGTACTCCCGCAGGACCGTCGTCTGTCCAGGCCACAGAGACCGCGTTGTCCTCTTCCTCCTCTAAAGGGAAAGGAAGACATGTGTGTGAAGAAGAAAAATGGGCAAAAAGGGGTCAAACAGTCGTCTCGTTTGACGAAATGCGTTGGCGTATTTGATTTGAGTACGTGAAAATGGATACTCGAAAAGAAAACGAAAATGCGTACTCCCCTTTTACGTGTATTGAAATACGCTCGATCCCTTTTCACGCCGTCTGACAAGGCTTTGACGACCCATATTGACAGCGAGTATGGGAACTTGGGGGAAGCTAGGAAAACCCCCCCAAAAAAAAAATGAGGCTGGACAGGCAAACATGAAGCAGCGAATGGAATCGTTTGGGGGAAATGAAGGCCACAGAAGAGTTGTTTCTCCTTGCGTTGTCAGGTGTATGCTCGAGCAGGAAACTAATCAATTGTGATGTTTCTGATAGCGTAGGTGTAATCTGGATTGCCGGGATAGAAAAGTGGCAATGGCGGGGAGTAGGGTGGGGTCACCGTGTGGTAGTGGTGTTGTTCAGCCGTATTCACCGCGGACGGGTGGGATAGGGCGCTCTCTGGTTGTTGCTTCGAACTACATTGTCGCTCCAGCGGAGGCTATTAGGGTATTTGTGTGCGGCGTTACTGGCTGGCGGGTTGGGCGGGCTGAGCAGCAGACTTTTGTGCCGCGAAGGGAGAGTCGCTATGGCTATTCCAATAGACAAGTGTCCTTCGAACCCTTGTTGATTGCGCCCATTACTGGGCGACATGTAGCTCAGGTCTCTATGCCCTGATAAATGTGGTGATGTTATAGGTAGCACAGAAAAGGGGGGAAGTGTGATGGTGTGATGGTGTGATAGCATGTGGTGCATGCTGGTTTCCAAGCTTTGCGCAGCGGAGTCATTCACACTCCATTACCTCCATGTTCGCTGGAAAAGGAACGTATCGGTGTGGTGATGTATACGGGATATGCCCTTTGAGTGGTATTTTGGTGGGTTCTTGTGGCCATCATTTCGTAGTGTAGAAAATGATAATAAAACAATTCAGAACCGAGCAGTTGGCTCGGGGCTCTTCTTTTCTTTTATTCTTTTCTTTTATTCTTTTTGATCCACTCTTTCGATTGTCATCTTAACCAGCAAGGGCAACTCGACTACCTTTTGACAGATATTACCACCGATGGCGTATCCTGGCCATGTGCCCGTTCCCTTCTCAGTCAGCATTGAAAGCAGGATCTCTCCGCCACCCCTGCGCATTGTCAACAATTAACACCATGCGCAATGGATAGCACAAGGAAGCCAACCACCGACCGGCTCGTCCATCCTATCCTTGTCACTATTTGCGCCGCCCCTGACCTCATAGAGATCCATTTTTGCCCCGCCCACGTGTCCACCAGTTATCGATCCGACCACCATCGTTGGCACTGGCCGGTCTATCGCCTAACGGTGAACTGCAGTGCAACTGCCAACCTATTTTAAGGGATAGCCGGCGCACTGGGGTCTACTTTACTGTCAGCACTCCTTCCGTTTATTCTCCTACCTCCTTTTTAAAGTGCGGAGCAAAAATGATCACTCTTTTTGTGATTTCGGCTTTTTTTTGGAAATGCACATTCGCCGATATTCCGACTGGCTCTCAGATCCTTGTCATTCATTCTCCTGATTCGTAACCTCATTCATCACCACTTGCCTTTTTTTTTTGCATGGATCGACATTGGTTCATCACCGGAATTGAAGTGCTCGGTGTCACATTGATCATTTACATATTGGCGAATGATTTCCATGTAGAACTTCACATGGTTTTAGCACGGAACGATTTTATTTTTTAATACCGCAAGCTCAATGCACTCTCTACAGATTAATTGAAAGAAGTTCCATACAAACAACATCAAATGGGATCTAAAAGTATTTGATGCGCGAAACCAGCGATTCTCAATGAGTTCATTATCATGAAAATGTGTGAAGTCATGCTAGAACCATGTAACAAAATATATTTTGACGATATCTCCTAAAAATGATATAGACGTTCCGCACATTTTCTATTTTCTAGATCCCACTTTGTGTCTTTTGTATGCAACTTCTTTCAATTTATCTGTAGAGAGCGCATTGAGGTATGAAAAAAAAAAATTGTCCTGTGCTAAAACCATGTCAAATTTTACATGGAAATCATTCGCCAATTATGGCGAACGACATAAATGATCAATTGAGATCGTGCATTTCAATTCCGATGATGAACCAATGTCGGTCCATGCAAAAAATGGTAAGTGGTGATGAATGAGGTTACGAATCAAGAGAATGAATGACATGAATCTGAGAGCTAGTCGGAATATCGGTAAATGTGCATTTCCAAAAAAAAAAAAAAAAAGCCGAAATCACAAAAAAAGTGATATTTTTTGTCTAGCACTTTGTTTATTCTATCGATCTCACATACCTGAACTCCTTGGTTCCCTCCATTTTCATCCTCACGGATATAGTCCTTGCTCCACAGTCCATTTATTTAGACTAGATCCCGCCACAGATAGTCTTGTTTACATCATTGCATCGGGGATAGTGCTTAGTGCTGTGCTTTTGATATGGTGTTCCACTTTCTTTATCATCATCTCCAAATGCGCACCTTCGTTCAAGTGTGCGGGAAGGTGAACACGTGAAAATGAGAACAAGTACTGACGGTTAACTTTGCTTGTGTCTGAAGTATGTCTGGGGATCCTCGTGGCACTTCTGCCGTTTTCACTACGGCGAGTTCGTGCCACAAGCCATGGCGCGCTATGGGCATTACCTGGCGGCGCGTGCAGGAATCCTTACTAGCAACCGTGTTCTCGATATTGGATATGGTGTCGATGTTCCGATCCGCGAAATTGCGCACTTTACAGATGTACATATCACTGGCCTTAACATCAACGATTGCCAGATCAGCCGCGCTCGTCGGTATGCGATCGTGCACGGTCTCCAAAGCAAACAGGACTTTGTAAAGGGCGACTTTGTAAACATGCCACTGGAGAGCATCACCTTTGATGCTTGCTATACCATCGAGGTCACTCTTCATGCGTGTTCATTAAAGGGTGTCTATACGAAAACGTTCCATGTTCTTGAGTCTGGCGGTGTGTTTGCTTGTTATGAATGAGTCCTGACCGACAAGTACGATACCACCAACCTTGAGCACCAGCGAATTGCCAAAGGTATCAAGCTCGGATGCAGTCTTGTCAACCTGGCGACCCATAGGGAGTACCTCGATGCTCTGGAGTTTCCTGGATTTGAGATACTGAAAAACGAGGACCGTGCTGTCAATGATGATGCCGTCCCTTAGTACTATCCTCTTTCGGGCGAGCTCCGCTATGCCAGGACGCCCTGGGACTACTTTACCGTCTTTCGCTCTTCCACTTATGGTCGCATGATGACAAACACCATGTGTGCAGCTCTCGAGAAGGTCGGTCTCATCACTTCCGGCAGTGCTCAAGTCGCCAAGTTCCTTGACATTGGAGCCACTTCACTCGCTGAGAGCGGCAAGCTCGGTATATACACGCCTACGATTTTCTTTGTTGCCCGCAAACTTAATGATCGGCGTTCTGAGCAGTAAATATAAGAGAAAGGATTCCCTTGTTGTTTGCTGGTAGAGCATTGCTTCATTACCCTTTCCGATTGTAGACTCTGTCACTCATAACCCCTCTCCACTATTTTACCCAAAAACAGTTTCGCCCAATATCTCCAATGCACTTTGCGGACTATTTCCCAAAAGAGAAAATGCGATCCATACCCCAGAACAAAGATTCTGCCTGATTTTATCCTTAAATTAAGATCGAGCTTCGTTACGGTTGTTGTGGCTTTGGTTATCGTATATGTTGAACAATGTTTAAAGAGGAGAACCCTCCTGTGAAGAACTGATCAAAATACCTTGATCATATCGAACATGACATTACTGATACCCATCTTTAACTCCCTCCAAGAGTGGAGGGCACTCAGGAGGATAAATAAATCGATTCAAGACTACGAGGGCACGGACTGGCTTGGCACCCTTTCAAACATACACAGCAACAAACCGATCAACACCCTTTTCAGCTCATGGTAGGACACACGCCTAAGCAGCCATAGGATAGAGAAGATCCACGGAATGTTGCCTACCATGGATGTGTTAAGCGCCAGGCGTCCAGATCTGTACAAGAACGACCTATGCCGAGTGTGTGGTCTAGAGACGGAGGATAATGAACACATCTGAATTTGTTCTAAGAGCAGGGAGACGCAGGAGGAGCTGTGGGAGGATGCCCTCGACCGAGTCGACGAATCGGGAAAGATCGTCCTGTCGAACAGCGACAGAAGCAGCTCAAGCCAGGAAAACAGCCACCCTCCGAGACTGTATGGAGGATATCATGAACCAGCAAGCCGCAAGGTGCTGCGGCAGGCAATGAAGAGGAGGAACCGGAAAAACACACTCCGAGCGCGTGGACAGTCAGCCACATCTATCGAGGTCTAGTGCCGAAAGCCCTAGCTACGTAGTGGAGCAAGGTGTTCAAGGACGTAGCAGAGGGCATTGCCTAGCACGTGAGCCGTCTCTTTTGCTGATATGTCGAGGAGGCCAGGGAGCAGTTATGGATGCCACGCTGCGAGAGGATCATGAGGTGGGAGGAGGAGAACAGCATCACAAGCGGCATGAAGCACGCACGAACCACTAAGGAGCAGAGGGCACAGTGGACACAGACCCACAGACGGCAACAGATTTATGGGCGGAAACTCCGAGAGGACGAATACCTTTGCGGACGAGCCATAGCAGAACATAAGGAACAGCGGTGCCCTGGCGAGCAGAGTGGTACTCGAGTAGCTGATCGAGCAATCATCGACGCCCTACTGGGTCTGAGGCGCATGGGTATTATGGGAAGGAGAGGCAACATGGTCACCAAGTAGTTGGAGGAGGTGCACACCTAGATCTCTTGAATGCGCCCCCATAAAGCAACAAGGGTCGTCTGGACTCACACGCGTCGTCCCTGACACGGTGAGGAAGGGATGTACAATCCCCATGTGAGCTGTACGGTTTAGGATACTTTACTAAGTGAAGTAAACTATGTGCAAGTACGAGGAATACTTAGACAGCTCCACTTTTATTATTTGGATAAAGTTGATGTGCCGTCACAGACGAACATCTTTACCTTGAAAAAAAAAGATAGTAGAGATACAGACAGACAAGTTCCTTGTAGTATAGTAGAGATGCTGTTGCAAAAGAGCCGACATCGAAGGACCAAAAAGAAACGCCGCCATGAGTGCTTGGCTGCCACAAGCCAGTTGTCGCTCCTACCATGAGTGTGTTTCTAAGACGAAGGAAAGTAGGTTGATATGTGTCGCATATCAGACAATTCCCAGTACACTTTCTGCGATCATGTGATAAAATTGACCCCTTTACCATTTTCCATCATCCCTTAATCTATTTTCAGTAACCCTTGATCCTTACCAAGGCAAGTAAACCACCATCACTCCCCTTCTCCCCTTCGTTGTGCCATTGTGCACACAGGTGCAAAGTTGCACTTGTTCTCACTTTTCTCTTTCGTCTTCCTCTTCTACTCCGCATTTCTACACTCGCACCATCCTCCTTTCAACATCATTAACTACAGCCCAGGTCCCTCTTTGTCTTTTTTCGCGTCTAAATTTTCTCCACCTTCGGTTGAACCATGCTCTTCGTGTGGCTTCTGCTGGTGCTGCCGCCGACCCTGGTGTTCGCCTATGTCGTTCTGTCGGGTCTGTTCATATTGGTCCGCTCGGGTTTGAAGAACCCACAGTCGCGTACGCTCTGGGGATCCCATTTGGTCTTTGCCACGATCAGCTCGGGCTACCTGCTCTCATTCCATGAGGCCTCCAAGCCCATGTGGGGGTTCGTCGGTCAGATGGTCTCGCACATCATGCTGCAGCTCAGCTCCATTACATCGGCGTCGATAATTGCCGACCAGTCGACGATATTGCACCAGATCGACTGGCTGGGCGAATCCACGGTCATGCTGCTGCCCATCATTGAGCGCAATGCCCCACTCTCGCACCTTATTGCCGTCGTCCTCGGTCTTTTCATGTCCAGCTTTGTCACATTTATGACCGCCTCGCTCAAGCAGCGCAAGATCCCCGAGCACATGTATGTGTGTCTGTCTCTTTACTTTTTCACGCCCCTTGTTGAGGTTAGGTGCTGCAATTAAGCAACAGCCTTTTTTAATGAAATGAGAAACAAATGTGGCTTGACAGGATCATTAAAAGGATCCTGTCTTCGCTAAATTGAATAAAATTATTTTTCGTTCACGTCTCCATTTCCCCCTGTACTTTACACCCTGAGGATGTCCATCGACCTACAAGACACGACCCCGAGAGTCTTGAAACTGTCGTTAAACTGGCAAGATAACCATCTTCCTCCCTGAAACCCAATTGCTCTACATGTAGGTACTCGTTCGCCGACACGTCCTTCAGAATTGCGCTGAGCCTCGAGTTCTATCTGGGCACGGTGATCTGGTTCCGCTTTTGCCTGGCGCCCGTCCTGGCGTACTTGGGCATGACCTCTACACACACGGCCAACATTCAATGGAGTGGAACGCTCGTTCTGGGCTTCTCACACACGACTGCCTTTGCGTTTGGCAGTTTCCTCTACCGAGACTACTATTGCCGAGGGTTCGACAAGAAGCCCCAGAGCGCGTTCATCAAGCACTACTCGCTCTATGGATTCATATTTGTTATTTGCCGTGTGGTCTCCCAGGTGCTATGCTCCATGCGCGCCTGCAGCCGCAACGGCGAGGCCCTCCTCATGCTCGTCATTTACTTTTTGGCGTTCCTGCATGTCACTATCGAGAATGAGACCTTTCATGTAGGTTTGTTGTTCCTCTCTCCTCTCAAGTATCTACCACATGGTGTTGTGAAATATGGGAACAGAAAATAATGCGTGGAATGCAAAGACACTAACAAGTTTGTGTATTTCTTCTGAACTCTACATAATAGAACGTCGTTTGGCCGATCATATCCATGATGGGATTTGCCGTCTTCTTCCTGGACGCGTACCTGAGCCTCTTGGCGGCTCAGATCGGCTCGTTCCTCATGACACCCATTGCCTCGGCGCCACCACTGGTCGTCGTTCTATTGTTGGGAGCCTCGATGTCCACCATTATCCGCTATCTGACCTCATCCCCGACCACCAATGACAAGGATGACATGAAGCTGGTCCCTGAGCAGATGCACGACCAAAAGCGCCGTGCTCTCCAGTTCCCCCCTCCTTATCCCAATGGATGGTACAAGCTTGCCAAGTCTGGAGATGTCAAGCCCGGTCAGGTCATCAACGTCAATGGTCTCGGTCACTCGTTTGCCGTTTTTCGGGGCGAGGATGACGAGCAAGTGCATGTCTTGGACGCCTTGTGCCCGCACCTAGGCGCCAACATTGCGATCGGCGGCGTGGTCGAGGGCAGCACGGTCGCATGCCCCTTCCATGGCTGGAAGTTTGACGGCTCGGGTGCTTGCATCGACATCCCTTACTCCAAGTCGATCCCCTCATTGGCCCGGACCAAGCGCTGGATCCATCGCGAGTATGCCGGTATAATTGTAGTCTGGTACGATGCCGAGGATCGTGAACCCATGTACGAACCCGTCCCTTCTCCCTTGGCCGAAGGCACCTTTCGCAGGGTCGGCTACCGCAAGAGCACCGTCCCCATGCATATCCAAGACTTTGCCGAGAATACTTCGGACTGGATGCACTTCAGCCTGTTGCACGATCGTCTGTCGATCCCGATCCTGGGCCGATTCCTGTACATAAAGCACCGGACCAAGTGCAACTTTGACGAAGAGACCAACCCGTACAATTTTGTCTTTACGGACCACGCGACCGTCCACACCATCTTTAGCGACAAGCCCCTCACGGCGGAGGTGTTGGCCCAGGTCGATTTTACAGGTCCCGGAGGGCTAGTGTTTTTCCGGCTCTATACACCCCGTGGACTGGTCATCATCATCAAGTCGTTTTTACCCGTTGGCGAAAAGGGTCTGCAATTGACCATGGAGGATGAGGTCTATGCCGAGAACTCGGTGCCGTACCTGGTAGTGCTGCATGTCATCCGGGAGGCTAACAAGACCTTTGACGACGACATCCTTGTCTGGCGCCACAAGACGTACAGGCATCGCCCGATCTTTGCCAAGGAGGATGCGCCTGTGAAGAAGTTCCGCAATTATTACAAGCGGTTCTACTCGCCAAACAGCCGTAGCTATGCGCACGACACCCTGGATTGGTAGGGCTCCATGAAGGGCCAGCCAGAGTACACCATTTCTTTTTCTCTTGAAGGATATCTCTGCGTTCTTCATTGACATTGTCGTAATATTGCCACCATCCCCTATCAGGTGCGATTCAATGTTAGGATGTCTCCCTCGCCAGCTTTGAGGAAGTTTTGGTGTATGCCATGTTTACAACCATCATGCTCATTTTCAACAACAGCCCCTTTGTTGGTTTAGAATAAAGACGAATTGTCTGCATCATATTTGTCGTTCACGAATGTTGCAAAGTATCATCGCCACTCTTCCGAGCGCGCGCGTACTCTTGGAGTCTAGCAGCTCCTGTTTGCTCTGCAATATTTACAAGTTCTTATTTGAAACAAGCATCCAGGATATGCATAGCATACAAGATCCTTCAAAGTACAATTGTTCAACTAGAAAGCGGTAGCCTGGATGACAATTCCCGTACTTTCATGGTTGAAAATGTGCATTATGTAAAGTGCTCCAATCAATTGATCAACCAAAACGCGATTTCGACTTTTTTTTTTTTTGAAATGTTCATTCACCAATGTTCCGAACGGCCCTCAGATTCCTGTCACTCATTCTCTTGATTCGTAACCTCATTCATTGCCACTTGCTTTTTTCTGCATGGACCGACCGACATTGGTTCATCACCGGAATTGGGATGCACGCTGTCACATTGATCATTTATGTCCAACGCATAGAGCAGCGTATGATCTGCATGTAAAATTTTACATGGGTTTAGCACGGGCGATTTTATTTTTCTATACCACAAGCTCAATGGACTTTCTACAGATTAATTGAAAGCGGTCATAAACAGAGGACATGGTGTGTGATCCAGAAGGTAGAAAACTTGCAGGACTTTTTATCATTTATAGAAAAAATAGTTAAAGTATTTGTTGCATGGCTCTAACACGATTTCACACATTGTCATGATATTACACTCTATCGAGAATGGCAGGTTTCGCGCATCAAAGACTTTTAGACCCTGATGTCCTTTGTGTGGGCGTGCTTTTAAGCTTATGGTATAAAAAATACAATCGTCCCGTGCTAAACCCATGTAAAATTTTATATGTAGATCATACGCTGTTGTATGCGTTGGACAATGTGACATCGGACATTTCAATTCCGGCGATGATCCAATGTAGGTGCATGCAAAAAAAGGTAAGCTGTGATGAACGAGGTCATGAATCAAGAGAATGACTGACAGGAATCTGAGGGCCGTTCGGAACATTGGTGGATGAACATTTCGAAATCGCGTCTTGGTTGATCAATTGATTGGAGCACTTTACTTGAAGTTGCGGTTCTTCTTGCCGAAATGTTGGCGCGGGGCACCTTGACGTCCTCAAAGTTGATATGGACTGTGCCGGACGACCAAACACCAGGGCAATTCATCTGGCGAGTCAAGACACCGGCTATCGTGCGCTCGCTCAACAGCAGTGGACATCGCCCATGCCCTTTCCCCACCTGCGCGTCTTACATTGTTTTCCTTAGCGGTGTGAGGAAGAACGGAGTTTACCTGAATTGTTCGTCCGGTCCTGAACCTTCGTTCTCTCAGCCAGTACGTCGAGCAGGAGTCCTTCAACATGGAGATTACGAAGACAGTATGCTCCATAATCCTCAAAAACGATTTCTTGACATCAATCGACCTCAAGGAAGCCGGTCCTGATCCCAAGGTCCTGCATGCTTCCTCCTCAGGAAGCGCATGTCACATCCTCCAGAAGAACTCCCCATTGGCGCTTGGGGACCTGGAGGGTAGTAGACGCGTCTAATCCGCGAAGGCGTTTCTGAGCAAGCCATCGCTGTGATCCACAGTAACAGCAAGTCTGTTCTCTCTCCACTCCTTCCTTTCTCTTTCTTCTCTCTCTTTTCTTCCTCTTTCAACTTGGGGATCCCTCTGGAGACAAATATGGACATGGCGCCCTAGACAGTGATCTAAGTGTCCTATAGAGGACGGACTACTTGCATTGTCATAGGGGCCATGGACATATGTCCCACCCACCCTTTGCTGCCGAAAAAAGGATCGACATTTCTTTCTAGTTAGTTTTAGTCGGTTAAAAAAAATATTAAAAAAGAGTCACACACACATATGTCCATGGCACCTATGACAATGCAAGTAGTCCGTCCTCTGCAGGGGGGTTCGTTGCGCCCATATGTCCAGCCACGTGTACAGACACATCGAATGGAGGAAGCGAGAAAAGATCAAGAAGAATGAAGGCATCCTAAGGATAAACAGAGCAGAAGAGATGACGATGATTGTTACGCAAGCAAGGCACTCGACTGCTCCCGGTACGGGTCGAGATGAAAACAAGGAAAAATATCACGGGAGCCTCTGGTTCCGGTCACTGGGATGTCACCATGGACAAATGAAAAAAGGGGGAGCAGACAAATATGCCATGCGGGACATCGCCACGATGATGAGTTGATCAACTCTATCGAAATCTTTCTCGCGCAGACATACCTCTAACGCGGAATCGACATTTGACTGGCTCAGAGAAAGGAAAAAACCCTCCTTCTAACCTACTATGTTGTTCATACTACACTACAGGGGATGTGGATGGCCTCCTAGTTGGAGCACGAGAAAACCGTTCCGATCTCGACTTTGATTAACTCGACCTCATTACTCATTTCCTTTCTTCCTCCCACCTCGCCCTCTCACTTGCGTCCTGCTTGCTGAAAATATTGTTCATTGTCATTCTTTGGATCTCTTGTTGTTGAGCTGCCCCCCTTTTTTTTTTTTTTTTTTTTTTTTTGGATCCTCTACCACCCAGCTACCCTCCCCTCCTATTGTTGATCCCTCATTACTGGCTATCCTCTTCTTTCTTTTACCCATGTTGCTCGGCTAATCACTTATTTTTGATCCTTTACCCAGCCGGCTAGCCTCCTTTTTGATCCCCCTACCACCCGGGTACCCACGACTTAGTATTTGATTCTGTACCATCATGGCTACCCTTGTTTTACTGTATCTTTGTTCGTCAGCGTAGGTGACCGCTGCATTTTATTTGGCATTTTGAGAGAGAAGTGACAGATGCATGTGGAGAACATTGCGTTTGAGAACGACTGGGGTCGGTGTCCTCGACAGCGGTGGGGGTGTTTCCATGAGGACGGCCATCGTTAGTGTCTGTAGACGCCGTAGGGGGGGGGGGGGGGGGGAGGGATGCGCTAAACAAACAAACCATCCGGCCAAGACAAAAAAAAACGTTAGTTAAGCATTGGAAGATGCAGATGCTGGAAGAGGCACTCGACCAAGTAGTTTACTCTCACACTCACCATCGGCCGCACAGGTTCCCTAGTCTTCTTCAGCGCCCTCATTACCTAATGCATCAAAAGAGATACAAAAACATAGTGTCAGTTGCGAATGACAAGCACACAATATAAGCAAATTACTGAAAGCAATACCTACAGTCGTTCGTGGCTTTGGCGGTCGCTGCTCCTGCTGACGTTTTAGTCCTTGATCTTGAAGTTATCGACAAACGATCCAAACGACATGTGCACCACTCGCTCTCTATCGTTCGGGGTGCTCCCATTTGCCCAGGCAAGGTGCTATTTTGCCGAAATAGACTTGGAAAGGAAAAAAAAGACAAAACCCAAAAAAATAATATTAATAAAGTGATCTTTCGTCGCGTCGCTCATCGTCATCTGACAATATGGCGAAAGGAAGAAACAAAGTTAACTTCAGCGCAAAGTCAGGACGCCTCCTAATCGCGAGTACATGTCAAGCGTCTGCGCTGAACAACATTGTCACGGCTGCCTCCCCGGTCGGCGTGGACCAGGATCAATGATCCGTGACCACAGGGATCAAAAATCCGTGACCACACGCTAGAGCTAAGGAGAAGCCGTTTTGGTTGACAATGCGCTCTGTTCTTCTTCTCGCCGTCGAAGCGCATGATCCGCTAGCAGAACGTCACGACGCCTCCTAATCGCGAGTACATGTCGTGCGGCCCCGCTAACGGCCAAGCCTGTCGCGGCCACCTCCCCGGTCGGCGTGGACCAGGATCAATGATCCGTGACCACAGGGATCAAAATCCGTGACCACACGCTAGAGCTAAGGGGGCCAGGTCGCATTGACAGGACGTTTTTGCATGCGCTGCGATCTGAAAGGAGTCCATTACCTTCATGATTGGTGGGAGAGGAGCAAAGAACTGGGTGATGGATGAAGTAGAAAGGGTAGGGGAGAAGAATAAAAGCTGGGCGATGGATGGGGTAGGAAGTGATGAGAGAGAAAGAAAGGTGTGGGTGTGGTGGAAAGAATGAGAAGATTATGGAAGTGACATTGAAAGGAGTCTTTTTAAAGTGCAAGGGAAAACAAGTCACTTTCCCACCCACCCCTTTGCCTTCTCGTTGACATCATTCCTTTATTCTTTCTTCAGCTTGTCTTTTTTCTGCATCGTCTTGTCAAACTTTTCATACGTATCGTTTTCTATTGCTTGTTACTACCAGACATCGAGGACACAGGGATAAACATAAGGCTCGATGAGCGCTAGTAAAAGCAATTGAGTCTACAAGGATTAGACGTTCATTCCATGTTTTTCATACTTGTTCATGCTACATGTAGGATTGTCACGAATACGCAACGCAGGCGCATCGAGCGTACCAAAAGTACCAATACCAGATAAAGGGCGAGGACGAAAAAGACCCTGTCTCATCCACTCTGAAAACGACATTGACACGCTTGAATGAGAGTGCATTGTATTTTCGCTCACAAAGCAATATTGCCAGACGGCCTTCATCGCTCGAAATGTTCAAACACGCCAAGGAAGAGGGTCAGTACGACGAGTCCACAAGTAAATCATGTCAGTGGTAATAGATCTGTAACGTGTCGTCAGAAGATGGGGCCACCAATATTCGCGTTTGCATACTTGCTTTCCTGGGGGGGGGGGGGGTCACAGTAGAGTTGTGTATTGTGGGGAGTTGTCTGCTTGTTTGTGCGTGGTGCTGTTTTTGGGGTGGAAAGGTAAAGTACTTGTGACTTTTTTTTTTCATCATGTCGCCGTGCATGGGCATGGAATATCATAAAGAAAAAAAAGGAAACGACGAAGTTTGGTAAAATGCTATTAGTAGCAAGGGCGCTTGACATGGATGCATCAGCGTGGAGGAAAAGGGATGGTTCTATGGTACCTCATGCCTTTTGTTGAGATGCTTAAGAAGAAGGTTGAGGTGGGTATTGGGAAGAAGTGTGTGTTCTGGTTTTCTTTTTGTTTGTCCTTTTGTTTTTGTTTGTGTATAGTTCGTTGGTGTGACCGATACCGCGATGGATAACCAAGGACGGCGAAGAAAGAGAGGGCTGGATGTAGTCAAAGGGTCACTGCGAGCATGTATACCTTTTCTTTTGTGGACGCCCTCCATTCTGGCAAAGGAGGCACCCGGCTAGTTTTCCCTGCAAAGATTCATACAAAGCGCCTCCGAGATATCTTTCAGAGCGATAAATAAAAGGGTGCAAGAAGGTTCCAATGGCGTTGTTAGACATTGAAAACGATGTCTCTTGTTTTCCATTGCGATAATAATAATCGCGTATAAGGAATGAGTGAGGGAGATCTACTGCCCTTATAGACCACACAGCCTGACAGATACAAAGGAAAAGAAAAAAGACAACACCAGCTGTTTCTTATGTTTACACCACACCGTGCTCGAACTCGAACGATAAGACGAGGCGGAGAAAAGAAACGATGCAAAGAAGAAAAGCACAAACACAAGTTAGATAATGAGAATATTTCTTTAACGTACCTTTTCCTTACTCTCTCTGCCGCATGGCACTCGCCCTCTTTTTTTTCAAAATGACAAAAAGGGTGAAATCTAATGTTCATACGGTCATATACACACATATAAGAACAATGGAGGGTAAGCAAAGTGGAGGAAGAAGGAGGATAGAAGGGGCCGAGGAAATTTGAGATCGCGCTTGTACATGCTCCCAAGTTTCCTTTTTTATTTTCCTTTGATCAAGCCCTCTTGGATGGTTTTATTTGTTTGTTTTTTGTAGGTTCCATGCATGCTGAACAATAGACATTTTGACGACATTCGTCTCAGCGTGGTTCCAAAGGCTATGAAAATGTTGGGAGGGCCTCGCCAAAGCCAATGACGGTCCAAAAGGCGACTGTCTTGTCAATGAGTTCAACCTCGGGAGGTGGGTGGTCCTTTGACCCACTGACAACCAGCTGTGTCGGTAATGCTGACGGTTCAGTGTCCGACTGAAGCTTGTGCGACTTGAATGTGAATGTCACCAATAGCGGGATCTGGACAATAGGTGAAAGAATAAAACGAAAGCAATGGTTAAATCGAGAGGTACTAATAAGTCATAGTCCCTTGATCCGATTGTCAGTCATCCAATGGTTACCTTGACTTCACCAGCAGCGGCTGGGGTGATATCCAAAGCGATGCTCGTCGAGTTGGCAGTGCGTTCATAGACATCCTCCTGTACTGCTCCAGGCGCTGTAACCATAGTGCCGACCTCGTACTCCCAGACCACGTTGAAGGGTGATATAGTGAAGGAAGGCGAGTGAATGACGACTCCGTGGTTAGGGATGGCTCCATCACCGTATCGAAGAGAGACGTGTGCCTCTTCGTGTCGTGGGTTGGTGAATCTGAGAATGACGCGTGACACTGTTTGAACGATCATGGGCTGAAGTCCTGCAATTGTAATATTAGGAAGCTGGCTCCTACGATATTTTGAAGCATCGAGTGACGATATATCGTTAGGTCAATCTTTGCTCGAAAAATGGTAATCCAGACAATAAAAACGTGGGATCAACTTACAAGGCAATGAGGTTGATCTTGAAGCCTGTGGACTGGGACTTCTGTTCGGGCTTGACCAGGATATGGCGACAAGACCTGCATCGTCTCGACCTTTTAATCCGCAGCTGTATCCTTTGTGGCTGGAGTCGCTGTGTTGAGTATGTTTGGTTCTGCAGTTGTCGGAGCCGTTGCTTCATGGTGGTTGTCTCACTCAAACTCGTGATGGACATGAGTTTCTCCAGGTTCTCGGTATCCTCCATGACTTGAACAGCGGGCGTGTAATGTGCAATGTCATCGCTCTGCTGGGCTTTGTGGCTTGAGGTGGAGACATAGCGGAGTGACTGAAGAGTTCCTGATTGGATCGATGTCAAAAGGGACGAGGGAAGACCTGGCTTCAGGCTATGAACTCTAAAGTACTTTTCCAGGTGATCCTTGAGTCGATCGAACTCCTTGACATCCGGTAATGAATCCTCCGTCTTTTGGATTTGCACTATCATCAGGTGTGGCACACGGGTATCATAGGTCAGTGATGCTGTCATTCAATCAGAACAAGCGCATACCTTGCAGTCTGTAGTCCATGTGTCCATGAGGGGGTTACCTGCGAGTCCTGTGGGCTTTTCGAAGTTCATTCCGATCTCCTGCGAGTTCCATTGGCACACGTTGCAGGCGAGGTGGTATTGCCCTGTCGCAGCGACAGCTGTAATCATTCCTGCATCAGGATCCTCTGACACGACTGACAGGGTGCTCTGGCATATAGGACATTCGAAGCAGTTCCTCGAACACCTATTCCAATGGTAAGAGTATTAAAAGGCAGAGTGTGAGTAGAGAGTCGTGTTGGAAGTATGATAGTGGTTGATAAAACAAACGTCTAATGGTCAATCGCGGTTATGGGGTAAGAGAATCACAGTAGAATCCCTTTTGAGTAAATTAATAAGAAAGGCCAATAGTGTGGCATGTGCTAATCTTTCCCTGATATTTGTCTTTTCCACATGCAGGTGTTCGAGAAAACAAAACGTACTTGTGTTTCTCAGACTTGACACTGGCTGTAGGCACATCAAAGAGACAGTTGGGGCAGTAGAAGCAAACAATCTCGTCCTGCGCGCACTTTGGACAACGAATTTCATCGCACGAGTCGCAAAAGTAGAGACGCGACAAGGAATGTGACCCATGCGGGTCCGAGTTGTTGCCCGAGTCGTACACCTCGGCGGGTGTTTTCGACCGTTCTCCTGCCGAGTCTTGCTCGTGTTGGTGGTGAGAGTGGTGCTGCTGGTGAAGGGTCAGGGCGGCGGTTGCAGGGACCAGGTCTGCTGATGGACTAGAAGTAGTAGGGTCGGTGGTCGTAGTGGGTGTTGTTGTGGGGTCGATGTCCATGTCCTTGTCGTCCCTGTGAGTTGTTCTGGTAGGTGTTGCTGTTCGAGTGGTGGAGGGTGTTCTGGATGCGGTTGCAGATGGGCCTGGACTTGAACAGAGACAGCGGTAGTGGACAAAGGGTTGGATGACGGGAGCCTGTCCGGGCGGAGCGTTGAGCGCGAGCATTGTCGCCATCTCGGGGGGAAGATTATTTCTTGGTATGAATAGGGAGAGGGGGAGAGAGGGTCGTTAACGGGGAAGGTAGGAGGAAGCACGAGGGAGAGGGAGGGAGAGAGGAAGAGAGAGAGAGAGGGAGAGAGAGGAGGAAGAGGTAAAGGAAGAAGAACGAGTTGTCCATGGGTCCATCACCCTCCTCTCAATGCCGCGTGAACGACAATTGACAGTAGATTGATTCCCCGTGACACAGCACTAGCGATCTTTCATCTTTCTCCACTGTCCAGGCTGCCACCTGTTCGTTTCTGCGTTCTCCGTTCCTCGAGTGACACCACCATCTCCTTCTTTCCTCCTTTCGCTGCCTTCAATTGAACAAAATCGAACTTCACTCTCCCCCCTCCCTGTTCATCTTCCTTACCTTCCTCACTTCTCTGCAGCGACACACACATACCACATCAATCTCACTCACTCACACACCCACACTCACCCCTACTAAAACCAGGGGATCAAACCAAGGATGGCCACCCCTCCAGAGACACGTCCATCCACCCCAGGGACACCAATCACTTCTACCGCCCGCAATGTCTTTGACTTCGACGAACGCCTCTTTGCTGCCGCAGGAGACCTTGACAAACAGGCCAACCCTTCCTCCAACAGCAAGCAAGAGCTCTTTGTCTTCCAATGGCTCGCCTCCGTCGAGCGTGAGCTCAAACGGTGCGGTCACGTACGTTACTTCTTTACTTCTTCTTTTTCGAAGCTTATTCCGCCCTCTTTGGAGGGTGTGAGAGCATTCACTTTCCATCTTACCACCTACACACGCGCCCTAATATCACTACGCTTACTCTTATCCTGTGCTCAATAGGATATCTTCAGGATCATGCAGCCAAACTTGGAACGGCAGCTTCTCAAGTTGATCTCTATGCCCACACCAAAACCCCGCCATCCTATCAGACGCCTCATCGCCCGCTGCTTCCTTTCCCTCTATGTGCGAGGCAACTCCTCCACCTTGTTCGAAACAATTCAGATCCTTCAGAGTCTCATCGAAGGCGGCAAAGGCATGGGCGACAAGGATGTCAAGCTGTAAGTTCTCGTCTTGCTCTATTGTGTAGCGGCGTTGATTGAGTGTTCCGATTGGCTCCAAGTTGAACTGACCCTTGCTGTAATATCCATATACATAGTGCCGCGATTCACTGCATCGGAGTCATCATGGAGACCATTGGCGAAAAGGTACTTGCGCAGACGCAGCCCAGCATTGACCCAGGAGGTAATTAATTGCGACCTGCGCAAGAAAGTCCAAACGTGCTAACAACCCGCCTTGCACCAACCCACCTTGTTAGATTCAATCATTGGTACCCGATCTTGCTACCTCCTTCCTCAAAGTTATCAAGAATGAAAAGATAGTAAGTGGTTTCCTCAGGCTGCGCAACCCCGGAGTCTTATCGTAGCATCAAATCCTTTCATTTAGCTAACCATTTTGTTACGTCTTCTTTTGTCCGTAGTACCCCTTGATTATCAGAGTGGAAGCGATGGTTGCATTACGGAAAATGCTGCAGGGTGCTGGACGTGGAGCAACAGACCTGACAAACAAGGAGATTCTAAAGTCACTCAAGCTCACTATCCTGGACAAGGCATTAATCATGCGCTCATCCTCTGCAGAGGTACGATCTTGATTCATACCCTATTGCGCTTACTTTTTGAACAAGTAGATGAGAGATAACTAACGTCCTCATCAATTAATTACACCTGGTATTAGTGTCTTACGGCATTGGTCAAGCACACAACAATCGTTTTCACAAAAGCAGAACTGGAAGCATCTATGACACTGTTCATCAGGGCAATGGACGAGTCGACCTTTGAGATCAGGAAATCGGTTGCAACTCTCATTGCAACACTTTTGTACTCGAAATTCCAAGGAGAAGAAAACTTGATGATGGCAAGCGCACAGTCTCCACCACCTACGGGACCTGGAGGGAAACCTGCAACCGGCAACGAGATTTTCACGCTGGACGTGAACGAGCTACTTTCACATCTTTCAACCGCATACAACAAACCCAATACAAGTCGCGAGGTCCGCGCAGGATTATCAGAGACGTATGCTGCCTTATTGATTATGCTGGGGCCTTCGATTGTGGAACGGCACTATGGCACGATCTTGAAGCACTTGCTGACGGAACTGGTGTCGAACCCCAAGAACACCGGATCGAGATTTGAGATTCTGACAGTACGGGAGCACGTCGAGTACATGTTGCGCGGTGTGATTGGAGCGCGTCTGTTGAGCGAGTCGGGACAGATTGCATCTATCCGTGAGTTGGTCGGTAGCTGGCTGAAGATGTGGCCCGCTGTGATGCCTGGCGAAATCGAACCCTCGGAGTATGCCCTCATCAGCGCACTGAACGAGACTTCAGCCTTGCTCTTGGATCTTGGGGGTGCAGCCAGTTCTATCCAGGTACGAGAACACTTCGAATTGATTTGAATAGCACGTCACATAGCATATTCTGCCGACTGAGCACACAACTAACTCACTCACTGCAATGACGAAATTATGATAGGACATTCTGATGTCGTCGCTTACCAACCTGGTCTCGCACCCTTCTCGTGCGGTCCAAACTGCCACAGCATGGTGTCTGAGGTGCCTATGCATATCCCTCCCGACAAACCTCGCCAAACTGATCCAAACCCTCAGCGCCAAACTCTCGACAGACCTGGGCACCCTCAACAACAACGGAAACAACTTTCAGGATGTCGCAACAAGAGCCAACGGTCTCGCCTATGCGATTGGAGGACTCATCACCGTCATCTCTGTCCACCCTCTTTATGTTTCGTTTGAGATGAGCGCACGTATCTTTTCTATGGCAGCCCAGTTGATCAAGAATAGCACCAACAAGGAGGTCCGTGTAGCAGCAGCTCAGATCCAGATTGCTTGGGTCTTGGTCGGCGCCCTGATGTGCCTCGGACCCAACTTTGTCAAGATGCACCTCCCTCAGTTGTTGCTCATGTGGAAGACCGCCCTTCCAAAGTTCACCTCCAAGGATGCCACAAACACGAATCGATCGGAACTGGATTGGGCATTCATGATGCATGCTCGTGAATGTGCTCTGGGCTCCATCGCGTCGTTCCTGTTTCACAACGGCGAGAAACTGGTCACTGTCGATGTGTCGAAGCGAGTTTCTGCTCTCTTGTCCAACACTATGGCCTTTGCAGCCGTCGTCCCTACCACGTTCCCTCCTCAGCCGGCGGCCCCAGGAAACAAGGCTCCCGTTCACGAGCTGTTGACTATTAAGTTTTCGGAACGGGATGACGCTCTCAGGAAACGTATCTTTGAGTGCTTTGTCGCCATGCGACATACCTCTGCCTTTGAGGTGTACCACTCGATTCTTATCAAGGCTGCCCTGGATGTGTTTTCAGACCCGGACAGGACTTCAGGAACTGCTGTGACAAATGCCATTTCAGCAGCAACCTTCACGACTGTCTGGGCTGTTGACGATGGGTATGGATACGGTGTCACTGGCAAGGTCCAAGGGTTGCGATGCGACATTGCATCTAGAACAAGCGGCCGTCAGGAGGAGATTCTGGATGGCAAGGATTACGACAGCGCTACTAAAACAACAGAGAACCTGCTCAAGAAACCGATTTTGGGCGCACCTGAGCACGACCCCATGGTGATCTACACGACATTCGCCCTTCCAACAGCTGTCTCGCGGTACTCTCTCCCCAAGCCTCGTCCTGTCGCGACTGGGGTGATTGATGCTGCGATCGAGCTCTTTGCGATTCTATTACCCTTGCAGTCGTCTGTCCTCCAGGGCTCGATGATGGATGACCTGTCCAAGATGCTCAAGAACTCGACTTTGGACAAGAACCCGGGGAGGAAGATGGCTATTCAAGTCAACGTTGTCGTTGCGCTCCTGGGTGCCACCAAGTATGCCATGGCTGAGGGGAAGCGCCATGAACAGCGAGCCTTTGAGGGCCCTCTGGCATCCACCCTCTCACAGTCCATCCTCAAGGTACTTTCCAATTATTATATGGCGTGGTTTTGTTGTAATCCTTCTGGGATGTAACCGCCCGTACTAACATATGTTTTGCGTCCGCACCAAATAGGACTCGATTGTTCATTCAGATCCTTACATTCGGTTCGTCGCGTGCGAGGCTCTCGGAAGACTGACCAGCGTTCTTGGAAGTCTCACTGTCACCAACCAGATCAAATACCTCATGGATCAAGTCGTTGCCAACCGGGATCCGGATGCTCGCGCGGGATATGCACTTGCGCTCGGTAATGTGTTCTCCCACTTGGGCGGTATGATGGCAGGAGGTCACTTGCGGTCGATCGTCGAGTACTTGACGTCGCTCAGTCGTGATCCTCATCCTATCGTACACAAGTGGTCACTTCACTCTCTGGCTCTGACCATCTCAAGCGCAGGCCTCATGTTCAGCCCATATGTCTCCAGCACGCTCACCAACGTCGCCACGGTCTACTTGGCAGAATCACACGAGCTCGCCGGAGCTGGATCAATTGCAACAGCGAACATTGCGATGGCCTCAGAGTTGTCAGTCTACCATGAGCTGGGCCGAATTATTTACGGTCTGATTGGAATCTTGGGCCCAGAGTTGCAGTCGTCTGCTAAGGTGCGTGAGCTCTGTGTCGGTCTGGTTGAGGAACTCCGGAACGAGGACGACGAGTTTGTGATTGTCCAGGGAATCCGGTGCACCCAGCATTTGATCATGTTTGCGCCGCTATTGGTCGACATGTCGACGCTGGTTCCTTTCCTGCAGGCACGTTTACGTCGGAGCACGGGTCTCAGTCTGAAGAAGGCGGCAATAACCTGCATGTATCAATTGGTTCAGCGCGATGTCAAGTCAGTCTTCCAACACTCGATGGGCGGCCTGGACGATCAGTTCTTCAAGTTGCTGGACACGGATCCTACTCTGCAGGATGTCAAGGACGTGGTCAGGAGCTGGATCACCCAGACAGCTCTCGAACAACCTAGTCAATGGATTGATATCTGCAGGAAGGTTCTCTCCAGGACTGCCATCGATGAGGGTGGGGAGCTCAACTCTAACGCTGCCGCCGGTGGTGCTAGCAGCAGCGCTCCCGAAGTGAGCCAGCCAAAGGGAGACGATGGCGGATTTGGCGATGACTTTGACGATGACGATAACGACAACATGTTTGACGACATTTCAAGGCCCGCCAAGAAGGCCTCGAGCGGGCTACCCGCCTCGGACTCTACATCATCAGGAGCTGCATCAGGTGCACAATCTCCTGTACCCGACTCTGGGCTCTCTGTTGTCGTCCCCGATCGATCCGTCAAAGCCGCCCCCGCATTACCACCCCGTTGGAGAACCAGAATCTTTGCACTAGAATGTATCCGTCAAGTCATCGATGTTGTTTCGACTAGTGGGATTGCCGATCATTTCGATCTTGTGGTTGCACGCCGCAAGAAGCGCAACTTTGGCGCCGACTTTTTGGTCCTTAAGGTCGCGGATCTGATCAAGATGACCGTCTACGCCGCATCGACGCCAATTCAAGAGATCCGCATGGAAGGGCTGTTGTTGTTGAGGCAGACGATTGAGAAGTTCAAGGAGACGGCGGATCCCGAGGTGCCTGACAGTGTCCTCTTGGAGCAGTACCAGGCGCAGATCGGTGCCGCGTTGACCCCGGCCTTCACGGCCGAGAGTACACCTGAGGTGGTGTCGCTGGGTGTCAAGGTCTGTGCGGTCTATGTCGGAAGCGGTATTATCCAGGAAGTGGATCGATTTGGCCGCGTTCTCAAGCTGTTGATTGGCGCGTTGGAAAAGTGCAAGGAGGACAAGCGACTGACAGCTGTAGGGGATGTGACCGATCTGACTCCACATGCTTCTCAGATGATCAAGTGGGCTGTCTTGAATGCATGGGCTGAATTGCAGGTCGCTAGTGTCCATCGCAACTACCTGGTCGCGGTGCTGAGGCCCAACCTGGAGGAACTTTGCAAGTTGTGGGCGAACGCTCTGGAGGAGTATGCGAGGTCGAGGATCGAGTCCGAAGCAGCGCTTTCAGGCACGGGAGTACCTGCCGGCGGAAGTTCCAGCGGAGGATCTGGCAGTGGTATATTTGACGCCTCGTATGCCGACTCTAGCAAGGACACCGAGAAGAACGTAAGTCCCCTCCAATGTTTGTAAAAGTATGGGTGCACGATGGATATTGGGCGATTTTGTACATACTCACAATGTGCTTTTCACTTTCTATGCAATCAGTTTGATCAAACATCGACACTCAAGATCTTGGGCGCTGTGTCATCGTTGGTGGATGAAAAGAACGAGTTTATGGTGGAGGCGCTTATGAGGATTACTCGACCTGAGATCGGTGCCGAGGTTTCTGAAACAGCCGCTGAAGACAAGGAGGACGATGCATCGCTGGAGGGCAAAGACGGTAACAGCGCAACTGCGACAACGGCCACCTCTACCGAGTCTGCTGTTATACCATCAGTGGCCACAGTGAAAAAGGAGGGTCCATTGCGATTGATCCATGTAATCTTTGGACTCTGCCTCGAGATCTTGGCCAAGACTTCGTCGACAGGGTCGAGTATCTCGACGGCCAACAGCCAGTCTGCGATCAATTTGGTGGTTGTTGCGAACGATGGAGCCTTGCAGGGTTGTCTTTTGGCCTTGCATTCAATTCTGAAGCCCCAGTTCATCGAGAAGGAGTTCTTGAGCAAGGTGTTCTTGGAGATGATGATGATCTTGGAGAGAGTTGCCTGGATGGAGGGAAGTCGCGTTCAGGGTTTGGTTGTTGGCGTGATCTCAACGGTCATCCAGGGGTATGGCAAGGATATGCTCTTTGACGACCCAAACAACGACCTTGACAGCCACAGCGGTCTTCAGGAGGAAGGAAAGGCGGATGGTGATTCCACTACCAGCACTGGAACTGGATTGTCTGCACTTCCAGAGAGTCAGCTCAAATCGATTGTTCAGCTGTTGGTCGAGCTCTACCTTCAGAAATGCACTGGATCAAAGGCAACCAGGTCTATCGGAGGAAGTGGACGACCTGGTTCGAAAAAGACGACGCCAGAGACCATTGAGTTGTTGGGTCGTGTTGCTGAGATGCTGACTGTTTTAGTCAAGGTTGCCCCGCCCAAGTACCAGCTCCACCTCTCTGCCGTCACCCTCAACGTCCTCGTCAGTACGTACTTTGGCGCTATGTTCATTCTTTATCGTCCTCGGTCACCATTTTGTATGCGTCCCTTCGAGATTTTAACGTGCTTCCTTTTGCGATTAGGTGTATTGCGTGACCCCGCGTTCCAGACGGAACTGGGACCACTTGTGCTGGTGAACATTAAGGGAGTCATGGAGTCGCTCAACAAGAACATTGCAGATCTCGACCCCAAGTTCTTAGAACTCATTCTGAATGGGACATTGGGGGCTCTCCTCAAGAAGCAAGCGGCTTTTGCTCCTGGTCGTCCAGAGGTTGTCGACCCAACGACTATAGAGTCGACGGGGTTCAATCTTGGCGACGATTCTGGTGTGGTCCCAACAGCCGTGGACTCTGAGATGGAGGTATCTGCTGTGGAGATTGCAGAGTGGTCCAATGGCTTGTTGGGGATGATGTTGATCCTGACGAATTGTACGGCTGTCCAGATCAAGAAGTCATTCTTGGAACAGTTTGAGCGTTTGATCATGAGCAGCATCGAGAGCAACATCAGCAAGGTAACTTATACATATGCATATATCCCCTATGTTCTTGTGTGTGTGCATGTTCCAAGAAAAATAATCTTACCATGATCTTTTCTTGTCATGTTCTCTCTTCTATCTGTACCACATTGTAGATCGTGACCGTGGGATACCAATGCTTGAGGAGCATAATCTTGATCGAGTCGTCGCGTGGGCGGATGTTTATGCGACAGCTGATTCCGTTCGTGGTAACGACGATTGTGGTCAAGGCCGCGCAGGAGGATAACAAGGTCGGGATGCAGGTCATCGAGGAGGGTGTCCAGACCCTCAAGTCTCTTGCTGTTTCGTCCTCTGAGTCTTCACGTACGTCGTCCCACTCTTTTGTATTATCTGCTAGTACTTTGAGAGATTGTGAACCAAGGAGAAGAAAAAGTACCCTTGCCGATGTATATGACACTAATTCTAATCAAACTGGATGAAAAAAAATAGGCCCTGGGATTGTATCAATCATCATGGCAACAGTCGTCCCCCTCCTCCAAGACCCTGCCACCTCGTCATCTCCCGCACCAACATCCAGCGCAGCACAGGTGCACACCCTAGCATTGAACCACCTCCTCTCCCTCGGAACCCAATTCCCTCAAGAGTTCCGGTACGGCCTCTCTACCCTATCAATGGAGAGGCGAACGAGGTTGGAGACAGCAATTCGTCAGAGTGTGCTACAACAACAGGCGATGCAGCAAAAGCAGTTGGAGGTTGAGAGGAAGGAACAGGAGAGGCTTGCAAAGGAGAAGGAAAGGGTCAAGATTCAGTTGAAGAGTAGCTTTGCGGGCTTTACTTAGAAGGCGTTGTGCACTGTATGTATGTGTGTGGTGTGCATGCGCAGGATGGGCTGCTTTCTCATAGACAAAGGAGAGGGATAGACGCAGATGTGATAATATACATGTAGCAGTAGTTGATATCAGCAGAGATTGGGCCACGGTGTTTTTTATGTGCATGTTGTCTGATACGCGATGGATGTGGTTTGGATGATATTGCGGTTGTTGTGTACTTTTTGCATGAACACAGTACCGAATGATCTTCCTTATCGAAATCGAAGGGGAGTTTGCATAAATGCTCTCTTCTGCTCCTTCCCATCCATGGATTGGCAACATGGTCGACTGCCAATGATGTCAGGAAGTGACTGTTCTTCGAGCTCACTCTCCCTTCCCTCCTTCCCAGGGACAGGAGGGAAGGGAACAAGGAAGTGCGCGAGAGCACAAGGAAAGGGAAAAAAGAAGGGAGCAAGAGCAAACCTTGTTGGATTGTATCATCCGTCATGTGAATTGGGCGAGAGGGAGAGGAAGCGTGAGAGCAAAAAGAGAGAAAGGAGGGGGACGGTTGGGTAAAAAGGGGAAAGGGGATAAAAAGGTCGGTTGCATGTCAACACCTTCGCTTTTCTTTCTTTTTTCTTCATTCCTTTCACCTCTTTCACACCCGCACTCACAACTTCGCCCTAAACCCTTACTACACGAAACACATATAACCAGACATGACCTGTAAGTTGTCGCCCTTGTCGTCCTCATCAAGAATGGTGTCCTTTCTGGAATCATGTCGCCGTTGTCATTTCTCTTGGCGTTCACACACAGTTTTTCATTCGCAGCTCGTGTCAACCCAAACAGCAACATCTCCCTTTCGCCCTATTCTTTTCTCTTTTTAAAGCTTTTAAAGCACACACGTCACATCAATTGCTCCTCCTGGCCACTGATCCTATCACTCCAATCAAAACTAACCTAACGCCCACTCGCCGACCTTATTCGTCTCACTCTTCACTCCTTCCGATAGCCGATAACGAAGCAAACGCCTTCTCAGCCTCAGTCATCCCCGGAGGTATCCAAACCCCCGGCCAGGCCCCTTCAACCATCCCCAAGAAGGGTGTCCAAGCTGCCGGTGCCCACAGCAAGGTCATCGTTGTTTTCAAGGCAGACACTCCCCAAGCTGAGATCAAAAATGCCGAGGACAGTATCATTGCCCAAGGTAAGATAGGATTTTCGGGGGGAGTTTTGATGGATTGGCAGTTCTTGTTGGAGGCGGTGGAAAGGATGGAGGGAGGAGGGTGGATGTTGGTTTTGCTGCTGTCTATGTGTGTGTCATTTTGATGACGGAAAATCTCACTAACCTTGGCGTCACTGTTCTTCCCTCTTTCTTTTTCTCACAAACATCCAACGCCCGTGCTCTCTGTCTATGTGTCCGTGTGTCTGCCTATCTCTCGGTCCCATGTAACCCTCACTCCCGCCCTCACCAATTCACCAACACAATCAACACAATCAACACAACAACAAACAGGAGGAAAGATCACTCACAGATACAACTCGGCACTCCTCGGCTTCGCCGCAGAGCTCCCCGACAACAGCTTCCAGGCCTTGAAGGTCCACCCCAAGGTCGATTACATCGAGGCCGACGGCGTCGTCTCTGCCTATGTCGGGTCCAACATTTAAAAAAATGAACAATGGACGTTGCCGGGAACAACCTTTTCTTTTTTCGATACCCCCCTCCTTTTTTTTTCTCCTGAGAGAGCCAATTGGGACGAGTAAACGCAAAAGCGACCAAGACATGTAGCCTGAGGACGTTGATAGTGTACCACCTTCTTTTTTTCGGTACATTGTGTAGATATCCAACAACGAAAAATATTTTGTACAAAGTTTTTATATAAACAAATAACATCTCACAAGTACATTCGTTGTTGCAGGTGTTGCTGCTATCATTGTTGGTGTCTCCCTTGGTGATGCACAGAGAAAAGGTAGGGGTGCTGGCGACTTTTTGTACCGTCAGGTTATGAACACTCACCAGTGTGTGCGTGTGTCAATGCGGACCATGGGTGAGAATGCAAAAATGGTGGGGTGTATTTATTACAAGGATTGGAGGGGGGATATCGAGAAAAGACGAAAAAAATGCAAGTTTGTGGGTGTGTGAGTGCGTACGTGCAGATGTATAATGAATGAAAAATGAAACGCGAAGATTAATATCCAGCAGCAGCAGCCTCGGCATCATCAGCAGCAGCGTCCTCATCCATTCCCTTCGCCGACCTCCCACCCCGATCCAACTCCTTCCTGGCCTTCATCAACCGATAATTCTCAATCGCCTGCTTCCGCTCCTCCTCAATAATACGTCTCCCCGCAGGCGTCAAATTCTTCAACCTCGACTTCTTGATTCCATTCTCCACCACACTCGTCCGTTTGTCTTTATCTTCCTCTCCCTTGCCAGCCTCCATCAGTTTCCGTTTCTTGGTCTGGTCCAGGTCCGCAATCTGGTCTTCAAAGTCTTCCTCTCCGGGAGCGTTCTTCCATTTCTTGTTGGCCATAAAGTCGTCGTTTTTGCGCTTCTTGGGGAGTGCGGTGAAGGTGGGGGGTGCTTCGGCAACTTCGTTGAGACGGATGCTGTCCTTGATGGTCTCGTATTCTTCGTAGGCCTTTTCTTCTTGGGCTTTGAGTTTCTTGGACTGCTCCTTTGCTTTCAGTTTTTCAAAGTACCTATTGTGTTCATAGAATATGAAGTAAAGGGAATAGGTGGTCAGCACAATCAGTGCAACAAAAGACAAGCGAAGCATGGTCAATGAACAAAAAGAAAGAGGAGGAGGGGGGGGGGGGTCCTTACTTCTTCTTCTTGCTGCCGCTGGAAGTATTATCCCTGGTAGCCTTCATCATCTTCTCCCGCATATGATCATCCACACGCCGGGAGAAATCGCCCATCCTCTCTCCAGGCTGAATCCGCAACTCGGACGTCTCCTGTTTTCCATAACCCTTGCCCGTTCCGTCCTTGTTATTCTTATTGGCAGTGTTGTTGGCGGCAGCGGCAGCAGCGGCGGCAGCCTTTTTCTCTTTGGCGGTGAGGCCGAGATCTTCAGAGGAGGAGTGCTGACGTTTATCCTGGGCGCGTTGGGCCATGGATTCCTTTTTGAACATGATCCGTGAGAAGCCCTTGGGGGTGTCTGCGGTTGCGTTCCTGAAGGGCGATTCGTCGAACCTATTAGTGGTTTTTTCAATTAGAGTAGGTAGCGCGGTGTTAATAGGTGTGTTGACTATAGGAGGTGGGTTCCTGTCGTCGTTTGTCCCCTATGCTTCCTCCTTTTCAACGACATGGTTCACTCTATGAATGTCTGCATTGTGCAGTTGAGAAAGGAGACATTTACCCCTTGTTGGTCCTGTCGGCAACGCGCTCGGAAAGCTTTTTTCTCTTGTGTCCCATGTCTGTTTGATGTCGGTAGCTTGTAGTTGTTGAAGAGGTGAGGTGAGAGATGCTTCAAGTCCTATGCTTCCTTTCACCATTTACGACCAAAAAAAAAAGAAAAAGAAAAAAATGAAGCAGTCCCACAAACACATCTAAGCCACATTGCCGATCTGAGGTGCCATAATGTTGAAAAGGTTCATCTTAAGGAACTAGTTATACCCGCTCACTCACTCGCTCACTATCATATCGTAGGCAGTCGTCAGGTCCTCAAGAGTTGACACAAGATTACTTCGTCGAACCACTTCATTTTGCAAGTCAATTGCAAACCTTAAACTTCTCCTCACACACATCTCTATCCTTGATGCAAAATGCGCCTTGTTCAACGGTACCATCCTTCTCCCAACCTGCCTCCTCCCAAACCGCCTCAGTCGGTTGTATGTGTTTGCGAAGTCCATAACGTAAAAATTGGTCTCGTCACCAGACGAAGGCGCTCAACCCAGCAGGAGGAATTGCTTCTCGGGCGATGGACCGGATCTGTGAGTTCCTTGAATCCTTCATGCTGCGTGCCACCTTAAATTTGTCCTTGACCTGCGTCTCCAGCTTTGGCTCGTAAATGAGTGATGCCTCTGCTAAGTAAATCTTATGATCTCCAGAGAGAGCGACACCACCCGCCATTGACGCCTGTTCCTCGATCTCCACAGAAAGGTCGCGTCCACGGCTCTTTCTCTCCTTTGTTCGCACCACTGGAATCTCAAAGCATCGCGACTGGATTTGGCCAAAGTCAACGCACTTTGTCCCCAATGCCCTCTAAAATCACAGCGCAATCCTTGACCAAATGGTGTCCAGAAGTTTGACCTCGTCGGGTTTGATCGGGAGCACCCAGGCGAGTAGGAGTAAGAGTGTATGCCCTGAATTCCAATATGCAAAATGAAAAAACTAATAGCCTATTTTGCTTAAAAAAATGAGATAAAGCAATAAACATTACAAAAGCCTTAGGGTAAAAGCGGGGTATCGTCTCCACAGGGCCACCTTGGACACTAACAAAATAATATGGCGCGCTCGGCGATGCTAAACTAAAGGGTATCAGACGTAGCGCCGGACAGTACGCCATGATACTCAATTCTAACTGACAGAGAAAGCTCCAGACGCAGTCATATCCGTAAACGAACCATAATATGGTGTCCACTGTGATTAAATTGATGGAGTGAATGATAAGAGAGAGTAATGGTTGCAGTGAATGCGCGAATGCGCGAGAAAGAGAAGAGTGGGTGTGCATGTGTGTAAAATAGAGATGAGGGATGAACTAAAAGTATGACGTTTCCCTCACAGAAAACATTTCTCAGGGCCATCAGCCAGGTGTAGCACGAATTGGAACGGACGAACAAATGGACGGTCTCATATTAATTGATTGCACATTACGCAGTCGATTCTTACTCTTCCACTTCTTCGTTTCACTCACTCCTCTCTCTCTCACTTCACGTTTTCTGTACTTACTCTTTGTCACCCATCCTCTCCCTCTTTGCACATACACTCTCTCGTATCCCTTTCTCTTTTTTATCACAGACACACACCGCTACTCTGCTTTCGCGCCCTCTGAGGCAGTGACCCTTTTTTGCCGCCAAAGGCAGAGGGTCGCTGTCTTCGTCCTCTTCATTTGTCACTCCAATGTCTCCACATATACCGACAGCTGCTCTTCCTTTCCACACACACACACCAACATCCACGATCTCTTTCTCCAACACTCATGGACAGCACCATAACCAGCAGTAACATACACCAATACAACACACTGGTAACCAGGTCGTCTCTTCTCCCTTCTCCACCTTACACCAACTCCACCAACACCTCACCAAAAACTACCTTCCACACTTTTTACCTCATTTCATTCCATGCATATTTTTCCCGGCAACTCTTGGATCCAGTCACCCCCGGAGATGGACGTCTACACGGACGCGTCGGACAAGGGCTGGGGCATAGTGATTGGCAACAGGACATGGAGCGAACTATGGTCAGTAGAGAAGACCAGACTCCACATCAACTGGAAGGAGATCCAGACAGCCTTCCTAGCGCTCACTCGTCCTCTGGTCCAGAGCGAGACGGTGAACATCGTCATCGAAAATACCAGCACACTGTCGTATATAAACAAGTTTGGCGGCACCAGATCACCACTACAGATGGAGGCAGCGGATAGAGTGCGGAGACACTGTTTAGCTACACGAACGAGGCTACAGACGACGCACTTACCTTCGATTTTCAACCTAGCCGACTCGCCATCCAGGATATCACAGCAACAAATGAAGTGGAGTCTCGATCCACCATTCTTTCAACACCTCAACTGGATTTAGGATCCTCACCACGTCGATCTCTTCGCATCGCCGCTCGACACTCAGCCCCCACGCCTTTTCTCTTGGCGCCCTCATCCAACGTCGATGGCAACGGACGCCCTTCGCCACAGCTGGAAGAGATTAGGCAACCTATACCCGTGCCCGCCGTGGAATCTGATCCCACAGGTACTGCAGCGACTCAGATAGAAGAAGTTGGATGCCACTCTGATCGCTCCGTTTTGGCCATCAGCAGCATGGTACCCGTCGGTACAGGAGATGTCCGTCTGTCCTCCGGTCCCGATCCCAAGGACCACCATGCTTCCTCACCCAGAAAGCGCAAGTCATATCCTACACAAGAACCCTCACTGGTAGTGTCAGTCCACTCTCTTCAGTCTCCATTAAAGGTAGTTGTTGTATATTGTTACATTGTCTACGGTGTAATGTCCATATGTGTTACCTTTTTAATTTTTGAACCGACGAAACTAAACTAAAAAATATATAAAGCTATGGATCCCTCACCCCGAAAATGCTCCTTATCTTCTTTTTCGTCGCTCATTGGAACTCATCCATAGCTTCAAACCTTATTCACCCATGAGTGACTTTACCGACAATGAACATATTACACTCGCTTCTCTCTCTCCAGAGGAGATCGCCAACATCAAGGCTTTCCTCACTACTCAGCAATCCTCTACCATCATTGACCTCCCTCGCGCCAAGCAACTTATCATCACTGACGACGCAGCCAGTCTTATTCCTTCCATCTCGGTCGAACACTTTTTCTTCCCTCCGGACAATCCAGACGACGGCACCATCTCGCCCAACGATCTTCTGTTTGACAAAAATCCTCTGCAACAATACACTGCCCCTGGTTGAGACCTCCCCTTTCCAGTCGATCGCTCCTCGCCATACCACCACTTCGAACAAGCTCTGGTCAAGATCATTGAACGCCAGGCCTACTCCACGCGCCCACTCGACGATCTTGCAGTTGACTTCTTGGCAAAGGTCTCTGACCCTGCCGCGCGTCAAACAGTGACAGACTTTATCCAAATCATGCGCAGTAATTTGGCCAACAACGCCAGAGAAGTACAGGAGCTTCGCAACAACAACTATCTCCGCGCCAAGGGACTCCAGCCTGTGCCGGAGAAGAAGAAAGGCGTTAGCGTCTCTCAAGAGGTCATCAAAGCCAAAAGCGGTAGAGGAATATGCCAAAGCTCTCCCCGCCAAGAAGTCAGCCAACGGACTCTTTAGGACGCTATTATCACTATCCTCGACTATCAACCCCCCCTCAACCTACAACCCCTCCCCCCCGTACCAATTGAGGACTTAACAGCGGTCCTACAACTCTGGCCTTCGACCCTCTCCCCTGAGTAACAGAATTAAGAACATGTGGGTTAAGGGGTACTTAGCTAGTAATAAAAACGAAGGATGGAGCAACTTGGCTCCTCCTGCTTTTTCTGATTTATTTTACCGACTTTTGACTTTTGTTCTTCATATTGAACTGGGAGTCCACAGCAATACTCAGGTATACCATTGCCTTCCAGATGTGGATGCGCCTACGCGCACCTCCACCAACAACAAGTCAGGATTCAGTTCAGATCCTTTTCCTTTCGCCACGTTCTGCACTGCCAAGAGATGCATACCAACCATCCAGAGCACACCCTGTCCACGAGTCCGCAGGACCTCCGCTGTTGCAGCCCAACACCTGACCACAAGCCGACAGATCGTCTAACAGTGTAACAGTTCAGAACGGATCGATTTGCGGACCAAATTCCCATCGGCAGCAACAACATACCGGGTCTACTTCACTGTCAGCACTCCTCTTCTCGCCATCACCACGATCAGCCCTACAATATGCGGACTCCTTGGAACTCTCCCAGTTGTTCCTCAGAGAACTCAGTCCTTTATGCTCTCGGTGCCATTTAGCTAATATAGATCCCCACTTTTATTGCCCTTTGGTCCCCTTTTTCGTATTCCTATCTATAGAATTCAGAACATCCGCTTACTTTGCACTACCTTCGCGCTTCTCCTTCGCTCTATTTGGAACCACGAGATCTTTCTGGTTCTATTTTGGTAAGCGCCCTGAAGCCTTGTTTCAGTGCGCAAGTGCCTTGTTTCATTGTTAATAGTAATAGTTCCCCTTATTCATTAATGGATCTTCCACCTTCTGTTCTGTAGACTTATTCGCTCACCCGTCGTGTCCTTACCTTACGTCTCGGGCCTTTTCCTTGCGTACCTTTCTGGGTCCCAAGTCCTCCTGATCCTCACCAGGTACGGACTTAGATCCTTCTTTTCAACGGTTATATGCCTATAGTTTATAGTATCATAGTGGTTATTGCGCCTTGCAACCAAAATAATTAGTTCGGACAGCTAAACCCTGATTAAGTTGCTGTTCACAACTAAAATTTTGTTCCGCGCCCGTGTACAGTACACTCCGCTCTCCACTGAATTTTGTTGGATTAATTTTAATTTTTTGCCTCATTTTGTTAGAAAGGCACAATAATAACTCAGGAACTAGACTACTTATGAACTATCTATTTATGTGTGTTCAAGGGATCTGGCGGAGCCCATAGTTCATTCTAGGTCTTTTTGTATAACTGTATCGGCTGACTGGTCAGGAGGGTGATTAGTCAGCGAAAGCCATTCAGTGATCAGTTGATCCCGTAGTCAGTGGCGCTAGAAAGATGTGGAAGTTGGTGGCGTTGGTCATGTGCCAGTTATCAGAGTAAAACTCTAACACTTGTCTTGAGCAAAAGCTAAACGAGCAGCTACGTGCCTTGGCTCCAGATGAGGTTTCTTGACGGCAACGCGACAAAATATCCTCTTTTTATGGAGAATCCTGCGTGCTGTGCTTTTCGAGACTGGCTTGGGCGCCATCTCTGCTATCTCTTGAAGGGTGTTGCGATTGCTGTTATTCACCCTATTGAGAAATTGCTCGACATCCTTCTCTCCAATGATTGGAGGTCTTCCAGTTGATTTTTTGGGAACAATGGTGCCGTCTCGCTCCCACTTTTTAATAATATTTAGGACCGTGTTTTTGTGGACATTGAACGTCTTGGCAATGCTGGAGGAGTTTGCGCCAGCTTCATAGGCTCCAATGATACGGCCCTTGAGCTCGACAGAATGGTGCTTAGGCATGGTATAATAGTGGTAGTGGTCAAGTGCGATGGTGGTGGAATGGGAGTATTGAAGAGGTGGTTTTTTTTATTTATCGGAAAAGTCAGAGGAGAGTGATGGTGCTAGAATTTTCGAAAAATTAGTTCTTTTGAATTGGTCGTATGACCCTATTGGTTCGTATTCTATTTCTTAGACCCATACATTATGGGAGGTGACTGTACATCGAGCCCCGATGTAACCACTATGCAATTGTTGGAATTGGAGCATTGACTCATCGCAGCATTCACATACACTGCAATCATTATCCAAGCCTACACATCGAGGACCGCTGTCAACAAAGTCTGTCGGCTGTACGCGAATCTTGGCTAAACCACCATTTGATTGGATAGCATCAACAACTACACCATTTTTTATTCCCCCACAGCATTGCAAAAGTATGAGGAAGGGTGCGGCGAAGAAGGCAATAATCAGGACAATGTCCTTTATTGGTCGAGGAGACCACCTTTCATTCTACGAGGAGAATAGACATATAGTTCTCACCCGCCCTCCCTTTGCGTTTTGTAAGTGCGTCATTTATCTATGCCAGATAGCAAATAACAAAGGCCCACGATAAATAATATTTTATCAGAAAATAAAGTGGAAACGTTGTGTCATAATATCCACTAATTGAACCCATATCCGATTTAGCACAAGCGCCGACAGCGGCCAGTGCACTGCGTGCCATATAGTCATACTCGACAGGACCTTGACTTTCAGGCAACACGGCGACAATTGATGTATTATTAAGCGTGATAGCCGCCCTCCTGTTGTCGAAGGCAGGTACATCGTGGCTATTAAGGAACTGACCGATAAGCTATAGCACATCGGATGCATCGGCACCTGGATATGGGTGGCATCGTTCTGTTCCGGCGCTTGTCAGCATAGGGATGGCCAACACGACCTAGAGCAAGCGAGCTATCATTGCCTAGATGCTGGTTGACAGGAGAAGCGAAGGAGCTGGGACGTTTGAATTCTTCGTTCTAGAGTTCTAGAGAACAGCCTTGGTGAAATGTGAAAAGCAAAACGGGAACGAGTGGGGAAAGGAGGTCATGGCCGACACGTGAGGGCGAGATTCCTGATTAATGATAATCCTCATCATAAAACGCAACCATATCGACTTACTTTGCAAGGGTGACAGAGGATGAGAGGTTTTTGAATGCGTTCTGTAGGTTCCCTTGTGAATGTTATCATGAGCGTTCTTGGCACCGTTCTGTGAGGGTGATTGTTTGTGTGATGGCTTTGCTACGGTGCTTGCGATGGTTCTTACAGTGGTTGTTGCGAGTGTCGTGAGTGACGTAGTGAGTCTTGAGTCTCGAGATAGGGTCGGATGTGTCGTTGTGACGGAGCAGGCCGCTGGGTAGGTCCTGCTGCTTTTTATACGTGAAGAGGGTGGCAAAAGAGACAAAGCAACTGAATTGTTGCCATATGTACATGGAATGAGAAAACAAATAAAGGAAAAAACCGCTCACATTTGGGCCGCTAAACATCAAGGGCATTTTCGTAAAAGGAGTGACGCCGAAGGGATCACAGGTATGCTGAGAAAGCAGCGCAGCCAAAAGGTTTAAGGGCACGCTGAAAGAAAAAAAGACAAGAATAGTGGTACCACATCCAAAACATCAAGGGGATACAGGCAGAAGCAAAAGAAGGAAGGTCGCTCAATAGATCAAGAGAAAGGAGGATGTCGAACAACGTCAAGGGATAAAATCACAGGGCAGCATGAAAGGAAAACACCAAAGGACAGAATCAAGAGAGAGACTCAAGGGACAATATCAAGCGAAAGCCTAAAGGGCAACACCCAAAGGCAATATCAAGGGACGAGGAAAACTAGATGAGAAAAATCAAGGGGTGAGAAAAATCAAGGGATGAAGAAAGACAATGATAGGGAAAAGACAAGGGGAAAACAAGGGAATGGAAAAGAGAGCGGATTATGATGAAAGATTGAAAGATCAAGGGAGGCTGGAAAAGATCATGAGATGCTGGTATGAATAGCAAGAGATGGTGGGAAAAGATCAGCACAATGATCCACAAATGTCCAACAGAGGACGGACACTTGCATAGTCATAGGTGCTATAGCCCACATGTCCGCCCCTTGCTACTCTGTTTGCTGCCGAAAAAGATTTTGGGGGCGAGGGCGTCGGTTCAAAAAATAAAAGGTCGCATACGTACAGTACATAGCGCCAATGACAGTGCAAGTATTCCGTCCTCTTTAGGACACTTGTGGATCAAAAGACCGGCATATCGCCGCTCACAGCATAGGAGCGTTTTGGCGCTGCCTTCTACGGCTCGGCGCTCGGTCGATATTTGTTTTGTCCCTTCGAGCGCTCATACTTCCTTTCGCTGCACGGGCGACAAGAAGGTGCTGCACATCTACACAACTATGGTTCACAACGAAAAATGAATTTCTGCTCTCTTTGCACGAAGAACGCTTAACTGTGAGATATCCCTCCCTTAGTTTGTTATTATGCCTGTGAACAAACAATTCAATGCAGCCGTTCGAGCCCTCTCTTGCCCCTGAATTTTATTTTTTGCTGTTGTTCAAGAACACTTCTTTTACCCCGCGAAATATTTTCTCCTTTTCCTTCCACTTCCCTTCCCTTCTCCCCAGATGCCCTTACTTCTTTCGAGTATTTATGTTTCCTCCTCACCTCGATGTCAACATTAGATCACGAATTGGTAAATGTCTGTGACCTTCGCATTGCACCAATATTTTTTAGGAGGGGCTCGTTCCTTTTATAGTAGTAGTAGGTCACTTGCAGTCCAGTTACCTTTTTTTTGTTTTGTTACTGAACTGCAAATTCTCCTTATTCTTCCTCTTTTCTTTGCCCCATCGATTGTATCAACCCCTCTCGCTAAGAGCCGTCGTTCTCAATCTTCTTCCCCGCTATGAGATACGTTACATTCATCGGTGCCTCTCTTGCTGCATTGACTTGCATCCTTGCACAAGGTAACATTTTTCGATCTTATTACTGACTTGCTTCTATGAAGAAAAAAAAGAAGAAACAAAAGTCTTACTTGCATATGTCCTTTATCTACACATTAGGCGAAGTGATCCCACATCCTGGGGTCAGTTTCGACAGATTAACAGGAACATCAACAACCCCACAGCTCCAGACCGACCATCACCACTCACTGCTCTCAAAACGTGACACTGCTACAGTCTGCACAACCCTCCGCCTTTCCATCCGGGATGCATTCCTCAACCTCGAGAGCCGCTACGAACCCATCCGTGAGACATTCTTTATTCGTTCCATGGGTGACATTGACCTCGTCGCCCAGTTAGACACCGCCAAAGGACGTCTAGATGTCCCCATGCTAGCGATTATTCAAAGGCACGAGTTTTTCGATGCTGTGAAAGGGAGGGCGATAATGGAGACGGCGGACCAAATGGGGAGGGTGGTAGAGGAGATGAAGCGGAGGTATGTTGTTGTGGATGAAGTAGGTGGTGTGTACGAAGAGTTGTGGGGGTTGGTTGTGGTGAGTTTATTGGGAGAGACGGCCAAGTACCTCACGATTGGTTGTGCAAACTGAATATATTCATTTGTGTCTTTTCCCGTCCCTTTGTGGATTCGTATATACGTGCACTTGTCCTTGGTGTGTGTATGTGTTTGCGTTGTGTGGATTTCGGGGTAAATGCATATTAGGCATCTAGAGATGGAAAGAATGTTTTGTTGAATGTGGCTGTTCTATTCCTCTTCTTTCTTTTAGATCGCACGCTTACCTTACTTCAAAAATGACTCCTCCCTGCTCACTTTGGGAGCTAGGGGACTCAATGTCAGTCTTTTTCTCAGACACTCCATTATGCACTCACAAGATCGTGAAGTTTTGGACATTTCTTTTTGCAGGAGGCGGACCCAGTAAGGTCCAGAATGGTATGAGGGAAAGATGCCTCCGCGATTACTGTTTTCAATTGTGCACAATTGCACAGTCTACCGGTGTGTCCGCAATAGTAAGGGTAAATAAGACGATGGGGTAATATCGAATGAGTTGGGTCGTACAATTGATCCCAAGGTAGAGCACATGACTTGTCGCCCATCGTTGGAGGATCGACTTGGATACCTTTTTACATTATCCCAGCAAAGGGTTCCGTTCGGGTTTAAAGAGCGACCATTTCCTTCTCAATAAAAATAATAAATCACCAGCAACCTCGCACAAACACCCTACCCACCACCTATCCCTCTACATCCTATCTTTCTTTCTCTCCACCCTACTCCATCCGATCCTTACCATGAAGATCTTCAACATCGCATCCACTGCCTGCATGATTACCGAAGATATGAGCACATCTCGCCACATTGTAACCCATTCCATGTTTGTGTCACCCGCGATAAGCGTGATATCCAACACGTACTCATTATTATATATCACCGTGGTGGTACTGCATCTAGGCTACCGTACTGTCGAAGTGCGATCTCTTTTGGCTGGATAGCTTGTTGTTCCTCCTTAGTAAAGGATAAATTTCTTGTGCATCTCAACCTCGCCGTGATTTATGGGTGGAGATTCTAAATGCTTTTGGTTGTATTGGCTTCCCCTTCTTTTTGTCAACGATCATGTCAGAGCCAAGAGCTGAGAGCGATAAAGATGTGGTGGTGCATGTCGCTCAATTATAGCATAACAGTCCCTGGGCTCTTCTCTTGCTCTCTTGTTTTCGAAGAGGCGCAAGCCGCTATACAAAGATGCATGGAGAATTGGTGACTTGTCATCTCTGAGAGACATGGGAACAGTACGAATGACTTGCGGCTCCCGTTAAAGGAGAAATGCTGGCGTACAGCGACCATTGCAGTGGTGGTGTGGAGAATGGTGTCATATCAAATCACTTTACGCCTGACCGGTTACCCTCCATATGCTCTTTGCTTTTTTTTTGTGTTTTTTTCACCAGCGTATAAGAAACTGCGCAGAAGTGCGCATAAGTTGCACGGCAAAACGATCGGTATGACTTGTTTTGTATATGTCACACTTTTCTTTCCTTTAGTTTGTTTGTTGCCGTTATAAGTAGACCTTGCGCACTGGGCAGCGAATGCGCTCACTTTTTGTCTTGTCTCATCTACTATGGCTGCTCCTTTTTCTTCTTCATCTCTCACCACTTGACTTCCTTCCATGCCTTTCGACTTCTTTTTCTTTTCCTCCCCTCTGCTTCTTTCTGCTATCACTCTCATCCATCTCCATACCACTCTTCCTAACACTCTTGCCGATTGGCCATGACACTACAAGAACAGCAGGAGCAGCCACAGCTAGTCTAGCGCAGGACAACCAACGGCTGCTCATCCGCATGATGGGGGGGAAGGAGGGTAAGGAGGGGAGAAGGCGTACATGATGGGGTTGCATGGTGTTGTGTACCGGATAACTTTGCGATATTGGAACTGATTGCTCACAGCGAGGTATGTTGTAGTTTCTTGTTTTCCTTTTTCTTTCATGTACTACAGTTGGTTGCGTTGGTTTGTCTGTCATGCAGTGTTCGTTTTTTCTTCTCGTTATCTTCGTTGTCTTTGTTTCTCATCCGTAACGAAACGTTGAGAACAAGAATAAACGTAAAATAATGCCCTATATATCACGGTTCATGGTTCAGGGGTGAAAGCAATTCATGCCATTGTGATTCTTGTTTCTCACTCCCTCTCTCTCACTTCCTTTCCTCACCTACGACTGTAGCCAACCCCCTGTTTTCCTAGACATGCCTTTGTTTTTTTTTATTAAATCTCTCAGTTCTCACTCTCCTTATCCTCACCTAGTTAACCCCCTGTTTTTTTTGTCGACATGCCTTCGTTTTCATTTTTATTCTCCTACCCTCCCTCCCCCCTCTAACGTTCTAATTTACATTCCTTTCCTCTTTCCTGCCCTGATCTGATCTCTAACCCCCTAATTTTTCTTTTGGCCATCCGCATTCATGCATGCATGAATCCACAAAACAAAGCAAAATAAAATAAAGTATATATGGCGGTTAGGGTCACAACATTCCTACTACAAAATCTCCGCGCGTGTTCTCTTAGCTCGTCCAAAGTTAATCAAACTTCACTGCCAACCCTCCTTCCACTACAAGAACCTCCTCAGGACCGGCGCCCGTCATCACAACCTCCACCCCTGCTGCCAAGAATCCCTCTCCTAGATCGTGCCCTATACCTGCCAAACTCCTTCAGTCCTCCGCGCGATGCGCATGTGTAGAGTGTTTAATTTAACATTGGTGTGGATATTTGGGAAGATTGTGATGTCGAATAAGAGGAGAGAGGGGTGGGAGGATCAGAGGCAGCCGCCATTTTTGGATGGCTTGGGGTGTTTGACAAGGCGTATCGGTTTTCGAGTTGGGCACATGATTGGGTGTTTGTGCCGGTTGTAGTAGTTTCTGGGATGTGTTTGGAGGAAGTAGAGTTGGAGATTATAGTGGAGGAGAAGGCGTTGGGTGAAGAGAAGAAGAAGAAAAAAAGCGATGGATGGGACGAAATGTAGACGTCTTGAAGTAGTAGGGTGATAGATATAAGTGCCTGGAATGCGTTCTATATTTTGTTATTATTTTTCATGACTGTGTCCCCAATACAAAGGCGAGTAAATTAACAATATCACACTGTTAGTTTGATCAATAGTGAAGGTTGACGCGACACGTTCGCGTTTGGTGGCGTATCCATCAGTCAGAGTCAAGCACTCATAAAAAAAATTGATGACGTCATAAAAAATATTTGCACGAGGTCAGAAGGAAGAGAGGATGAGGTGACTGTGCTGCTCAATTATTGCTGCCCGATCACGAACCAATCAAATCATGAGGGCAGTGTTTAATTTTAGACACAAGGACAGACGGGCTGCACCAAACAGCACCGCGGAGGCGGGAGGCGAAAGGGAGATTGAAGGGAGGAAAAGGGAATGGAAGGGAAAAAGGGCGGGTACAACAAACAGCACACGAACAAAGAAAGGAAAAAAAGGTTGGGCCTTGTTGGTTGCTTCGAGGGAACAAGAACGCAACGACGATAGGGCAGAAATTAACGACAAAGGTTGCAAGATTGGCGGGAAAAGAGGAAAAGAAATGGTGTGTGGTTGGGGCAAACAAGAAGAAGAAGAAGAAGAAGAAGAAGAAGAAGAGAGAGTGTGATCGTGTGGTCGGTTGACAGCAGGTGCGTAATGATATGAGTGCGAGTGTGCCTCTCTCTCTCTCTCTCTCTCTCTCTCTTGCTCGTTTTGCTGCCGAAGAGCGAGTGTCTCCTTTTCACTTGTTTCTTGCACTGTCTCCGAGCCATTCCCTTGTTGTTTTCACACTGTGCCCACCACCTCTCGTTTTCGCCTTTCTTCTTTCTTCACACCTCACTCACACCACTTTGTCTCCCTTTGCACCTTTGCACCCTTGCACCCTACCCTTTTGTACTTTTACTCTGATCTCATCCCATCCTTCACATCGTTCCTCTCATCCTTCCGCCATCATCCTCTCCCCCCGCTGATTCTCACTTGACCCGCCCTCTGCTGCTGCTGCGTGCTTGTTGCTGCTGCTGCTGACTGTCGTTGGAACACTTTTCTCTTTTGTCTCCCTCTCTCTCCCTCCCTCTGTCCATAACCAGCCCCCGCTTCTCTTCACTCCCTTCTTTCCCTTCACTTCCTTGCTCTTTCTAACTGCACTCTCGCCACCCCTTTTGTATCTTTGTATTACCCTTGCCCTCTTGTCCCTATCATTCATGTCCACCACCACCGCTTCCTCTTCATAAACAACAATAACAAACATATCCATCACGCACAGCAAATATCCATCATACATCCATTCCACATACATATTAAACCATAGAACAAAAAAACTGCCAAGCCCAACAGCTTCCCAGCATCGCATATCCCCCAAAACCATATTGCCTCGTTTTCAAACACTATCTCTCCCTTCTTTGACCCCCCTTCTTTTTCCTTCTGTTTATCCCATTGCTTATTACTCTCCTTGCGCACACGACCTCTTTCTCGCACCAAACAGCCACCACCAAAACCGACAAACTTAACCCTCATCCACAGATGGACTGGTCTCCTCCATCACCGACTTCCTCGACTCCCTCAGAGTCATCGTCGTCGTCCTCCTCTTCTTCCTCATCAGCTGTCGACGACACCCCCGCCTCAGCCGCACCAACAGACAACAGCGACAACAACCTCATCGACATCTACTACTCCCACTCCCAGGAACAACATCACCAACAACAGCAGCAAATAACATACCAGCACTACCATCAACACCTGCAACGAGAACATGTCGACCCACATATGACAGAACACATTGCTGATTTGTGTATACAGAAACTGCAGCATCCTTCTTCTGGACGACAGAATACGCTCTTGCGGCAAGTTCAGCTTACATGGTACGTCTTTGACAGGGTCGGTGTTTAGAGTTTTTTATTGTACGAAAAGGAAAAGGTGGGTGTAGGTGGAGGATGTTTGTAGGCAAAGTGCGAAAAAGTTTATTATACAAAAGCATCGGGAGATAACTGACACGGTTATACAAATAATGAAACAGTGAGAGATGGAGGTGGCTTTAGAAGGAGACATCTTTGACTCTGAAAGGGGTCAAAGATAATGAACATTGGAGGGAGTGAAAATGCATAGGGCGACAGGAAGATTGATGAATCCGACACCTTGGAAAGAGTAAAGAGATTAACGTATTTTTGTTTTGCTGTACATATATGAAATGCAATTAGCATGCTGCATAGGATCAGGATGCAGGCGTTCTTGCGCCCAGTTATGGCCGGGTACCATCACCATCACCAGCAACAACAACAACAACAACAGCAGCAACAACAGCTCTTGCTCCAGCAACAGCAACAACAGCAGGAGGAGCAGATGCAACTGCAGCTCCAACAGGAACAGCAGCACCTCCAGGAACAGCAGGCATTCGATCAGGAGATGGCCTCCCACTCGGAATACGATCAGCAGCAGCCCTCGTCCGGATACGACTGGAGCCAAGACTCGTCCTCCGCTTCGGTTCTCTCACTCGACATGCTGCTCAGCTTGGGATCTACTTCGACCGCAACTGGACCTATCCCTATCCCGTCGCAATCCCAGTCGTCGAATGGTAGCGTAACAGGGTCAGCTCTGACATCTATACCCGATCCTACCATGTCTGACTTTTACTCCTCGCTGCAGCAGCAACAACAGCAACTCCAGCAGCAGCAGCAGCATTATCACTCACTCTCGCTCTCCTCTATCCCCTTGGTTTCCTTTTCAGACGATTACTCCTCCTCTTCCTCTCCCTCAGCAAACGCGGCTTCATCCCTCGTCCTGTCGACCCAACAGCCCTCCTCCTCTACCTCGCACCTGCCACAACAGACGTATTATGAGCTCCTGATGGCAGCCAATCCCAATGAGCCGCTCTCTCAGCTCCTATCAACCAGCGCCGCTACTATGACTTCGACCTGCTTCACAGCCACAGCCAGCTCCTCTATACCCATCCCTATCGCATCGTCCATCTCATCGGCATTGCCACAGGATCATTCTTCCGCCTACACCCCCATCGACTCTATCCCTTCAGTGCCCGCATCCCCACTATCACCGATAACACCTAGTTCCATGGCTGGTGCTGATGCTCCAACAGCAGAGCAGATCCTCACCTCTGTCGCCTCTGCCTACTCCATGGCAGCCTTCCCTCTTGGACCTACTATGGATTCACATCAACAACAGCAACAACATCACCAGCAGCAACAACAAACGGTTCCTCTCACTACAAAGGAAATCATGGATGCTCTCTCAGGCCAGTTCCCAATCCAGCCAGTCATGACATCGACCGTGATCGAGGTGACACCGCCGACCGTCGCCTCGGTCATCCTCAGCGCCACAGCTGCTGCTGCTGCGTCCACTATTGCGAACACCACTGGCGTAACCAACGACAGCGACATCTCCGAATCAACGGATAATGCTACTGCAGACACAGTCTCTTCCTTGGACAGCAATGATCCGATTGATTTGTCCCATGCCGAGACTGCTACCACGACGGCAGTAGAGTCAGGAACAGTTTCGGAATGGACTTCTGTCGCCCCTAATGTTACTGCGGCGCCGTTGTTAGGAGAGCCCTCCGAATTGATTCCAGTTGTTAACGTTGACCAGAGACATGAGCAGGATGAATTGTGGGAGAGTGATGCCGATGTCCTCAGCCCTCCTTCGCTTGTCTATGCTCATGATACGGACGACGAGGGCAGTAGTCCAACGACTTCTCCCTCGTGCGTCACCAGTCCTCCCGCTCAAGTCGATCTGGAAATGAGCGAAATGACACTTACATCGCCGCCACTCTCGCCTTCAAGAGGCCCCAGGATGGTCAAGCGAAGCAAGAGTCTTGCCGCAGGAGGATTGACGGGCCAGAGTGCTGATAATGGCCAGTCGGCAAGTCAACGCCGCAAGTCTCGCAGGATTAGTCGTCGATACCAGAATGTGTCAGAGTCCAGCTCCTTTGGTTCGCGTCTGGATACGTTGGAGTCTGACCTTGAAGAGCAGTATGAACCGGACAGCCAACAACATCAAGGACAGCAACAACAGCAGCAACAGTCCCAGCAGGTGGCTACGATGCCGCCCAAACGCCGGCGCCCAAGTGATGATGATATCTCTGAGTCGCCCTGTTCTAGTCCAGAATCCTCTCCACCCTCACCCAGGACTCCTCCACCCTCCTCGGGGTTACCTCTCATCACCGCCACCCATGACGGCGATTTGACCCATCACCAGGGTGGCGTTGTTGTGGCGCATTCTATCGACCACGAAATGGACCCATCCAAGCGATTCAAGGCCGACGAGGTCCATACTAGAGTGGAGGGAGAGGATGCTGGCGTCCTTTCTCCTCTGCTCCTGACCCGGTCTCCCAAACGTCAGTCGTCCCGTCTTCTTCGACGTACCTCCGGCCGTGCCTAGGTCTCTTCTTTTTTTCTTCTATCTCTTCTGGAAACGATCATTCGTCCATTCCCCAGCCATGGCAAGATTGCACTCTGCCGCATAGGCCCATACTTTTTTTTGTTCTTGTTTATCTGTCTGTACTACTCACCATTCTATTATTGTTTGTCTTTTTTTGCTTCTTCGTCCCTATTACTACTATTACTCTCCTCCCCTTGTACAACCAATCACTACATCTTTTATTATTTGCTTCTGTGGGACAAACTATATGCGCAGATTTCAGTCTACCTTACCTTTCCCTTCTTTACATTAACGTCGTTCACTTAGCCTAAAGAAAGAAAAACGAAACAAAAACATATAAATGATGCCAAAAAGTACTCCTTGATGGGTACCCTCTCTCTTTTCACATAACCTTTTTGGACACATCCGTTGGATGTATTTTTCCCGCGCTTTTTATTATTTTTGTTTTCCCGACCATTGCCCAACGGCTGTCCCTTTTTAAATTAATTCAAGGAAGACCACCTGTCCAACATGCATGGCATGCTTTATGAGGTCGGTGTTGTCTTTTCCTTCAATCCTTGTTTCCTTGAATGATGGCAATTAACCTTGAAATGACTCCTTTGTTTGTACCACAAACCGTTTATTCATGCGAATGGGGCGATCAAGGTTTGTGGATGGAAAGGGGGAATGGAAAAGGAGGATGTCGGAGAAGGGTGGGAGGAAAAAGGAGAGAAGGAAGGAAGGTTTATGATCATGTGCCAGGCTTTCTCAGTTCCAGTGTGTGCGTGCGTGTGTGTGTGTTATGCGGGTGGGTTGGTATTGGAATTGGTGGCGTGTTTTTGTTAATCCAGAGCTTTTGTCTCGGACCAAATGTCTTTGGGCCCTTTTCCCTCTTTGGGGTTATTATCCGGTCTTATGTTCTATGCTCCTCCATGTAGTATCTATTCCCTTGCCTTTGCATTGGGCAAAGTGGTCCTTGTGCAGAGAGAGCCACCTTACCATCAGCCGACCTGAACCGCTATGTGTTTTTTTTACATGGGCCCAAGCCACTGCCACAATTAGCCCTCGACTCCTCATTTTTTAAAAGAAAAATCTACAAGTTGTGCTTACATGATAAAACAATACAGACGATGAAAAAAACAGATGGCGCCCTTTTTTTTTTCCCTTGCTATCCTGGTCTCCCGGTCTTTTTGTTTTCGCAAGTCATTCTTTGCATGTCCCTCTCCTCTTTCTCTTCTTGCCATCCTTTCTGCCTTTTCTTCGCTGCCTCCTCTATCAAGAAGCGCCACTGCTGATTTTATTCTCCGTGATTTTCTGAACATCAGATGAAGCAGGCAGGCATGACAAGCAGACGAGCAGGAGGTCGAGGGAGCGGAGAGAGAAGAAAAAGTGGCGTCCATAATAAAGGGGAAAGAAGCCCCATCAATGTGGACAATTACAAGACACAGCAGTTTTGTTAATTGTATGCTTTTGCCTTGGGTCCCCTTTTTTTTGTCGTCGAGTTCGAGGTCTTTTATGGTTGGTTTGCTTCGGTTGCGAAAAAAAAACATTTCCTCGGGGAGGGTTTGCTTGGCGATGGCATGGGTGGAGGAGGGATAAAAAAAGGGAGATGGCAATTTGAGCATTTTGCATTTGTCTGTTTGTTCATGTGTATGGATGGTCTGTCCAGTGGTAAGGAAGTAGTGGTTGGTTGCAGGAAATGTGATATGGGCTCACATTGTTGTTAGCAAATGCAACGTTGGATGGGGATGGATGGGCGGGAACAGGGAGAGAGAGAGAGTGAGGGGGATAGGCGCATCGTGTGTGTGTGGTTGGATGTGCTCTCAACTTAATAGGGCGGTTGGGAGAGCACTTTATGAATTCGATCTCTGTGAAGGAAGGTACATGTAAATGAGGGTTGTGAATAATGAGGGGTGAAGGTGTCCGGAGACAAGGGACAGATGGTGGGCTGACGGGGACAAGAAGGCAGCAGGGGAATGTGTAATGGCAGCAGCACAGAGACACTTGGGAAGGCACAGACACAAACGACAACGAGAACTGAAAGACAGGCATGTCCACATGCCACGACCTGTTCTCTTCATCGGAGAATAAGATCATGAGTGTGTATCAAGGTGACAAGTGCGCCTGTCCCTAGTCGACAAGGGGCATCGAAGAAGGGTCTCCAGGTCGGCAGTCAGCAGTCAGCAGTCCCCTTTTTTCTTTTATTTTTAGAGGGTTGGTGGGTTCATTTTGTTTTTGTTATTCCAGGAACAGGTTCGGCAGGTCTGTTGACCCTGCTGTGTCTTATGTCTGTTTACGTTCACTTCCAAGAGAATAATTCTCTTGTGCCTCTTCTTCACCCTCTTGTCTCTTTTCTTTTCTCATCATCATTTTTCCCTTCCTTCCCTTCGTCTCTCCTTGTCATCATCCCATCCACACACTCTTCCTTTTTTGCCACCAAAACACTCTCTCACCCATCCCTCCTCCTTTTCTTGTCTCTCTCTCTCTCTCTTTCTTTTCTTCTCTCTCTTTTCTTTTATTACCAAACTCCTCCACACCCCTCACATACACACACACTGCCTGCCTGCCTGCACATCACACCTCCCCCTGTAATCCCCCCTGCACAACGGATCCCTTCACAATGGTTGCCGCCCAGGGACCAATAACACCCTTCTCATCCGACCCCTCCTCCACCACATCCTCAACCAGAGACGACTTCTACTCTGCAGAGATGATGGCAACCCCCGACTCCAACCTCTCCTCCCCCACTTCATCAACCGATACCTCGCCCATGTCCTCCACCTCCCTCTCAACGGTCCAACTCGTCGCAATCTCAAACACAAAACTCAACAACGACCTCTACTCAAACAGATCCCTCTCCATCCACAAACGCATCCTCGTCAAGAACCTACTTACATTCATCTATAGGATCCATCCACCCATGGACTGGAGTCAGATGCAGTACCAGATGCAGATGATCTCCGTTGGTGGGGATGAGGAGCAAGGAGGGTATGGGGATGGAGGAGAGGAGGAAGGAGGGTTTGGACAGCCACCTCCTTCACCGGTACTTGGACCTACGGGGGGAGGAGGACAACAGCTGTTGGGAAGGGAGGAGCAAAAAGGGTGGATGGATAGAACGTTACAGGCTGCTGGGTTAGATGATGATGATGATGATGATGATGATGATATTCCACTGCACCAGGTACGTTCAAGTTGAAGTTGAGGATGATTGAAGTAGTCATCTGGAAGATAATGAGAAAAAAATTGGTAGAAAAGAAGGAGTAGGCGGAATGGATATGGTAGATGACGGTTGTAGAAAAGGCACCATGTGGTTATCTTTTTCTCATTGCCTGCATGTGGTTCATATACGTGCAGAGAGAGATTGAAGAGAAGAATGACTGACCACGTTATTTTGTTTCTGTGCTCTTGAAATTATTCCCTCTAAATAATTCATAGGCAATGGTAAATAAGGGATATGGATCAACAGCAGCTGCTACATCGTCAGCACCAACAAACACAGTCGCAATTGCCACAGGCTCAGGAACAGGACCTGGAACAGCATTATCTTCAACAACTCCCTCTACAACAACAACGGCAAAGGCACCGATATTACCTCGTCCAAAGTCGGCAGAACTCCCACAGTCTCTGAATTCATATCTGTCTACAGTCTTTGATGTCGATTGGTCTGTCGGACTACCCAACACCGAGGATCTTCTCTTTACTCAGGGATCTTCACCTACAACTTCTTCGATAGCGGGAGGGTCCACTACCTCGATAACAGCAACTGCTTCAGCTACAGCAGCATCCGCAAAGATGGCCAAGCGCAAATCCATTACTACTGCATCTGGGCTCTCGTCCGTCGTCTCTTCTTTTGCACCACCATTATCGACATCATCGCCGGCATCATCCTCCTCAGTCGCATCAACATCTTCATCCCCTCGATCGTCGACAACCTCTACATTCTCGTCGTCTTCTACAGTCTCGACTGCTTCGTCTGTGAGCAATGTCGGAAGCGTATCTGGAGGAGTAGGATATGGAGCTGGATCAGGATGGAAGCAGGAGACTCCCTCCCAGTACAAACCTGCGGTCCCTCCGAAGGATGGTAACCCTGGAGCCGGAGGAGCTGCAGCAGCTGCAGCAGCTGCATCGTTGGCTCGGAAATCGTCCCTCCCTACTACGCAAAGCAGTAGATACAACCCCAACTCCTCAACCATTCTCAACAGTAACAACAACAGGACCACTGCCGCCGGTAATGAGAACGCCAATGGTACAGGAAACAACAACAGCAGCAGCTCACAATTGCTCTCAGATGGAAGAAAGGTCCCTGCCAGGAAGGCGAGCATCAGCAAGAGCTCCAAGCCCATGCTGGTCCCTGGACGCCGATCGTCGTTACTCCAGGCCCCTAATACAGTCTCAACAGCTAACAACAACAGCGTCACAATTGGAAACAGCACATCTCCGACATCTCCTATCCCAGGCAGGACGAATGGGGCGTCTAGTCTGTCGCCTGATACCGCCCGTTCAGGAGGAGGAGGAGGAGCAGTAGCCACAGGAGGAAGACCCCGGTCGCCTTCAGTGTCGCCTACTCTGTCACCAGCTTCACTGTCGTCACCCACGTCATTCTCCCCTTCTTCCTCGAGCCCGTCATCATCACCCACCCTCAGCCCACAGCTAAAACCCGCCTTTTCCCGAAGGACATCCTCCTTGCCCTCAGAGAAGCCCAAACCCGTCCAACGAGCACCCAGTAGCGAAAATACCCTTGCCTCTTCCGCCCACGCTGCTGCTGCCGCCTTTGCTTCAACCAACAACAACGGACATGGATATGGATCAAGTCCCACACAGGTCCCGCAGGCAAACATCATTGGCCTCCCACGGCCCATTCTCAACTCTTCCTCGTCTTCGCCCTCGTTGTTGTCCATTTCCCCACCTTCGACCTCGACTGTCACTACTGCTACTACTTCTGCGCCTTCAACACCTTCTGGACTGGCGCCGCCTTCCAGACCGTCACCAACGTATATGTTGAAGGCGTCAAAATCGACCCCATGCTTGGTTTCTAGCAAGGATGGTGGATCTCAGGAGGAGGAGGAGGAATATCACCCGATGCCTGCAGATCAACAGGCGTATTACAACTACTTCCAGCAGCAACAGCAGCAACATCAACAGCAGCAGTCTGGAACGTCTGCGGCCACGGTGTCACCGTATTATAAGGGTGCTGCAGGAACGGGTGCTGCAAGTGCGCCGCCGTCGCCTTCAATGACGGGGTCACTGTCGTCGGGAATCAAACTGCTGGCCAGGACGAGTTCTCGGCGCGCTGGTGCTGCGTCAGAGGGTGGTGGATCTGGGAAAACAAATATCAGTGGTCCGTTGCAATTGCTGTCTGATCAAGATTCTGCTGGGTACCAACAAAACCCGTATCAACAACAGAGTCACCAGCAGCAGAACCATTATGGAGGCAATCATGGTCATGGCGGAGGAAATAACCCGTATGGTGGAAGCGGGCCGCGGTATGCACAGAGTCTGAGCAATGTCAGTGTGATGAGTAATTTCTCCGTGAGCTCAAATGCGACGGCGGCTACAACCATGACAGGGAAGGGTGGACAGGTCGAGAAGCCGGCGGGGTCTTCTGTGGGGCGGTGGAATAGTATGAAGATGATCCTTGGACTCCGCGTCGGCAATGGTGGTTCGTCCAAGAATTAAGGGCACGGTTTGAAGTCCGATCCCGCTCTTCTTCCTTCGTTTTTACGTCTCTGTTTTCTCTTTTCTCATACCCCCCTTCCTTATCCTTATCCATTACTATTTTGTATCTCAGTTGTGCTTTCTCCTTTTTTTTTTTCTTGGACTTAATGATGACCGTTCCTTCCTTTAACTCTTCCTCTTCCTTTTGTATAATAAAAACGCGTCTTCTACTTGTTTCGAACTATGGGTGAAAACATGGTTTCGCGTTTTGTGGACTGATAGTGCAAAGGAAAAGGAGAAGCAGATGGGAACACTGTTTTTTTTTTGTTTTTTTTTTTTGCTCGCCGTGTTTTGTTTTCAGCCTTGCATTTTTACACCCTTCAAGAGTGCCCTCGGTTAGTCTGCGAAGCTTTGTAGAGGTCATTGAGGAAAGCAAGAGAAAAAGAAAGGGGGAAGGGGGAAAGTGAGAGGGATCTTGTCTGGTAAGGGGGGAGGTAGGGGGGGAGTGGGCCTAGCGGGAACGAACAGAGAGTTAGATAGGAAAAAGGAGAGAGGGGAAAAGGGAAGGAGGGAGGTTTTTTTTTTTTTTTTTTTTTTTGGGTGGTTATTGTACCCCCATCTCCTCTCTCTCTCTCCCCTTGAATACCCCTTATCATCGGTCCCATGAGTGCGGAACAGATACACAGGTTTGTTTTTGTTTTGTTTTTTTGTTTGGGGGAGAGAGATAGATTGTGTAACACGAGGAATGAAGAGAAGAAATGAATGAAGTGAGGAATAATAGCTCAAGGTTCGAAAGAAGAAAAGGCAGTGATCAATGAACGAAATGCAGTGGCGAAGAAAGAGGGGAGAAGTACAAAAGAGTAGAGCAAATAGAGAGAGCAAAGAACAATTGAGGAAAGACAACGACCGTGATAGAGGCGGTGAAATGGGTTTGGGGGGAAAGTGAGGTATTGATGAAAAAAAACGCACACTAGTGATGAGACCGCGTAAGATCAATGATGAAATAGGGCGGGGCCAGATGGAGAATCCGATTCACAACATCGATTATCATTTACCATTTTTGAGATATGTGTTTTCTTTCTCGGTATTGAGCGATGGTAGACACAAAAGACACAAGAATCTTAGACACGGGATGCGGGTTTATTCGCAACGATGGAAGATGAGCATCTCGCCACGAAAAAAAAAAAAAGTCGAAATTGGAAAGAGAAATGATGGTTTATGTGGAGCACTTTACTGATACACTGGGTGGTCACCCTATTAATTAAATATACGAATATACGTTTTACAAAAATTATTCAAACACTATTAAGCTTTAAGCCAACCAGAACCAGGCCTTCTGCAGCCAGTTCTTGGGCACACGCTCCTCTCCCATGGCTTCCAGCTCGTCCATCTCCTTCTTCCCGCTGATGGCATCAATCTGTTCGACAGGAATGTACCACGGTGTGCGGTGGTAGAACTTGTGGCCGAGGTAGAAGGCCAAGAAGACAGGGATCGTGATATAGGCAGCAATGAAGTCTTGGGCCTTGAAAGGGATGAATGTCTGGAAGCCACTGGTGATGGTAAGCAACGAGACGATCGCCAGCGTGAAGTAGGTGGCATAAGGCTGCAACGATGTCCTGTAAGGGAGAACGTCCATGAGGTTGTTGTACTCCATGGCGCGACGGAAGCGCAGATAGGTGATCATGACAACGATCCAGGCGACAAATCCAGAGATTGTCGAAATGCTGACGAACCAGTTGAAGACGGTGGCGCCCGTGTTGGACACGTTAAGGAAAGCCAGCATACCGAAGCTCCATGTGAACAGGACCGCAACATAAGGAACGCCTCTGCGGTTGGTGATGCCGAAGTACTTAGGAGCCTGACCGTTGAGAGCCATAGAGTACAGGACTCTGCTGCCGGAGTAGAGGAACGAGTTGCCGGCCGACCAGGCAGACGTAAGGACGGCGCCGTTGATGATGTGGTTGAGTGCGGGGATACCGACTCGCTGGATTCCAATGACGAACGGGGATGCGCTAGCGTTGGATGCGCCGAGAAGGTTCTTGTCATCCGAAGGAACAAGAACACCGATGAGAAGCGAGGAGAAGCCGTAGAACACGGCCAAACGCCAGACAAAGCGACGGGCGGCCTTGGGAATATTGCGGCGGGGATCGATGGTCTCACCAGCAGCAATGGCAATGAGTTCGGGCGAGGTAATGAAAGCAAATCCAGCGGAGATAAAGGCATGCCAGTATCCGAGGAACCGACCGAGACTGCCCTGGGCCTTGTACTCCAGAAATGCGCCGCTGGTTTTCCAGTAGTGGAATCCTAGTACGCCGTCCTGGTTGGGGGCGCCGCCGAAGAAGATGACGATACCGAGGATGATGAGACCGCAGATGGTGATAAGCTTGATACTGGCAAACCAGAACTCGGCCTCACCAAAGAAACTCACGGCAACAATGTTGAGAAGGAGCATGACGACAAGGACCACCGAGATCCACACAGCGATGTTGACAGGTAAATTCCAGTAGTCAATGATAATGCCGGCGGCCGTGGCCTCGGCTCCGATGAGCATGGCGTATGCGTACCAGTAGTTCCAGCCGACGGCGAAAGCAAGACTCGGATCCACGAATCGACCGACAAAGTAGGGGACCGTAATGCCCCGCATAGGGAGGTATACGACCATCTCAGCAAGGTTGTTCATGACGTTCCATACGACCACCGTCATTGACAGGTAGGCCAAGAAGAGCGAAGCAGGGCCAGAGCTGGAGAGAATGCCACCAGAGCCGACGAAGAGACCGGTACCGATGGCGCCTCCGAGGGCAAGGAACTGGATGTGTCGGCTCTTGAGACCACGGGCGAGCTGATCGTGCTTATTAGCCAAGTTGTACTCAGATTCCTCGACAGGCTGGTTAGCCTCGAGTTTGGTGTCGTAAGTGACTTCAGATTTCTCCATCGTGGGGGAGAGAGTTTAGAGTCGCACTGAGGGTGGGAGAGGGTTTAGAGTCGCACTGAGGAGCGGGAGAGGGGAGGTAGGATGAGGACGAAAGAAGAAGTAGGATCGGACGGGAAGAAGAGGGAGAGAGACTAGTGGGAGGTAGTAGTGTGAAGAAGAAGTAAAAAAGGAGAATTCGAAGATTCGAAAATGGGCATATTTGTAGATGCATCCATGGTAGTCACGTGTTCCCCAAATAAATCTCACGCCCTTCCCAGCCCGGGGCGGCGTTCCAGTGTGTGTGGGGTACGCCAAAAAGGCTATACGGCATACCCTAGACCACTAATAGTAACCTTAATTAGATTCTGTACCATACACAGTCGAACGAGCCAGTGGCTGTATTTTAATGGCACTACTTTGGTTCCATTCGGCAGTTCGGCGGCAAAATGCGCAAAAGGTGCATACTAGTTTGAGACCAACAGGATCTAGGCCGACGGACAGCCGAGATCGACCCCTCAACCATGGAAGTCCAATGTATCGATCCCTGCTAGGCTAGACTAGGAAGCGAGAGAAAGAGGGAGAGGAAGATAAGAGACGGGGGGGGGGGGCGCAATTGGGAGGGAACCACGAGGAAAGTCGGGTAACAAAGGGGTATCAAATGGATAGTGATGTCACCAGGCGTCAATGACCAGGTAGACTAATTGTAGCCTAGGAGGAGCGAGAACGACGCCATCCTCGTCTCCCTTGCGCCCTGGGCTCCTCGACAACAGCAGGGGCAGTGAGGGTGCCTGAAGGAGCAGGGACTCGGCTCATCTGGCCGAAGGTGACCCCGTCTTTGATAGCCGCAATGCGGGAAGGATGGTGCCAGCCGTCGTGAATTTGATCTTACTCCTCTTACATCTCAACCATAAACTTCAATCAGCACATCATCCGCATCTCTGTGCACAATCACCGTTCCCCTTACTTAACAAGAATCTTTATTTGTGCCTGTTCTGATCTACTCTCATACAATCAATCACTTTTGTCTTTTTCCAGTCACCGTGAACAGTGTCTCTGGGTCAAAAGTCGTTTGTGTTCCTGTGTGCTGTAATGAATCTTCTGGCTGAGGGAGGCAACATGAATAATCATCGCAATACGTTCTTCCAGTTTTCCACTGGTACATGGACTTTGGCAAATTCGCACTAGTCACTAGTGTGAATTGATGTCAGACCATGCCTTTTCCGTTGCACGAATGCCTTGCGACTCTCATTTTCCAGATGGCTCTGCACAATGTGAACTTGAACTTACCCTCCATCCGTTGGCCATCCTGAAGTGATTGTAAAACGTCAGTGTTGAATTGGTGAGCAAGACCCCCCATCTTTGAAACTGTAATGTTCTCCTGTTCGGCTTTCCGGATCTTTAGTGCTGAGCTTGTAGAGAGGTTGAGGTTGCCTGCCACTTCCCTTATGAAGGTGAATAGGATCGTTGCCTTTTGTGGATCAGAGGTCGCTTCTCTGGAGTAGACGGAGTTTGCTTGCGGGAACAGACAATGTTCGGTGGCTTAGATTAGAGCGCCAATTCAAGGAAATGAAGTGGCGATGCAGCTTGGGTCCCAGGAAAGATCGATTCGGAAGCGCACCTCGATGTCCTCAATGACCTACGTTGTTGTCTCTCATCTCACGACTGGTATAGCATGGACCCAGGAAAGGACAACGCCAGTATCCACACTGCACGCATAGTACAGGACTGGTTCGTGGAGTTTAACATCACTGCTCGAAAGTGTCCAGCGGATTCTCCAGACCTCAACCTTTTGGAGAATCTTTAGTCGTACCTGAAAAGGGAACTTGGAACCTATGAAGAAGCGCCTGCAACTTTGGAAGTACTGCGGGAACGAGTGCAGGATGTTCGAACGAATCTTTCTATTGAAGACACCCACGAGAGCATGCCCAGGGGTATGGAGTAGGTGTACCGTAACCGTGGAAGCTATACTAAAATACCGGTTATATGCAGATCGAAATACTCTACTAAAGGAAGTTCAATTGTCCAATCGTAACACAACCTTGTATCCCTACTAAGAGCGCTTACAAGAGGGCCTGTACACTGCTCGCGATTCTTGTAAGGCAACAACGATGCACCTGTGACACATACTGCGTGAGTAGTTTAATTCGCGTACTTTCAACTTGCCATTTTATGTCCTTATGCACTACAATAAGACGTTGTTGGTTTTCATATGCTGCATCTGTTTTCAAAGCCCTTCTCATGCTTTTGCCGACCTGTGTATCTGCACAACTTTTTGGTCCTGTGAATGATTATGCTTGCCTAGAACCCAAGGATACCGATAGCTGGTGTGAGACATGGTTCAATCAAGGCAAAGGTCAAAGTGTTGGTGTCCACTTGCGCCAAGGCTGAACATGCTCTGCCAAATTAACAAAGGCAACTACAACTCCCCGAAAAGCGTGCGGAAGCTCAGAGTTTTCGCGGATCGCAAGTTAAATTGATGGTTCGACCAACAGGCTTGCACAATGTGGCTGGTGCATGGAGCAGGTGCAACTGGGCCAAGAGTTTTACCAGGAAGAGATGGAGCGAATGGCGACATGGTGCTCAACCCAGGGTGACAAATTCATCAACATGAGCAACACCCATAGGGCGACTATATTAATCATGGCAAGGGTTCTCAGTGGTACTTGCCGAGTGGAACGTTGAACAAACCTTTGGCCTGCTGCCCTCAAACGAACGTGCTGATCGCTCTATCTACTGCGCTCTCTCAACTACTCCCAAACTCACCTCCATGACACACGACACTCACACCGATATCTCTCCCTACCCTCATCTCTCCCCTCTTCGAACCACATACACAGTATCTTTATCTCATAAAGCATACATTTCGATTTCAGATGTTTTGTGTTTTTGCCAACCAAGTTGAACCAACTGTCATCTGAATGGCTCTGTTCTTTTCAGTGCTCTAGACCTCTCGAAACCACATATGTATGCAAGGTCTGGTTATATTTTAATGACGACTGGGGACTTTCAGTATGTTGCGGATTGCGGAGATCATCCGACAGAGAGCATCTCTGCCACGTTTTGCTCCCGGTGCCACGTGTCGGCCCCGGTCACAGGTTCCCAGGAGAAGGGGCCTGAGGCAAGCCTCATGCCAACTGCTCTGGGGGGTGGAGTCGAGCCTAGTCACGAAAGACTTGCTCCTGTTGGAGACGCGTAGCGGTATCTCCGGTTTGTCACATGACCTTCAATTCCAGATTGACACGACTCATTTGTATTTTCCTTTCTCGGGGCTTTATTGGTTCTACGCGGATACCCGAAAAGGGCTACTTGCCTGGAACCATTCTGTCAAGAGCCTTTGCCTTTTCTCCCTTTTGTCGCTTTGCCCATTCGCCTTGTTCTTAGTTTCTACCATTTTTCTTCAGTACCCATCCAACGCTACAAGCCCTGCCTCAAGCCCTCTCTGCCCATCCACCCGGCTCCTACCATAAATAGGACCCTCCCCCCTTGTCCCTCTTCAGGTTGCAATGGTTTGCTTTCCTTCTCGTCCCGTGGTCCTCCGTTCTCCTGTATGCGCTTCTTCTCTCTTTCTCTTTCACAATAAAAATAACCATACTAATTCTTTCGAACCCAACCCTGTTCATCGCAACTGGCGGGTTGCAGTAGATAGTATGGAGAGAGACGGATCAACATCTGAATGTGGAAGAAAATCATATCCCTTCGGTGTAGGCTCTTTCCTACCCTACTGTGACAGAATCCAGTAATTTGGATTGTTCATCACTTATGAGGCACAAAACACTGGATGATGGAAAATGTTTGTTGCAATAGCAATTTTTGACGGTTGGGTCAAATGAGTGGGTTAGAAATTGGAAAGAACAGGTCCTTTTTGTTACACCCCCCCACAAAAGGTCTATAACAGGTCAAACAGGTCCATATCAGGTCAAATTAAGTTCGACCAATAGGGAGCGAATCCAACTCAAACTCTTGGACATGTTGTGCGTGTGAGAATAAGGAGGAATTGACCTCTCGTCCCAGACCTTTGAATTATTGGGCTCTCTTGTACATGCTGTTGATGAAGTAAAGATGAAGCAATGGGCATCTATCTTAAAAAAACCCCCCCCCCCACCCTCAAAGAAAGGCCCAAAAAAAAAAAAAAAAAAAAAAAGAGGGTTTGGGGGGACATGGCGCGCAGTAAAAGGTCGAAGAATCGAGAGGATGAAGAAGAATTGAGACCGATAGAATGGCGACAAGCATCTCTTATGCTTAAACCCCAATGGCAGATAGAAATGGGAGACGGTAAAAATTGATCAAAGGAGTCAGGGATGGACTCGTTAATATACCATTCTTTTCTCTGGCAGGGCCATCTCGTTCTTGTGCATTTAGCAACATCAAAGGGTGTGTGAAAATGGACTTCGGCCTTGCCTCCAAGTAGGGCCAGAATGAAAGAGATGGAGTGACATGAAAGAGAGTGAGTATGGTGGCGAAAAGGACTAGCCAAAAAGGGAAGTAGTAAATCACAAAAAAAAATGGTAGGGAGAAAGGATATCATCCCTTCATTTTGGATACGAAACTGTGAGTGAATGGACGGTGGTGATGGCGAGATGGGCTTCGATGGAGGTTAATAGAACTGGTCTGTGCCACGCGCTCATGGCTACGTTGTTTTTGATCACTTTTTCATATGCTTTGTTCACTTCAAAACGTGTTTAAGGGGTCGAAACATGTGACAAGGGTATAATGGTAAGAATGACCTCTAGTCGACGGACTGACATCCTTGGGAGATCGTGTCACTAACCTTGTGTCAAGTCTATAAGCCTTTGCTAAAGCGTCATGGTGACTCTGACAACAATGACAGGGAGGTGATGCATATGTGTGAAATGAGCCACCATTTTGACGCTCGCAAAATGACAGTGAGACGATGCGCAAGACTTTATTTCGATTAAATACATGCTCTATTTTCTCCTTTGCAACACCAAACTCAACAATCAACATGATGAAACACAAAAGCTTCACCAACATCATCCAGTTTCCAGGCGTCGCTTTCGACAATGCCACAGTAATGAGGATCTTAGCTACAAGACGTATTTTAGAGAGTCAACATGGAATACACCATCTCTATTCCGACGGTTCTCTTCGACGCTTGAAGAATATTAATATCCGTATGAGTTTTGCAGTCACTTTTAAAGACGCAAATGGAGAATACAATGCTGCGGTTATAGGCACCGCGGATGGTGATGCAACCTCAACAAGAGCCGAGATCGTTGGTATTTTGGCGAGCATCTTGTGCTGTCCGCGTGGCCAGCCAGCAATAATACACACTGACGACCAATCGGCTGTTCACGAGTTCACCGCACTTGTACAGTCTCCTGCCACCACACAAGAACCACTACCACCGCCTAATGCTGACTGGTGGAGAGTCGTCAAGACCGCCTACATCGAGCAAGGCCAAAAGATCACCGTCAAGTGGGTACCTGGGCACTGTGGAGTGGCTGGAAATGTGGCCGCCGACAGATTTGCAAGTAAAGCACATACAACTGAGTTTGCATCATGGCATATCGGCCCATGTTAACACCTCAATACTTTGATCAGATCCACATCAGAAAACATAACATAGTCAAAATATTAACGAGCAATGCTCTAAATGAAAATTTTGGATATAAATATTTTTATGAGCTTAGTACATGCGCTAAACGACAGTTGGTTTGTGGGAGCCAAGCGTTCATAGCGACGTGGCCTTTTGATCATCTGGGCATTGCTGTCAGTCAGATCCATGGAGAAGCTATACGAGGAACTTCCGGCCAAGATGAGAGTGCTTATGTGAACCAAGGGGTCGCACTCAAAGAACAAAAGGCGACCTAGTGGTTGTGCAGGAAAGGTAAACAGCTCAGAAAAAAACCCATAAATATGGCCGCATAAGTTGCGTTGCATACATTCTATTGATGCAAATTACATATATAAAGGACATAATGATCTCCTTGTGAGAGTAAAGGATGCGTGAGTGTCGGAGAGGCTGTAATAAAATCTCAAGGTGGTAGACTTGCAATGTGAAGAGTGGTGCGCAATAATGCCCCAATATCAAACACATGCGGCAGCTGTTATGGCGAGCGTGAATGTACTGTGATGAAGCAAGCAACAATGGATAAAAGAAGAGGATATTTATTATTGTGGAGTATGGAGCTCATGCCGAATGTAAATATACTAAAGAGTTGGCGTGAGTTCTTTCTCGACAAAAGTCATAACAGAGGCATTGATCTTGGTGATATAAGTTGATATGAGAGGGTCCAAAACTTGCAGGGTAATGTTGAGATGATGGTTACCAAGGATTTTGATAGAGGTTTGAGTGCCAGTGAAAAGTAAAAGTATCTCGTCCAGAACCCAGGATGTATTAGTTTGATCGGTGTATCGGTTCCGAAGCTCCTCAACTGTCATGTCTGTCGACCACGGCTTCTCTTGCATCTCAAATGACGCGACTGACGAGAGTGTTCCGTCTCCGTAGTGAGCTTGATCAAACGCCACCAAAGTGAATATTGTATACGGCTGACAAGGGTTCTTGTTGGCAAACGGACTGAAAGGCAATAAATAGATGGGTCGTGGAATTTTGTTTTGGTTTGCCGCAGCTGCCACATGAGGTTCCTGCTCGAGACGGACCATGTATATTTTCCTCGGGAAAGCTGAAGACCATCGTCCAATGATTCCTGATCCAGGAAGATACTTGTTGCCAGTGAGTGACTTGTGCTCGAAAGTGGAAATGATGATGTGGCGCAACTGACAGACGCGTTCATCCTTGTATCCAAACGAAGCGAGGAAGTGACGAGGGAATCGAAAGATAGTGAGCCAATGATTAGTCGTTCTCCGTCCTGCGCTGAAACAATCATGGGCTAGACGTTCTTGTATGGCGTTTGATTGAGGGCAGCAATGAGTTGACAACATGCGGACCCTAGCGTACGACAGAGGGCTCTCGATGGGCATCGACTAGTCTTGTCCGGTCATACGCCTCGATGGTGTTGACAATGATGACCCAACCGTTTAGATTGTTGAGGAGGGGGCATCCAGCAAGAACCTTTACGTAGGCAAATCGGAGATGGGAGAAGAAATTCCCAGTCTCTGTTGAAAAGCTCGCGAACGCCATTGTCGAGTTCGATGTACTTTCGCCTCTGTATCGATGCTGCATAGGGTCAAGTCGACAACACATACTCCAGTCCAGGTGCTAGAGTTGGAGTGCAAATAGGATAGGTATCGTCATGGGTATGCTTCCTATTTTTGGGTAGAGGCATTTTTGGGACGACTTGACCTTGACCCGCGGACAGCGTAGCAATGACCGAGATATGGGCTAGACCATTCTGCTCTGCTCCGTCAGGATCCTTCATGGTGAAAGGCCTCATTTCGAATTCACTGACAGTGCCCAATGTCCGCTGCTTTTCCACGTCAGAGACGTGTGTCTGGTTGCATCTGAGGTGTTGAGTCCGCCGTTATTGGGACTGGAAGGGATTAGCGACTCGGCATGGCGATGACTGGTGGTTGTTGGCAAGGCTCGTCGTTGTCTTCCTCCTCAAGAGCACAGGTCAAGTTGGCCAGGTGTTTGCGGCATCTTCCTTTTGGTCTTGAATGTTTCGCCGCAGAAAGGACAAGGGGTACACACCATCAATATGCGTGACAGTGACCTGTTCCAACGGTGATAGGGCTGACGAAAGATGGTGATGCTTCTGGAAAGAGAGGTGATGCTTCTGGCGAAAGGAAGTATCGACGCGAATGAATGAATGCAAAGCATGAATGAAAAGTGCAAGGATAAGCAGTGTACAAAGGGATGAGAGAAAAAGGTATGGTGTGGTGGCAAGGGTGAGAAGTTGTGAAAAGAGTGGTGTGCTGGTTTGGGCGCGTGGGACGCGTATAGGCGCCATAATTACGTCACCAAAGTGTGCAGTTGAAGCGGTTCCAAGATGCCAAGTGAAAGAGGTGATGCTCCAAGTGAGAAAGGTGATGCTCCAAGTGAGAAAGGTGATGCTCCAAATGAAGGAGGTGATGCTCCAAGTGAGCCCAGGAATATTCCCATTTTGATATTCCGCACTTGCGTATTTTGAAAACCGCATAAACGGAAGAAAGTCCAGTTCCACTCCTTAGCCAAAAAAAAAAAAAAAAAAAAAATGCTCTGTCCCATGGGTCTCTCTGAAAAGATAACCCATGGCCATGACCCATACGCCTCTTGCCCAACTAAAGAAATCCAAGGAGTGAGGGTTGTTCCAAATTCTTGCAAATAAACCAGGGCATCTTTTCATCAGTCCTATTCCAGTTTCCCACAATGAACACAACCCTTCTTAACTATGACCCTCTTGAAGACACGCGATCTGATCACGATGAGGAGAAGGAAGTGATGAATGATGATGTGGAAAGAGAGCAGCACTCGGAGGACATCGACAGCGAAGTCAACGACGACGATCCTCTCGATGATGACTTTGATACCGCTAATGATGTGATTGAGGACGATGAGAATGGAGTGTGCGAGCGCGGACAGAGCATCGTGGTCTTAAAGTTGGACCTGAAATTTATTCAGAACTATTGCCAGAGTCACCTGAACGTATATGCTTGGCATGTTTTGTGCGATTGACTTTTTTTTTACTAAGGGCACTATTCATCGTGTAAATAGGTGCTCGCGGAAGCCCAACGCGTTGAAAGCCGACGAGGGCAGAAATGACCACCATAAGAGTATTACGTTGCAGAGGATTTGAGAGAGTTACAAGGTGTTCTGGATGGAGCCCTAGCGAGCGCTTTGGCGCCATCTTTGACCCATAGGCTGTGCTGTTCAACTGTTTAGGAAGCTTTTGACAGACTTCCACGATGTCGTCCGCAGAAGAAAGAGGAAGTAGAGGAGGAGTCTCAGACAGAGTCGTGTCTAGAGCTGACACTTCTCCTGTGAATTGGTTGGTGGAGAGGTCTTGGCGAGCTGCGTCGACCTTGTTGGTTCTGTCATAGTCTTTTAACGCTAAATATAGAGGAGATAGGGGAGGGAAGTGAAAAGAAGTAAAAGGCGAAATGAAAAGAATACAGAGTTTGGATGTTAGTTGGGGAGATTCCTTTCTTTGTGTCACCTCTCTGACAGGGAGGAAATAGAGCAACGTTTTTTGTTGTAGAATGTCATACTTTGGGCAGAGTCAAGCGATGCGACAGCGAGGATAATGGGGGACATGATCAGAAATCTCATGATAGTGGATATGTGCGTGCGTGTGAATGGGAGTAGGGTAAGGGTGATGAGTGGAAGGGTGAAGAGGTGACGAGGGAAAGAAAAATCGAACGGGCGAGGACGCGTCTTCTATAAAAAAAAAATAAGGTGCGCGAAAATAAAACACGAACTCAACATTTAAACCTGAAGGTGGTACAGTACGGTGCCCTCTTTTCAGGACAAATAGTATAATTCAAGGGGGGAGGATGGAATCGGGCCAAATGATAAATGAGAGACTATAAACCAGCACCAACACCTCTCTCATTCTTTCTATTTTTTTTCTTTACCGAGATCCCTCCCTCCTCTTTCTCTCATAGTAAGTCGCCGTCTATCACTAATCCCTTTCAGTGATGTACTCACCTTGAACATTGTCACATTATCGCACTTCTCTCATATAGCGTAACCTTTGCAACCACGTGCGCTCTACCATTTCCATTGCTCCTTGACACAACCACCTTGGAGCGCTCATCCGCCTTGCATTTTTCCCCCCTCGAATCATTACTGATACCCTGTGAAAAATGGAGACCTCGTCGCCAAGGATGAAGGCTATTAAGTCATATTACCTTCTACCGTTAATACTCATTTAGTATCCTTTCGCCCTTCATTATCTCCCCCTCCCTCCGTGTCTCTCTTTCCTCCTTTCCTCTCCTTCCTCTTCGTTACCTACCTCATGAAAAAATATTCACTGATACAGACATCTACATTCCTTGTTACTCTTCACCTTTGAATGCTAAAAATCCAACAGCAAGAAAAGCCCCGTCTTTTTATTTAACGAAGAAGTGCGGCTAGCGACCACATCACCACATGGCAGATGGTCGCTGCTCAACTACCACCTCCGTGATTATTTATAATAATCATCGTCTCCGTGATTACTTGCCACCTCCGTGATTAGCTATCACCTCCGTGGTTAAATATCACTCCAGTGGTGTAAAATAATAAAACAACTCTTTTCTTCTCGTTGACAACAGACCCATACTTCTCAATTCAGAGGCAGAACAGAGGCGTCTCTAAGAGAGACTATCATGTTACGAACTGCTGATACACGACTATATCATATTATTGTATTTGCTAGCTTTCTATCTCGTTACTGGTGGTATATCTATACCGTTGTAAGGATGAGAACCGCAAGGCTCTCCATCTCCCTACGACTTTCCACCAATGCGCCATCATCTCCAAAGATTGTCGCAACCTCACCCTCAGTCAACGTTACCGCCTTATCACCCGTATTCGCGACAACATATAGCCTACCTCCACCACCACCATCAACCCTCCACATACCCGCCGTAATCTGTCGTTTCGTATCCGTATACTCCAGGACTTGCTCACCACCCAGAACAAACCTCGACGCCAAGGGCACCAACTCTGCCGACAGCCCCGGGATCGACGCCTTCAACTCATCCGTAAGTCCTCGTGGGTAGATCCAGCCCATCAATCCTTTGGCTCCATGGATGATCGAGAGGTACGACATCAGTCTGTACTCTTCGGGCGTGGGCGCGCGCGTCCAACAAGTACTAGGATCCGAGAAGGCCTGCAAGACCATCCAGATCGGCATCCGGGGTTTACCAATCTCTGCAAGTTGCGACCGGTAGGACTGTAAGCGCCGCCGAATATCGGTGCCCAAGTCACCAAAACATCCATTGCAGCCACAGCAGCCACCCTCGGGGCTGAAGTTGCACTGCATTGGGTCGAGCCCTACGGGATAGACGTCTGTCATAAGGATATCAGCAGCCTGAGAGAACTTTGCGGCCGAGTCACGGATATAATTGAGAACCAGCATGACGGGACGGTGGGGGTCGAGGGATTGAATGGTCCGGTAGGCCTGTGTGGAGGTCTTTGGTTCCGGTGCGATGGCTTCGCCGTCAGGTTCGTCGGCTGTGTACCATGTCGCCAAGCTGGCATAAGCTTTGACGCTGTTCACTTCGGCGGTGACGTTTTTTGTGTTGACATAAGAGTGTCGCATGTCGTACTGGATCGAGACACCGGTACCCTGTGCAGCCTTGATACACGCCTGAATCTGCTTCCCGTCCCCGTAAGGCGGGACAAAGTTGACGTGGTTGATGCCCATGGCCTTCAGTTCCTGCACGGCTCCGACAGGGTCTATTTCGCCAAAGGAACTGAACCCTGCGTACATACCAAAGGGGAACAGAGGCTGTGATCCAGGAGTGAGAGACGACCCTGGTTGTTGGGGCACAAGCGATCCATGCAAGTAGTCGACTCTGACAATATGTGACGTCCCTGGAGTAGGCTCCTTGTAAATCGCAAATGTAGCCTTGGCTTTGACAGCTCCCATTATAACGGAGACGTTCGTCGAAGAGATGCCAATGTTACCCTTGGGGACAGAAACGATATTGGTACCAGGACGAACAGTCGCTTCAAAGGGCGTATTCCCAATCCCTCCAAACTGTAGCGTGATAGAAGTCTGGTCAGAACCCTTTGGAACATCAACAATAAAGTCGACCAGCTCGTCAGTGATATAAATGGGTTTGTAGCGCGGGGTAACGGCCAAAGTATCGGGCGGTGGCCATTTGAGCCATGACGGGAGAGGTGCGAGGATCCCCGGGTTTGGGTAGGGCGGTGTGTATGTACTATTGTTGTTGTCCGTCGAGACTGCGCCTGGCTGGGTGGCGCTGGGTTTGTTGGGCTTGTGATTGGGGTTGTTGGTGGATACGGAGAATGGCAGTGGTAGCAAGGGACTGGCATGTGTTGATCCCAGGAGGAATATACATGCTGCTGCTGTTGCGAAGATTGTTGGTATGTGAGGATACATTTTTGTTGTGGAGCTGAGAATTAGAAGCAAGATTAAGAAAGTGTGAAAAAATGAGTCGTGGAGTATGAGAGTGAAAAGAAAAGAAAGATGATAAGTGAAAGAGGGAAGGGATCATTGCATTTTATTAAAACAGTTAGCTGGGACTCATTGTCATTTACCTACCACCCCGCAATACAATTTGGACTCCATTCACACCCTAAAGGTATTTTAGAACGACTCCCAGAAATGAATTGTACTATATATATCCCCCCTTGTTGGCCATATAACAGATAGAGCAAGGAGGCAAGGAGTGTGTGATCAACAACCTCTGGTGTTTTATTTGTTCAAGGGGTCAATCAAAATGAGGTGATGAGCAAAAAGAAGTGCATTCAAACAAGGGCCATTTCTCCTCTTCTTATACTTTGTGAGTGTGCGTGTTTGATCATCATAACTGTGCTGTTACCACAATTGCCATCACCTGATTCTGATTGGCTGGAAGGCTATCCGTTTCACTTATTTCTTGTTGTTATCACTTAGAAGGGGACACAGCAAAAGGGGAAAGAATGTACCGTGCTCAAGAGGAACGATCTGAGGTTGGTCAGGGGCCCAAGAACGAGAGCAGTAAATGGAATGAGAGAAGATGGCCCAAGCCCACTTCATTTAAGCGGATGTCTCTACTCGTCTACTTTTCTACCTAGCTAGAGAGGGCCGACATACAGGCAGTATTTGTTATTCATATTCATGCCTTTTTTTTGCTTGGCTGACCATGCGGTCGGTCAGGTCTCGTGTGGCGTAGACAAGCCGACTCTTCCATAATATATGCATGTATCCCACCTTAGCATTGTCGATGCTCGCTCGCTTATACTTAACCCCTACATACTTTCGATCTTCTGCTTTCTTCCAGCCCCTGCCAAGACCTGCATGTACATGTAGGTCTTGCATTATTGTTATTGTGCCTCCTCTTCACTCTTGACCTTTCTCCCACCTCTGCCCCCCGTCTCTCCTTATCGTCTTGTCATTCTCACTCCTTCCTCTTCCCTCAGGTACGACAAGGCGTACTTGACTCAAAAGGGGCAGCAATCGAACGGGAAGAAAATATACCATTTGGGGGGTCAGAAAGTGGACAAGAGAAGGAGCCAAGCACTTTTTTTTACGGGAAGAAATAAGAAGGTTTGATTCCATGCAACACAGACCCCATCCTTCACCCGTTAACCATACACATTGAAAAAAAAATGTCGCCACTTCAAAAGGGAGACAAGCGAGCAGGGGAGGAACAACGCAAGGCAGGGTGAAAAATGAGAGAAAAGAGAGATAGCAAAGAAAGAACCAATTGCCTTTCCTTGCACTTATGCCGATTACCTTCGGTCCCCATAGGTATAAAAAGGGCGAACCTGCTCCTCTTCTTTTCCTTCTTGTTCTCTTGCACTACCAACCAGCTCTCGCCTAGTCACTTTATTTGCACATTTCCCCCACGCTGCCCTACCACGCCTAACTTACACCCATCTACTACTTAACAGACCTGAAAACAGACGCAAACAGACGTTCACTTTCATTAAACGCAAACAAAACAATAGCTTCTCCCTCTCCTTCTCCACAACTCCCCTCCCCACCAACACTTCAAAATGACCCTCAAATCAAAAATCCTAGTAGTTGCCGGAGGAATCACAGTCCTAGCCGTCGGAACCGCAGTCATCGTCATCGCGACTCCCGCCCTTGCAGTCCAAGCCTCCGCAACCGCAGTCTCCTATGTCCTCGCCAATGGCTGTCTCATCATCAAGGAAGTTCTCACGGGGTTCTTCTCTGCCGGAGCGATTTGGTACCTCTGGGGTTGCCTCCGTCCTTGCTCCTCCTCTTCTACAGCCCACAGGCACCGCCATGAATCGCATTTGGTCCCGGTACAGCCTTACCACACAGGCTGGGAGCCAGACTCGATCGCCCTCTCCCCACGGCCACGAACATCCTTCCAATCCCACCGCTCCCAGCACCGAGGCCGTCCACGCTCAAGCTCGGTAATATCCCTCCTCTCAGAATTCGAACTCGAACTCCCCGTCTCGGTATTCGATACACCCCGTTCCCCAGCCCTGGTCGGAACACCCTTCTCCGACGACGCCCGGTCACGCGCGAGTTCCCGCTCCCGCTCCCCTGCTGTAACAGGCTCGGGTTACAACACCGGCTCGGCGTCGCCGGCATGGACGTTGGATGAGACGACGAGATCAGAGATGTATGGGGTGACGACGGTCATTGACTCGTATGTCCAACGGGGTCTTCGACAGCGCTTCTCGGGTGTTTGAATAGTGAGATTTGCTGAACTGGACGCGCTCGAAAAAAAAAAAACGCCAAGGCAGTCAGAGGGAGGAAGAAGGAGGACGAAGAAAATGGGGGGAGGTTGTAGTTGGCCCGTGTTGAAAGGAAAGGATGGGCGTTTCGCAATCCTTATCCTGTCCACTCATCCATTTTTTCTTTATTCCTTTTTTTCACAAATTTGCTGCATGAAGCTGTGATATGAAAAAAAAGTCTTGGCATTGACAACCGCACAAACATACACCTTTCACCCCTTTTTTCAGCGTCCATACAAACATACATTCATACATTCATGTACATATCAAATAAAAACCCATTGTGAACAGATATAATAACAAAGTGTAACAAAGACTATGGTACAAGGAGGAGGGAAGATGGATATGGGGTGTATCTACTGAGAGAAAGGAAGTATTTGGAAATGAACAAAGGCTCTACCATTGTTTGCTCATGTCGCTTTGGTTCTCCTGAGTGGTACTCCCATAGAAGACGCTGCAGAGGATGTCGAAGACGAAGGAGTGGAGGATGAAGCTGCTAATGTTGCTGCCGTCGAAGACTTGGACGCGGCGGAGGGTGCTCCAAAAGGAAGAAGACAATTGTTGACCTTGGCCGCGAACCTCAAGCTGCGAAGCGTCTGTTCCAAATGGACACTGAGGGGTGAGATATGGACGACGAACAGCATCTTGGTGTTGCTGCCGTCCACAAACGTGCTCTGCAGCAGATGAGTCAACTTGTTTTTGTATGGCGAGCGGGAAGAAAAGTACAAGCGGTTAGATATAAGAAAACAATGCTCGAGGGGCAAGCACGTCAATAAAGTACAGTCAGGGTCACGTTTTCCTTACTTTGGAACCGCGATAGGGAACCTGAGAGTCCTTGCTAGACAAGGCGAGAAAAACGTCAGCAAGACACTTGAGGCTCCGGTCTACTACCCCTCCTGCTAGCGTGTTGTCGCTATCCTTGGAACCGGAAGACTCGACGTTGGTTGCTTCCAGGTGTGAATCGGAAGCTATCAGGTCCACAAAATTCAAGAAGCCTTCTGTCGTTTTCCCCGTTCCTGAGTTGACTCCTGTCACACGAATCGTGAACACGCTAACAAGAAAAAAAATCAAATGTGATTAGTGCTAAATCAACCGCCACAGCATTGTAACACATAGACAAAGAGGAGGGATCCAATGGCGACATACCTGTGGCCACCACGGTAGTTATCCTTGAGGGATGTTTTGATTTCTGCCTGTCGACGCTGGGCAATCCTCAAAAGTGACCCAATCATCACTGCAGAATTGAGTTCCGTCATGTTGATGCCAGTCACGGCGGCAGTGCCGCCACCCGGGTCACTCTGGACCTCGTGTACTTTGCTTGTAGATGATCCCTCGGGAGCCTGGAGATCGTATATCGTCTCATTGTAGATCCCAATCTGCCGACTCTCCAAGGTGTACCTCCAGTCATTCGACTCTGGTGCTCTTATCGCCTCATAGATCTGCAAGATAGACCGAGGAATTAGTCCCATCGATTCCTCCGCGGAACCCGAAGACCCCTCTAGCGTGTACGACTTGCCGGTCTTGGTAGAACCATATGCTAGCACACAGGCGTTCCCTCCGCTCAAGACCGAAGGTAGCAATTGAGAGACTTCCTCAAAGAGATCTCCTTGAGTCGACGCTGCTGCAAAGACCCTGTCAAAAGTGAATGGATACTTGGGCTCCTTGGCTGTTGTGAGGACGATTTCTCGACCCTCAAGATCAGGATAGTCGATCGAGGTCACCGTACCATCGCTAGGACCATGTGGGCGAACGCGACAAAAGACACGGACATGGCCTTTGAGGTCCATAATAGTGCCGTACAACTTGCGTCGGCCCGACTCCTCGTCTTTGACCTTTTGTTGGCGCTTTCGCACCTGTGTCTCCGAGTCACTCAGCTTTCGCTCCAGCTCCTCGATGGACGTCTCTCTCCTTGCAATAGTGTCCTCCTTTCGCTAATTTCGGTGCGACACAAGAAACATTATAATATATTAACATCAAGGACAAATTCAAGGGTGCTCGGACGCCTAAAACCAAAAGTGAAAGTACCTCGATCTTGAGTTTCAATGCTCTGTTGTCAGTCTCGAACGCGAGACAGTTGGACGACTGTGTCGCGATTGTCGTACGGAGGTTGGCACTCTCTTGGACCTGTTGCTCCAGGTGATTGTTGGCGGTGCGTAGATTGGACTCGACCATATCGCGCTCCTGTTGCAGGCGTGTCTCTGTCGACTTTTCCTGTTCTACTTCCATCGCCTGCTGTGACTGCAGAGTCTTCATATTGTCAAGGTGCTTCCTGTTCAGCATCTACGTAAGTATAGGCGAAGGCAAAAGGTTCATAAGTAAGAGCAATTGTGTGCACCGAATAAATTGGCCGCTCCAAACTACAAAGAAACTTACAAATATCTCCTGCTCAACCGTAGACATCTTTTGCAACATGTCGTTGTTCTCAATCTCCTTGCCAACGACCTTGCTCTCAAGTCCCAAGCGGAACGACTCCAGTTCCTCAACTAGCAGGATAACAAAACATTACCTCTAGGGTTAATATGAGACTCTTGACAAATAACACAGAGAGAAGTATTGACTGCGACCTTGCGAGAACTTACTCTTGTTGGCATTGGTTTCCAACGTCTGCGTTATCTCGGTGATATTGCCGGTGGACTTGTTGAGCATTTGGTGCAAGGCGCCTGTCAATTCTTCCATATCCTCAAGACGACCCTTGGTGTCCCAGGCAGCTCGTTTCTTTTTTGCTGGTAGCTCTATACCAGCGGGCACTGCTACTCCCTTTCCTGTGCCCTTTAATTGTGTCGTTGGTGCTCCAGGCGCCGGTGTCGTGCTCCGAGACCGTGTTGTAGCCCTTGTAGGAGCAGGTTGTGGGGGTCCTGCTCTGGACTTTGCTGTCGAGGCAGTTACTCTTGTAGTTCTGCCGGCTGCTGAGATCGGTGTTGCTTTGGTAGATGTCAAAGGGGCCCTGGCAGTGGTAGTAGGTCTGGCTGTCGGTGTTGCCCGTCCAGGCGGCCGTGTCTGTGTCTGCAATGGTGTTCTTCCAGCTGGCTTGGCGGGTGGTGGCTGTTGCTGTCGCTGTCGTTGTGCTCCTGCTGCAGGTTTCCTTGCAGCCCCTGTAGTTGTCGCCGTTATGCCTCTGGTATTGGTAGCCGGTCTAGTTGAAGATGCTATTGCTGCCGCACTGGATGGTCTTGCTCGTGCGTCGTCCTCTGCTTTCCGCTTGACTCCAGCAACAGTCTTGGCCGGTAGGGGTTCCAGCATTTCCAACGTCAGGGTATGGTCTTTCTTGAGTTCGTTATTCAAGCCAATTCCTGTTCCTGCTCCTGTCACCGTACTAATACTCCTGTTGCCAAAGAAGGTCGTAGCAGAGTAGTTTTCGTTCTCGTTCATGACCGCTGCAGCGACTGCGAGTGCTGTTGAGAGAGCGGAGGATGAGTTGGACCGCACAATTGTCGATGGGGGCTTGAGTTTCGAGAGCTATTATTGTTGATGACAAGGAGGATGAGTTGACTTAATTCAATAGCAGTTCATGGGTTCGTGATGATTGTGTCGTTTAGACAGCAATGCGCTTACCGAGCGATTGAGCTGTTCCATGGCTTGATTATTGTTTATGTTCACCGCTGAGAGCGAAAGATTTTGGGAGATGGATGCGCGTTCTCGTCAAGTCAATTCCGTTGTAGGTGCTTCTTCTTTCTTTTGTCCTTGTTCCTTTTGTTCGTTGCTTGGTCTGCCTTGGGGTGTCCTTCGATATCGTCGCCGTTATCAATGTGTGTGGTTAAGAAGCGAAATGGTGGCGTCCATACTTTTTCATCAACAACAAAAAGCGCGTCTACACGTGACCTGAACGTCCGCAAGGTCTGAAACGCCTATTAATTTAAAAAGGACGCACAACCGCCATGCCAGCCCTGCCAGGAGATCTCTTAATCTTCTGCTCCCTTCCCCTCCCATTAGTACCACCCTCCCCTCCAAGAACACGCACACCGAGAAGCAGTAATCGACAGCCCCTCTCTTACTCCTCTTCCGATCTTTCCCAGGATGTTCTTTCGCCGCCTGTGAAGCAGTCATTGCACTGCCGGAACTGCAGAAGCCATCTATTGGTTTCTGGACAGGACCAGCCCATTCCAGCTCTCGATGCTCAGCAGGATTAACCACCACACTCTAACCCTTAAACTCTGGCATACTCTGGATTTCTCGGACGTTTCAACAGCACATCGCCTTTTGCAATCGTCTGACGCTCTTGGTGCTCTCGCCCGGAATATGGGCCACTCAGTTGTCTGCAGATCAAGATGGTGTTTCTACTGTACTTTATCGACAGCATGGCTGGGCACTACATGCACAGCGAGAATGGACACTTTTATCCGCGGCTGGGATTTGTGCCGTTGACCCCGTGGTGCGAACGAGGTGTAGCCGTGGGTGTCCCCGCTGCTCGCACATGACATTACCTGATGCGTAGAGCAGGACTCGAGGCTTTGAATCTGGACCACGTTGGCTTGCAGGATTTCCGTTGCTCGATCAGCTACCAGTGGTGCTCCCAAAGATGACTCGGCTAGCACGGGAATACGACGAAAACATGGAAAAGTTCGGCCATGGGGCAAGTCTCCCTCTTTGGCCCCCTATCGCATCCCTATCCTGCCCCACTTGCCGTGGCTCCTCACGCTCAACTCGAACCTCACCCATATCCGCCTTCACCGGTGCAGCGTGCAGGTGTCGCTTCAAGTTCGAGTCTTTGCGCGGGCTCTTTCAGGACTGGGGTGTCTGGAACTTTTGGACTTCAGGTGTTACCTTCTCGGCCCCATGGTTGTTTTAGATGCTCTTCTTTGCCCTTCCAAATTCTCTCAGGAGCTTGGCTATTCATAGAACCTAAACCGTTACCGGGAACGTACCCTCCTTTGATGGACTTTCAGGAGAACTGGACAAGGACCAGAGGGGGGGCGGCGTCGGTCAACCCTCAGTGAGACGGAAGGGACCTCTCCATCGATTTGACTCGGCTTAACATCGAGAAGGATGGCGCATAAGGCCTGGACTTTATGGTGCCTCTTCTTCGACACTGGCGGCCCATGAATCATTCGAGTCTATGTATGTGGGATCTTCTAAACCGGAAAACATTTGGACAGCGACTCCGCGAGTGATGTCTGAAGAGTATTCTGGGCTGCAGGAACTGACTGGCGATGGCCGAGGTATTGTTGCGATTCTAGAACATATTCAGGAACAGTTATTAAACGGCTGAACCAAGGGGTCTTTAACGGACGAGGAGATGTCTTGAACCTGTGAGTAGGTTTCTACCAGGCAGTGCATGAGTCTAAATGAGATTCGACTGGAGATACGCCATCGCGTCAGGGGTAGATCGCTTCTACTCATTCTGTGGAATTACACTGGACAGGAGCATTTGATCATCACTGGTCAAGTAGAAATGGCTGAAGACATTGAAGACTACAGTCGATGTGAGTAGAGGGAAACCGCTTTCTGTTATGACCTGTTCTTGTTGTAGCCAACACTGAGAGTTCAATCACGACCCTACCTTAAAAGAAATAAGCGTCAAGAAGCTATCCGACATAGAAACGACTTCAACTAGCTCACCTGTGGCGGCAGCGCGACGCACTTTTCAGCCGACCAACCTACCCCGAGCACATCCTCGTACCGGCGAATGGTGTTAAAGTCGGGCACAAGACGTTGGCCTTCGCCGATGACTGGGTAGTAACAACGATGGTACTCGACAGTCCGAACTTGGGGCTTCCTGAAGGAACAGTATTCATTATGCCTGACAGTATGACCCTAAGAGCATAATATGTGAATTAGAACACAACAAACACAATGGATTGGACAAACAAACAAGATTTGTAGTTTACTAGGGAGGAAATGTGTAGACGGGAGTAACAAAAGACGTTCCACTTCCTCCACCGTTTGGATCCCACTCTCTGCCTTAGCGAAACCTGGTAAGAGAAACGCCTTCTTTCCTTTCAAGCAACAGAAATAAAAAAGTGCGCGCGTAGCGTGTCGTGTCGTGTCGTGTCGTTGTTTCTCCTCCTGCCCTTTCCCGCGTCTGTTTCCTGTTCCTAAATCGTGTCTTACAAGAATGCTCATGTTGCCAACTCTTTGCATTTGAATGCGCACTTAAGGTAAAGGGGAAAAGAGGGAGACAAACGAGAGTATGGAAAAAGGGAGGATTGAAACTCGGAGGAAGAAATGTAAAGATTGGTTGCAGATCTACCAAACGAAGGGAAAAGGGTGCACGGATGTAGCACAGACAAGGCACAGCAGGATCGAGGATAAGAGGCGGTTGTGTGAAGTGAGGAAGGATGCGATAAAGGACAGGGGAAAGAATCATAAGCGAAACGAAGGGGGAGGGTATAGAGATGTGGGTGCCGTAGACATAAAATATCACATTTTTTGTTTTGGTGTATACACGAGGTTGCTGAGAGATCAAGACGCGTGTCGGTAGAGAGAACGCCGCTTTTTATTGCTATTGATCGAAATGTCAAAAATGAAACGCGTCCAGGTTGGAAATACAAACCATTTCGACGCGATCAACTGTTAGCATTGCCGAATGTTATGACAACTAAAGACTATTATTCAACAACGCCAAGGATTCTGGATGTCCCACCCGACCCGCCCTTTTCTAGCAAGGGATAGAGGTCAAGAAGTCGCCTAGAGTCCCCATCTGTGTGTTTGTTTTCATTTCATGTCTTTCATTTCATGTCTTTCATTTTTTTTCGGAAGTCACGGTTCATAATAGAAAGATGCACTCAGATAGAGTCCCTGGTAGGGAAGAATAATTGCGACAAAGCAACAAACGCCAAAAAAAAATGGCGCCAGGAATAAAATTATAGGCGCAAGAATACCGACGAAAAGAAAGGCTGACCGTTCATAAAATACCATAGAAGAATGAAGATTTAATGACCGTGCAAGACAAGAGGAGCTAAAACTTGGAAAGTCGTAAAAAAGCAGCTATAAGTATGGAGTTCGTTAAGGTAAAAATTGTATAACTGGATCATTTACATTGCACTTGCCTGATTGTAGACTACGAAGGACTAAAGCTCCAGAAGGCTTTTTCTCAATACATCCACCTTGTGATCCAACTCTTTGCGTTTCGCCTGCTTTGCTGGTGACTCGATAAGACGGCTAATGGTGTTGTCGTCCGCGGTGATCAACATGTCAAAATAAAGATAGACACTCTTGATCAAATGGCGCTCGATGGTTTGTAGAAGTAACACATCCACAATTCGTTTGCGTGCCACCTTGCAGTAGGACTTCATTTGTTCCTGCAGGTCTTCTACCGCCAACTGCTCATTATAATTGGCATCGGAGATACGAGTAATGTTGCTGAATGATTGCAGATTCTGCCGTAAAGTTGCTCTAACCTGCTCCCCGGTCGAGGTGAGGTGCGTTTGCATGTTGTTGACGAGCTGCTGAATATGTTGCTCCGCGCTTGCCTTCCTGCTATTGAGGATGTTGTCGTAGTAATACTTATTCATGGTAAATGGTGTGCTTTCATCTGTGAAGATGTTGTCGATTTCCTTTTCGATTTTGACAATTTGAGAGCTGTAGAACTTGTCGAATTCGAATAAAAGCGTGTCTTTGATCTGGGGATCTGCGGAGAAGGTTATGAAGCGGCTGACGGCCTTGTACAGGAACTGATGTATGTTGTAAACATGTGCTTTAGTAATATCGCTCCATCGAATCAACGTCTCCATGTAAATTTTGGTGAAAGTGGTGAACGGGATGAATCCTGGAAGCTCGTTTCCTTTGTATCGAAGAACGAGGTCGCTGATCTTGTCCTTTGGCAGCATATACTTGTCCTTGTTCATGACAACGTTGTATCGCTGGTATAGTCGGTAAAGCGAGGATCGAATAAATCTGTAGTCGCTATCTGACTCCAATGAGAGTGGCTCGCTGTCGCCAACGTCATCATCGCTGTCGCCACTGCTAGCGCTGTTTTCGGTATCAGTCATTGCTGAGTCCTGCTTTTCGAAATCCGACTTGTATTGGCTGATGTAATCGAATGAATAATCTCCGTCGAGAAGGGCGATAAGTGAGATCCTGAGCCTGAGAATACTGTCGAAGTACTTTGTTTTTGCCATCCCAGTGCTCAAAACAGGCGAGCCCATGTCAGCGATCTCCTTGTCGCATTTGAAGATCAGATCAAGGATGTCTTTTTTGAGGAATGGGAGCTCCTTTTTGATGTGGTTGTAAAGAAGCTCGCCTAGAAAGGTCTTGACGCTGCATTGATAAAAAGTAAAATCAAATACGCTGAGTAAGCGAAACTGAAGAACTGAAGGAGGCTTCTCTAAAGGAAAAATCGAGATCTAACGGCGGTTTACCTGACACGGCCCTTGTTCGCATCTGGTACCTGCGACCACAACGGCGATGATTTGAAAAACTCCTCCTCACGTTGTCTGGCATCTTCCCAAGGCATATCGATATCTTTGTAGCTCGAGTTTCTCATGACGAGATACCCCAGTTTCATGAACTTGCGCTTATTCAGGATTGTTTGTATGAGACTGGGAAGAAGGTCCTGTTCGATGGCGTCGGGTTTGGTGACGATTGGGATTGTGCGCTCGTTGTTTTGATCGTATCGCTCTGCCTCGCCTAGGACATATATGTTGTTCAGATCAACATTGGCTGGAACAACAGCCAAAATGATTGTGCGACTGTCCTTGATGTATCGTGTGTTGATCGTGCGGATAGTTTGGACTATTGTTTTGTCTTGACCGTCGATGGTTGTATTAATATAGCCTAGAAAATACAATAAAAAGGTTGTTATTTAACAATATCGTAATAAGAGGACGATGATATGTCATTTGGGAAAGTTAACATACCTGGAAGGACGATGATGGTGAGTGGCGACAATGTTGGTCCAGAGATAGTGATTTCCAGAACTTTCTCGCTGATTTCAGTGTTGGCGCAAAGTATTTCGTTGGCTGCACTGACGGCTGAGTGTACGTCCCAGCTGCTATCATGCGTTCGGTACTTGTCGTTGAATTCGAATTCACCATCGATGGATGCAGACATTTGTGGAGTGTTGCCTTGTCGTAGGCTCACTTGCGTAGCGAAACGTGTGCAGGTCTCAATGTTTCGTGGGAACGACAGCTTTGTGATGGCTTCCAGGACACTTGACTTGCCGCTCGACTGGTCACCCAGAATGGCTATCTGAGGAATGGTGATCATCTTGTTCAGGCCATAGCTTCGGATCCTGTTGATCTTGTCAATAATATCCTGATATTCTGCGTTTATAATCATATGAGTGTTTGAGCTGGTTGGTATGGAAGATTTAGTAGGGCGTATTAATTTTCAAGAGTCGTTATATAGCGATCAAGCGATCAATATTACATATGCATACTTTTATATCAGTCATGTCAATACATCCGACTGTGCATGTCATTCTGTTGACCACGACCTTCGCTCGTACGTCATTCTTTCATCAACGACCTAGACTCGACCATGCATGTCATTATGCCGACAACTACCTTCTCTTGACCATCATTCTCTCGTCATGGCTCTCCTTTGAGCATGCTTATCGCTCTCTCATCCACCATCATTCTCTTATCAATCGCCAATCTTTGGAATATTTTTAGGTGTTGAGCTCGTATGACATAATATATTGAACACGGTCATTCTTACGTCCTACTTGATTTCTGACGAGCCTCCCTGGCATGGTTCATGATTTTTTTTTATTTGGGTCGAGAACAATCTTTGAGGGAAGAAAAGGGCATCTGTTGAAAAGCGCCGTCTTAGCATACTCACATGTAGGCGGGTGTCCGGATCCTGATTGGGTGTGGTGTGCTATCTGTAGAGACAGAACTCTGAAGTTTTTTAAAAGCAGCTGCAGTGTGAGGTTTTTACAGAAAACTGCAGCATCTTTGTAGCTGGCTATCATATTAATGGACCGCATTCACAGTGGCCGCAATACCATCTCCAGAAGCAGCACAACAGACAGCTGTGTTTTGCTTCTCTGAAACCAATTCATAGCTCCTTAGAGCTGCTGCTCTCCTGGAGCACTTCCATGCAGAGAGAACAGCGTTCAACCCCTAGCATCACCACAACAAACCCAATAAACAAGCTGATGGCAGCTTGTAGTGTGTGCTCCTAGGGGCTGACAATCAATCTAGCATACACATTCTAGGTATAGCTATTGAGCTGTACTTGATAGTTGTTTACAAAGTTAGCAGACATGGTGTTCATGCACACTCAAGAATTCTACATGGCGACCCTTACACAGACTTTGGAGTTGCGGATAGCTTGCTGGATCTGGACATCCGCCTTACATTCATCGCATATTTAACCCTCTCTTATTGATCAACCCTTTTTTATTGATTGAGCAAGCCTCGCAATTCATTTTATCTCTTCATAGAAAGAAGAATTGCGAGAACCATCCACAAAAAGGCGAAGTATTAATAAATGGGGATCGGCCAGTTGAGCGCGTTTAGTGACCATCATTTTGCGGTTTAGAACAATGAAATAAATTATGCCCTGTCAAGCTAACCTGCTTCCTTTCCCTCTGCAGTTTGTTCACTTCTGTCTGCCTTTGTCATCCACTCTTCCCTCACCTTTACTCCGCCTGCTCTGTTCTGTCTGTCTGACCTGTATCCGCTAAAAGATCAATCCGCTCTGCCTGCCCTTTGGGCCAGTCTAGGTTCGCGACAAGTACCTGAGAAGTAACAAGACAAAGAGAGGGATTTCATTTCTGGCTGTGGCCGGTTTGCTACGCTAATTATGTCTTGTCTATCTAAGGCACACTCTGTCCAAAAATGCGACAAATGTAAGTGTACCTACCTACTTGTTATTATGGCTAGCCATGTCTTTTAGCATACACAGATGGTTCTCGATAATACAGCCAAAGAAACCAGCATCATGCATCTTCTCCTCGGACGTCGCGGTTGTATTAAACGGTGTGCCATAACCAGATAATAAAGGAGGACGGGATTTCGACTCGTTCTTAGTAACCCAGACCCCCCACTCACCGCCACCGAACGGCGCCTTGTTACCGATGTATAGCTGCTTTAGATACGACCCAACACCTCCCATCGTAAAGTAATATGTTAGGTCTGGTGTGGTAGTATTAGCCAACTTAAATAAGCCATCGTTATACTCCATCGAGATTGCAACCACCGGAATCGTGACAGATCCCCTGTCATGCTTCGTAAGACCAATAGAACAACTAAAAACCATTCTCTAGACTTATATAATATAGAACTTAAATCAGTTATATGTCGTCGAGCCATATCGTGTCGGGATACTATGTCTACTGTCATTCATCTCGCTGGGCAGAACATCTTGCATAAACGACATGTCTGTCTGTCTCAGTCTTACTGTGGTTGCTCGACGGGTGCAGGGGAGGATCGATGATGAAGGTGCTGGCGGATGGCGAACTCCGAGAAGTCAAGAGAGAGGTGGGGAAAAGGAGAAAGGTGGGGAAAAGGAGAAAGGTGGGGAAAAGGAGAAAGGTGGGAGAAAGGAGAAAGGTGGGGGAGAGGAGAGTGCCATTCTGTTCGACAGGAGAGAACGTCATGGGGGTGATTGGCTTTCTGTTATACGTCACCATCAACCATGGAAACAGGACAATGGGCGCGATAATTCATCTATTGGACAACTTTAAAGGAGGATATGAGATTTTGGTGAACAACAGCATTTCCAATAAACATTGTATCGTTAATCAACCACACCAAAATAATTCCATATAAGGAAATTCGTTATTGTCGACCAATAAAATTACTTATATCCGTGCTTTAGAGATGTCCAAAAACCATCAACTCTTCCGCGTTTGCTGTTTCCTCTCCCTTTGATCATCCCAGCAGTTGCTCACTTCCCCATCATTCGCGTCCTTTGCTCCTTTGCCACACTTTCACTTGCACCACTTCTTCTTCTTTCGCCACTCTTCGTCTCATCACCACAAATCACAAGATCGTATTTTTTTGTACTTTTCTATACTTCGAATGTTATTGAACTGCGCGTAACAGTTAACATTTCGGCCGTCCAGCAAAGTAAGTTTCTAAGTTTCTAAGTTTCTAAGTTTCTATTCATTTCGCCCCGGGGTTCACAGTCCATGACATCGCCACTACCTTTGTCTGCGGTCCGACAAATATGATAGGTAGGCGACGTATGACCATTCCAGTACACTTTACGGCAGCATGACCTAGTCAAGCCATGGAGCATGCATGCTATTGCCGTACTGTTCGTCATCCTACTGCCAGAGAAGGGTCGTTTCCCTTCCTTGGCTAGCAGTGCGATCTTCCTTCCTTGGCACTTGACCCAGCCTTGGGATAGGCCGCTCTGCTGTTCTTCAACATGAACAAGGGATGCTATCGTCATACTTTGGATACTGCTGCGACAGCGAACTCTGTCTATGCCATCGGTCTGGCAAACTATGAGACAGACGATAGCTCGAAGGCCATTCCAGTGCACTTTACGGCAGCATGACCTAGTCAAGCAATGGAGCATGCGTGCTATTGCCGTGCTGTTCGTCATCCTACTGCCAGAGAAGGGTCGTTTCCTTTCCTTGGCTACCAGTGCGCTCTTCCTTCCTTGGCACTTGACCCAGCCTTGGAATAGGCCGCTCTGCTGTTCTTCAACATGAACAAGGGATGCTATCGTACTTCTTCAGCTTGTGAACTTCGTGCTATTTGTGTTAATTAAATTGTGTTAATTAAATAATTGTTCGAATACTTATATCTTATTTTCTTATTTTCTTATTTGCTCGCGAGGTTGTCACCACAGATATGACAGACGAAGCAGTCTCTCGGTACTTGAACGACGCGTCATCAAAAAAGGGCGCTGGGGCGATCGACTTTTTCAATTTTATGGATGCTACGTCTCGGGATCGTGGTTCCATGTCGGCGGCTTGGCTTCAGGGAGTGGATCGTCTCAAGAATATAAGCCTCAAGCGACGACTGAAGGCTGAGTGGGAAGCAACCACGAAAGCCCGCAAAGGCTTTTGGGATCGACTCGATGAGCAAGAGCGAGATGAGGTAACAGCAATAGTATGTGCAAGTGGTTAGAAAGAAACATTACCATGGATTTTTCCACTAACGGAAGACGCTTGCATTGTTACAGGTGTATTGCAAAAACTTGGAAGTGTCTGTCGTAGAAGACAAGCTTTATGTTGCAGAGCAGCATTCGAGCCGCATTCAACGAGGTGATTTGGTCATTTTTTTTTCTCTTCCGTACTCGCAATTATTTCTATTGATATAACTGCCGACTAATTATTATTATTATTATTATTATTATTATAATTTGAACAGCAGGGACCTCAGGAACAGTTGTGCAACGTGAAGTCCATGCAGATGCCATAAACCAAGATCAGGACGTTGCAGCGCGTCTACCCGAAAGCACATCGTCGGACAACAAAAGACGACAATCTGATGTCTTGGCTGAGAACCCTCAAGAGCAGGACCATCCGCAACAGAGAAAAAAGCGCCAGCAGCGCCACCAACAACATCCCCAGGACGATGAGGGCCCGGTGCACCGACCTTTCTTCGACCCAGCCACCGCCATTCCATCTCCGCTTGAGATCGAGGGCGTCGATATTGGAAACCCTTTCAGGCGACTACAGGATGAAGCTGCCGCTGTCGTTAACGATGTCAAGAAGACATTGACACTGGAGTTCCTCCCCTTCTTTTTGTAAGTTTTATCTACCCTTGTGGGCACTGCAATTTTTACATTAACGATGAATACACTAATGAACCCCGTATGTGTGCTATCTTTCGATACATGTAAACAGGGCAGCCAACCACATCTGGGATGCGACCTACCAATTGCCAGGCATGTCGGATGATGACCACGATACTATTCAGGGTGCGCTCCATGTCCCCGTCGTTCGTTTGTCGGAGCACCTTGTGTTGTTCAGTCGATCTTTGGGACATGATATGACTTCCAAGGGGTATATCCGGTCACGGGAAACACAGTCTCGAGAACAGGACGCATTGCTCGTGTTACTTCAGCAAGCGTAAGTGATCTGACATGGTATTTGGTCAAGATCGGTTGGTGTGAGTTAAATTTAACTGTACTTATCTTTTTTCGTTTGGGTTGTAGGAGCCAAAAGCTTCCCAGGAAGTTCTTGCCATTTAAACATCTCAGAAATGAAGACACACACGCGCATTCCGTCCTTGACAGCTTATTCACGTTTGTGTTCCCAGCTTACCATCAGCGATATGAGCTTCATTGGGCCAATCGAGCATCGAATGGGTCGTCCGAACGCAGGAAAGGGGACGCATATAAACCTGACGCTACAGTTCTCAGGGATGGCTTTGAACTGGGCTTTATGGAGATGAAGCCACCGAGGGAAGAGCGCCATCAACGAGCTTACTTGGAGGACATGTGGGCATTGTCTGGATTCGCCAAGGACGCCATTGACCTGCATTTGAGACACTCCCGGATCCTCACTGCTGCTCCTTGTGTGCATGTGTTTGGTAAGCAAAATTGTACTCTGACTAGGCCATTGAAGACATGGTAGTATAAGTTATTAACATCGCTCTCTGTTTCGTTGTGAACGTGACCATAGGCTTTCAAATGACATTGTACCAACTCACATTCCAGAACGGGATATATGTGTGGCAGAGTGTGCACGCCTCCTACCTGCCAAGGGACCAATACGACAGCGGCAACATGATGGACTGTGTTGAGTTGCTCAAGACATTCAAGGTAATATTTCGCATCCTGCGATGTAATTGACTGCCTTGAAGACCGTATCCATGAATGACAATGAGAATGTTTGATTGTACTCTTAGGCCATCATGGACGAGTCTGGAACGGAGCGGTACGTTCGCACACCAACCAAGCGTGTAGAAAACGACGAGGAGCTTCCGGCTCCATTTCGCCCGCGGCCCACGAACATCACCCCCTCCAAAAGGCCGTTCTTCGGTCATGCAAAACGTCCATCTAGCAGCACCTGACGGTGCGGAGAGGCCGTCTTTATAGTGTGAACGATGGCCGCTCGTCATATTGTTATGTTCTTTTACCATTGTAGCATTTGCTCTTATTCATAGCAATCCAAAGACCTCCGTTTGGCTCGCTAAGACGATATGAAAAGTGCGTAATTGACAGCAATATCGACTTTGGGATGTCTGCGATGAAACAATGTGGGAATAAGACTGAATAATGCCTTTTGTGGCATGGTTGTGACCCCTATGGCTGTAGGAGCTTGACTTTCACATTTTGCATTATCCGGTGGGATTGGGATCCCACAGTGACGTGCACGAAATAACATGTGCACAGACGGTTTCCTGGCATCCCACAAGTGGTACCGATGACATTGACATTACACTAACTCCTCACATTAACGCCCTCGTTTCCAACAAGCTCGCACATGCATAAAAATATTCACAAACAGGCACACAGGCATGCGCTATGCACAGATCTACTTCACTTCACTGAGTTCGGCTTTAGTGTTGGCCTTTTATGACGGACATGAAAAAGAACATGTCTAGTCAAGGGGGTAACGGTAGATGTGATTTTTTTTCGAGCCATTTTTTCCGTACGCTCCAGCATATGTCTGTTCGTCTGTTTTGTAATATATGGTCGTTTTGTACTCCAGCTTCTCGTACAAGGTAACCGCAACCGTATATACCTCCTCTTGATCCAGATAGTCGGAAGTATACACGATGATTACACCCGACTTTGAACTTGTCGCGTTTGGATTGACTTGCGCAGTGGAGCATTTTGCCAAGCCTCCCAACGAATCCTGCTCAATGAGTTGTTTTACAGTAACCCATTTGTCGTCCAGGATAGACTTGTCATAAAACAACATCCATTTCCCTGTGCGTGCGCCGCCGACAAAGTCCTTGGTGGGCGACCTGGCCCATACCCAGTATTGGCCAGTCGTCTGGGTAGGGATAGACATTTCAAGTTTGGAAATGATGTTCTATGATGTGTGCATGAACACGATTCAGTGTTAGGGTGACAAGGAAGCAGCATGCGAAACATTTCGCATTTGGCGCAAGTGGGTAAAGTAGGCACAAGGAGCACACCGACCTAAAGGCTCAGCGCGCTTCAAAGGTCTTAATGAATGGCTTGTTGATAGAGCCAAGTCACATATTGCTTTTCTTAACGGTATGATGATGAATGGAACTTTACCTGAGGAGAGGAGAGATGAGTCTGTTGAATACAAAAGTTGAACCCATCTCGCACCGTCCGGGTATTTAAGAGAAGGAATCGGAAGTCTAGAGCCCAGCTAAGACAGAGAAAGGTCCAAGAGTTGAATGAGTCATTTGTGCTCAGGCCTCCTCTTGCCCGATAAGATAACTTAAAAATAATAAATGTTCTCAAATGGAGATGGAAAGATAGAGAAGGGTAGGTGGAATGCCTTGGCGTTGGCTTTGTGCACAGCTGTGCGCATCCGCCCCTAGCGATCCCTGCCTTGCGTTACGCTAAGTGGTAGTGTCGAATAGAGGAGAATTAAGGAAAGATGTGGAAGTAAATGGGGAACATGTAGGATGTATAGTGCAGACATATGGATGTGGGTGACTAGAAACGTGTGTAAACTGAACAGGACATGAAGTAACAACGTCGATTCCACAGTCAAGCATACATTCAGGAACACACCCACGGTCGCGAAACCTTTTTTTTATACTTTGGGCTCTGCCCAGCCATTAGCTGGTTACGACAAAGATGGCTGACTATTTGTTGCGTCGAAGACCAGTTGCTTGTTGACTATTGTCAATCGCGAGCGAGTGATGAAAGAAGCACCTGTCAAGTCCGTACTGACTCAGGGAGGGCATCTGTTAGAAGGTGATACTGTTTTGTGGTGAAAGCGAAGGGCTGGAAATGAAATGTCGAGTGTCGAGCAAGAATGAGCAGATGAAGTGTATGCAGGACGACCTGTACCCATTCTTCTATTAGACCAGGGACCGAGGATGTGCCCACCCACTTCCACCCTTTTTTCTTCAACTCATGCAGATAGTAGATAACAATCCAGATCCGCCTTCTTATTTCCTTGTTTTTTGATTTGTTGAGTTTTACCCGGTCGTAATAAAAAATGAAGGCCACACACGCAACATCGGTCCTTGGTCGTCTCGACGGAGAATGGAGGTATAATCTTGTGCATGCAATGGCGCGTGGTGGCTCAGGTTCGGTGGTGACGGGCGGGCGAGAGTACAACGTGGTTCTTCAATGCCCTGATCTGCAATTTAGGGGTCTTTTCTCGGGGGATTGACACGCCCAACTCGTGCTTCTGGATTTCGGCGGTAGCTTTCTTTTTGTCATATGCGCTCTGCAAGACGGGTCCTTGAGCTTCCAACGCAGACTACGAAGATGAAGAACCATGTTGCTTTAGACATACCAAGACGAAAGAGGCAGTCCACCAAGCGAAGCAAGCAAAACGAGCAAAGCGAGCAGCGATGACAGTCAACTTACACGAAAGTTCCAGATGATGGCCAACGAGGCGCTCTCAAGGAAGAGCTCCATGCCGACAGCCGAACGGGGGTAAAAACGGTAGTCCTTGTAGCTTTGCCTGCGATATAGATTTGACCGAAGGGGAGTACCTGATAGAAGGTTCCCGCGAATCCTAAAACAACAGCATCGGCACAAAAAGAACATCAAGATTAGAGATTGTTATTGTTGGCTTATCGTTCACATGGCGCACGATTTGCTCTCGCACGTTGGCTTACAAGTCACTTCAGGCATCATCACCGCGATATTTCCGGCGCCGTTGTTGTGGTGGTACTCCTGGATCAGGCTAAACGAACGTTCTTCCTATTCTGCATGCGGGTTTCCTTCAGTGTTACTCCAGCTCGACGCTGCTGAGTCAGAGGCCGTCAAAGCAAAAGAGACAGCCCATGCGTCTGCCATTGTCCGACGTAGCTCCGTACTGCATCTTGCGGACTAGCTTCGAGACCTCGAGTGCCTTTTCCCTCTTAGTAAAATGGAAGCCCCGCATTAGTTTGAGTAGATTTTTTTTTCCATTGTGAATCAAAATGAGGCGCTCCATTTGTCACGACATACATGTGCAAAGTGACCTTGCCTTTGAAGGTAGAAATGTCCTTGGTCCAAACTGTACACAGTCATTCTCCGAAGGGGTTGCAGATTTGTAGAAAGGGCGCAGAGTAGAGGAACACCTATATTAGCCATTATCGTTAGACTGGCCGGCAGTCAGTGTTAATGCTTTACGACAATGTGAACAAACGAGAATGAACAACTGGTTGTTCATTAAAATACTCACAGTCGGCGAGAGTCTTGACTTTGATATCATCTTATGGCAGCAGTGCGTCAGATTCGGGATATTTGTTCAATTCCCCACGATCAGTGATCAGTTTTCACTACAGGTAGACCAAGCCTCACCTCTTGAGCACATCGACATAGGGTTGCAAATAGGCAAGACAGGTATGTTGGTCGAGTTCGGAGGCAAGACACGAATATTTCGCCTTGGCGAACAGCTCCACTCATCGAAGAATTGGCATAGCCGGGCAGATATGGCGCTGACAATGCCAGACATGTTTGTTCTAGGCACAAGAGAAATACAATGGGTAAAGGGTTAGATCAGATGCCGTGAAGCTGCCGCGTGAAAGTACAAATTAAAATGATATCGCTTTACCGTGCTTCCTTGAGCAATGCCATGTCTCGCAACTGGGGAGGTTGGGACATGTATTCTTTCAGCAATGCGGCGTTCTGACCGAAGAGCAGTCTGTGGGTCGGGGCCATGCTCGCTGGAAGGTCTGTGGAAATGACTGTTTGCTAGCTGTTGACCTAATGTGAGACACAAAATTCAAAAGTAGAGAGAGTAAGCGCCTGTCTGCTGTGTCATGGCGCCATCTGTTACTGCGAATACTTGCTATATCATGAAGCGCGACAACAAGAGACTGTTGTTGGCATGGCGGGGTTTTGTGTTTGTGGGTCAACGAAGTTTGGTTGAAGAAAGAATGAAAGCAGAAGGATGACCTGTGTGTGGAGGTTGTCGTGCCATAGTGGGAAGCACGTGAGTGAGTCTGTCTCATATGGGGACTGAAATCTTCATACTATGCAAATATCAACCTTGAGCACACCTTTTCGAATCTTCAGTTTTGCAGGGATTCTCTAGATTGAGGTAATTGTGGTTGTTCATTTCCATCTGAATCAAGATCACTATCAGATTCAATACTTTCGGTTACATTAGCAAGATCTTCACTCGAGGGTGTGATCAGATCCATTTCCATCGTCACTCATCGTGCTAGCCCTGTGTCCCAACTACACTCTCGCACTGGGTGTGTCAAAGGGAAAAAAGAACTATGTGAGTTAAACCCATAAACAGAAAGATGTGCTTTGGTCCCTTTCTTTGTCTCTCTTTTTCTCTCACACACCAAAAAAACAACCCTCACACACACTTTTCCAACAGTAGCGGACCTGCCATCTGCAACAAACAAACAACTACCATCAACTTTACAGCCAACAGCTGCAACACTACCACAACCTGCACCCCTCACAATAGCGTTCTTCATACCTGGCACCTCAAGATCAGACCAGCGCCTTTGTGCACCTTGTCGACAGCATGACCAGCCATTCCAACCACGGCAACGCCAGCAAAAGGCCCCTGCATTAGACCTAGAAGTGACATCGCCAGCACTCTTAACCAGCACCATCAACAACACTCCCAAGTACTCCAGAGACGACTTCGATATCGACTACACCTCCAACTCGACAGTCGCCTAGCTGGCTTCCAGAATCCCCACTTCCCAATCCTCTCACAGCTGCCATTCCACGGATGACTCGGCTAACCAACCTCGACTACAAACCGGAGCAGACACTGGAGGAGTACACCGCGGGCGCTCACCTCGAGATCTCTGGTCTCCTTCAACTGACATGGCTTCTGACCCTGGACCCGTGATCACCCATGTCTGTCTAAGAAGATACAACCTTCAGTCTATGCAAGATGCTCTCCTTTTCGTCAATCGCCAACCTCAAGGCTCTCACGGAGCTCGAGTTGGACATTCGGAGCTGCACTATCCGGTGGGGAGAGCTTACCTACACACTCATCTACTGCCTGCTGACTTTTCTTGAAACCTTCCGGATCGATGGCAGTAGAGTCTAGGACGGAGCCACATCTTTGACACATGACCTCAAAGCTCAAGAAACAACACCTACAGGACCTACCACGGAACCCCTTTTGGTCAAGCAGGAGGTTGCAGTGCACTTGCTGAAAAGACTGCGAGTCGGGCTTGGTTGTATAGACGACACATGTCAGCTGAGTTTGTCTGTCACACGCTGGAGATCTTTGATCCACTCTCGTGGGGTCGCGAGGAGTCGCCTCTACCCTCTGGAGCTGTTGTTGCCCCACCCCTGCGTCTCCGAGTTCTGGAATCATGCGGTCAAGGCGCCCCCATTATCCTCAATGTTTCCTCAATGTTTTCCGCCATCATACTCTGGAGGCTATCCGCGATCGGTCTTCTAACACCAAGGCAAGCTCGGCCATCAGGATGACTTCAGGATATCACTTGAACACCCTTAAAGAGATTCGACGCACTAACTGCGGCCACATCTTGGGCGTTGTCATTCAGGAAGTTCTCTTAACGGGCGCTGCTTTTGAGCATTTTGTTATCAGCGGATCCCGTGTATCAAGTTGAGTTTAATATTTGGTGGAGAATGAGTGGGTGTGTGCGAGGTTGAAGACATTGGATCACGGCCGACATGCACCAGGTGAGAACCTGGGCGGAGGATATGGTTTCTATATCTGCGATCTGTGATGACACCTGGGTAAAGCTCAGGAAACTGTACCGCCAACTTGGAGCACCGACTGAGATCGAGGTGTTGCATTATGGGATCAAGTCTCAGAATCCCGCACGTTCTCAGCCCCGCACCTGTTCTCGGTCCCGTATCTGTACTCAGCTTCTACTTTATAATCATTCATGCTTCGCTCACGATATCCTATAGAGTGCCTGTATGAATAGTCTGTCCTACCCCCTGTCTTTATTCTTTGACTAGTTAATGGATGTGTTGAAATGACGATAGGCGTAGTAATAAGGGAGGGGATGGTCTTTTGTCACAATATAACTTGTTCTTGTCGCGTCGTTCTCTAGATCTAAAAATGGTATATTTTTCTACGTTGCCAGCTACTCTACCATTCGAGCTCCTTTCCTCCACATGACCCGGTGGCGCACGATGACGGTGGCTGCACGAGCTCAATGCTGCTGGTCTGCCATCTAAACTGGTCAAACGCCTCTTGCGCATGGATCATAACCTTGTCCGTTGCCAAGATATCATCAAGGGCCCTTGTAGGCGGAAGCAGCAAAAATACTTGACCCTCTTCGTCAACCTTCACCTCGAATGTCTGGATCTGGTACTTGTCCTCGTCACCGGGTGTAAGGCACTTGCCATCTTGAAGCCCAAAGTTTTTCTTATGCATAGGACAAGACACGTATGGCTGTGACTTGCTGACCTCAGACTCGGAAACACTGTCGCCCAACAGACCCAGAGAAAGAACCAAGGCGCGCTTGTGTGGACACATGTTTTGGGTTGCATACCACGATCCGTTCGGCAAACGGAATACTGCAATCTGAACATCGCCATGCTTGACAGTACGACCAGCATCCACTGCAAAGTCGTCGGTCTTGCCAACGCATATCCATTTCTTGAGGGCTTGAGCATCGAATGGATCCAGAGTGGGCGAGACGGGTGATGGAGGCAGCTGCACCCCTTCCTTGGGCCAGTCCGCTGGTCGGCGCTGTCCACGCTCAGAAATGAACTCGATGCCATCCTGAGTGTCATCCGTGTTAACAAACTGTCGGAACTGCTGCCGGCGCTCTGGATCATCAACAACGACCTTCCATTCACACTGATAGGTCGCAATCAGATACGCCATCTGCTCCTCGAGTTCGTCGCAAATCCCAAGGTAGTCCTCCAGAACAACCTTCTTCAAGAATTCGATTCCTCCCTCCAGCTTCTCCAGCCACTTTGAGGTCCGTGTCAACTTGTCGGCGGTCGCAATGTAAAACATCAGGAATCGGTCCAGGTACTTGATGCAGTTGGCCTCCGAGACATCGGTAACCAGCAACACAGCATGCTTAGGCTGTGCTCCACCATTGCCACATACAAAAAGATTGTAGCCCTTCTCAGTAGCGATCTATTCGTGCCATGTCCCAGAGTTCATCGTCAGTTGGTATGAATTGGCACCCGTATGTAGACAAACATTCATTTTACCTCTGACTCAAAACCAAACAATGATGTACTTACAATACCAAAGTCCTTTCCTCGAGCCTCGGCGCATTCTCGGACACATCCAGAGACGCCTCCCTTGAGTTTATGGGGTGATCGAAGACCCTTGTAGCGGTTCTCGATAGCGATGGCAAACCCGACAGAGTCTTGAAGCCCATAACGGCACCAGGTCGACCCGACACAACTCTTGACAGTACGGAGCGACTTGCCGTAGGCGTGACCAGACTCCATTCCTGCCTTGATTAACCGCTCCCATATCGACGGCAGATCCTCTCGCTTGGCTCCAAAGAGATCGATTCTCTGTCCACCCGTAATCTTGGTGTAAAGCCCATACTCCTTGGCAACTAGGGCAATGGCAATGAGCTTGTCTGGAGTAATCTCTCCACCAGGGACACGGGGAACTACCGAATATGTTCCTCCTCGTTGGATGTTGGCCAGGAAGCGATCGTTTGTGTCTTGAAGAGGCGCATGGTCCAGCACGTGGTCGTTGAACAAGGATGCCACAATGGATGCAACAGCGGGTTTGCAGACTTCACATCCCATAGCACGGCTGCTTTTTCCTGCGTGTTCCATCACCTGGGCAAAAGTCTTGAGTTTCTTGACCTTGACAACTTGGTACAGCTCCGTCCGGGAATACTCAAAATGCGAGCACAGGTTCTGCTTGATCACTTTGCCCATCGCCTTGAGTTCGGACTCAAAGATTTCTCCGACTTGAGGAACGCATCCACCGCATCCTAGACCGGCCTTGGTGCACGTCTTGACTTCCCCGATCGATGAGCATCCCTTGGAGCGAACCGCAGTTTTGATCTGGCCTTTGGTGACGTTGTTGCATGAGCAGATCTGCGTATCGTCTGGCAGATCCGTGGCGCCTTGGCCTTGACCAGGCTTGAGACCCAAAATGAGTTCGCTTGGGGGGATCTGGAGAGACTTTTTCGACTTGGACATGCCCAGCAGCTTGCCGTAATCGGATGTGTCGCCGACCATCATGCCTCCTAAAAGATGCTTGCCGTCCTTGGTGAAGACGTACTTCTTGTATACAGCGCCGAATGGATCCCGGTAAAGGAGTTCTTGAGTCTCCCTTGAACTGGCGAAATAATCTCCAAAGGACGCGACGTGGACGCCCAACAATTTCAACTTTGTCGACATGTCTGCTGAGGTAAACACGCGAGGCTGGTGAGCTTTTCCGACGCCCTTGGAATAGATGTCACGAGTCAGGTTCCGTGCAACGACTTCGGCCATGTCGTATCCTGGTGCCACAAGACCGTAGGTCTGATCCCGATGGCAAGCAACCTCTCCAATGGCATAAACGTCCTGCATATTGGTCTCCAGGAAATCGTTGACCAACACTCCTCCGCGGGAATGGCACTCGATGCCAGAATCGCGCGCGATCTTGTCTCCTGGAAGAATTCCGATTGCAAAGACCACCATATCATGCTCGACAACCGACCCATCCTGCAGCTTGGCCTTTGATACATGTAAGGATTCTCCTCCATCCGTCGAGTCTGACATGAATGCGACAGGAGGATTGCCCAAGCTGTGTTCGATCCCAAGTTTCTCAATCTCGCGGAGAACCATGGCTGCACCCTCACCGTCAAGCTGACGCGACAAGACTTGACTGTTTCGCTCATAGATGGTTGTCTTGAGACCGAGATCCGAAGTTGCCTTGGCAGCTTCCAACCCCAGCAGGCCTCCTCCAACCACAGCAGCATGCTTGGCGGTCTTGGATCGTTCGATGATCAGATCCAGGTCATCAATGGTGCGGTATACGTAGACACCAGGGAGATCCAATCCAGGGACGACCGATGGAAGCAAGGCGGTTGATCCAGTGGCAATGATGCAAATGTCGTATGGCGTGGTTGTCACAGCTGCGGTGGGGGTGTTGATATCCTGGGTCGAGACTGACTGGATGATTTTCAAGTCAGGGTTGATTTTTGTTGCTGTTTGGTGCATCAAGAGGGAGATGTTGTTCTCTTTGTACCACTGCCTGGGCTTCATGAGCTGCTGGTCGACACTCCTGTGTGAGAAATACTGAGTTAAACCCACTCGGTTGTAGGCGACTATTGATAGTCATTTGAACACAAGATAAAGGTTAACACCAGCCATTTTCCTTGAGATGCGCTCTCACTCCCTTGGAGCCTTCGAACCTTCGAACACTCTTTAATAGCATGCCATATTATTGCTTACCAAGTGGCTCCTGGCATATTGCGGTGATTGTATATTTTTTAGCAGTGTCGTATTCGAGGATCTTTTCAATAAATGAAAGTCCGACCATGCCGAGACCAACAATGACGATGGAGGAAGACCCGGTATTCTTCTGGTTAGCTTCTGGTGCCATGACTGAGAGTATCTGAAAGTGATATGAAAAGAAGGGGAAGAGAGGCGGGGAGAGAGGCGGGAGAGAGGCGGGAGAGAGGCGGGAGAGAGGCGGGGGAGAGAGGAATATGTATATATGTGTGTGTGTGCGTGTATGTATGTGTAACAGCTGGAGGAATGGTTTGGACACTGGAGAAATGGCTTAGAGACTGTGGAATGGTTTAGAGATCGAAGAAAAAAATGAAGTGATGGCTGTCACTGATCGATATTCGACATATTTATATGAGCTTTTGTTTCTTCTATTGACTCATCATGCACATCATGCTCATTGTTTTTGTTCGGAGTAACCTTACTTTTTTTATTTTTTTATTTTTTTTCAACGTAAAGATGGTCGTCGTTCGGAGCAACCTTAACATGACGGTGGTTGGCAGATCCTGAGGGGCAATCTTGCCACATGTTTATTTATGCGCGGGGACAATTTCAGTTTGAGGGAGCAGATAGAGAATTAAAGTTTGACATACCTTCCACCCAGTGGCTTGGGTGACAAGACTGGTCACATGTTTAAATTGTTGAGGAGAGGTTGAGTTGGGACTCGGGAGGGATAAGCAAGAATTCTTGAAAGAGAGGGAAGAGAGGGAAGAGGTATTGTATTGTATGCTACGATGGCTGTATCTCTTTTATAAACATCTTCAAAGGACCTTAATCTCGATTCTCGCCCCCTTCGTTCAACCCGAGGCATGATGAGATGAAAATTCATTTTGGATGAGATGCCACCCCCCAAAAAGGTTTACTTACTACCGGACGTTTTCAGCCCGGGGCTTAGCACATGCCAGCTGAAAGAACATACGGTGCAAGCCTCGGTGTCGAGTAGATAGGGCATGTCGCGAGGGAAGGAGAGGGAGGGTTAGAACGTTGCAGATAAGGAAGGCACCCTAATTTCATCTTCACATTCGGAAGAATAATTAAAGTGACTGCTTCACGCGTTCGACCCCTCGGAGAATGCTGTGCATGTGTGCACGGATAGTAGACTCGTGGATAGTAGACTCGTGGATAGTAGGCGCGTGGATAGCAGGCTCGTGGATATTAGGCCTACGGACAA